GCCTAAGCTTGTTTGTTGGTCAGCTTGATTTCCAGCCTGGATAAGAATTTATGCTGGTCATTGTGGGGTATTTGTTTATCATTTGATCAGTTAGTCTAGCTTAAAAGCAGGTTCCCGGTTGGTCTGCTGGTTGAAAGTCTCTTCACATCCTGATAGCAATCATTAACTTAAGTGCTGTATGTAGCCTATATACCATAAAATGTTCGTCCAATCATTGCATTTGGTCCGAATGTCCTACCCGCCTGGCTATTTCCCAGTAGGACCTCATTGCAGTACACGAGATCCAAGGGGCAGAGTTAGATCCAGATCTAAGGGGTGGAGATGGGTAAAAAATTAGGGGTGGGGTCAAGGACTTGGATATTGGATAGGGGGCACTGGCCCAAAAAAGGTTGAGAATCACTGTTCTAAAAGCATCTGCATTGACAGGCATTTAAAATTATCTGTGTTTAGATAGTTATATTTATTTTTTAAAAAAAATTATATTGTGTAACTTAGCTATTCTCAAACACTGCTCCCAAATCTCTAGATAGAGATATCTACCAGTATACCATATTAGCAGCAAGAGGCACCTATTTTTGTACACATTTTAAGTTTTTATTTTATGTTTATTCGTTCTCAATGGTATCTGTTATATTACATATGTTCATATGGAAAAAAACATTAAGAGTGAGTAAAAAAACAACAACAGTGAATTCGCTTTAATGCCGATTCTGTGGTCAATCGTGGCACTGATTATATGATGATTAACTTCCCGGGACCATACCCCATCCAATCTCCCACATTTTCCCTAATGAATTCCCACAGCTGCTGATAGAGTCTAATTATTGTTATTAGTCCAAAGTCTGGCAATTATCTCACTATTACCTCATTGCCACAAAGGCCAATTCATTGGCTGCCATCAGAGGGCCACGAGGCTATCTATTTCAGACAGGATATTAAACATTAGGTGTACAGCACCTGCTGCAACCTATCTGATGGGAAGATGTTTTTCCTGTGGAATATATTTGCTAAAACATTGGTCTGAATACATATAGACACATCAGCAGTGGAGACCACATGATTAACTGAAGCGAGGCCTTGCTGTGGGAGGAGACGAACTTGTGTTGCGTCAGGCAGATCATACGAGTTCACAGCTTTTTTATCCATCTGTCTGCACCAGGTTCACCTCTCTAGCTCATAATAAATCGGTCATAATCTTCCACCCATCATATCACAGCTGGTTCAACCTAATACTACAGGATGTAATGGTGCACGCACACACAAACTGCCAAAAACATACACAGAACCGCCAACATCTTGTGACTAAAATAACGCATTTATCCCTGCATTGTGCATTTTTACAGCTGCTCTAATTAGCCAAGCCTGGCAAATGTCATAACAGAGCAGCTGTCAAAAGATCTAGTGAGCTCCGTTTTGTTTGGATTGGTGTGCGTTGCTGACCTAAGGTTATTTTAAAAAAATCCGGTGCTCATTATTTCAACAAAATGCTTCTGACACAACCAACAGGCATATCAAAAACCACAAATCTGCCTCGACTCTAGTCATCCACTCTGAGTCCTTATCAAGCCAGCGCACAATGAGCCAACTTTGCAGGAAGGAAGTAAAAGTGTTATGAATTATTATTTTCCTGAGGGCATACATACATGGTTTTCCCCAAGCAGCCAAACTGGTTGCGACACCACCATCGATCTGCAGGCACAATTCAATTTTCTGTAAGCTTTATTATCACACGTAATCGATTTGAAGCCCCTCCAGATTCGTTTAAATGAAGAATTAGCAGCAGTGTTATTCCTCTATTGGAAAGTTTTGCGCTTGAAATGAAGATCCTATGCAAATGCATCCCAGGTTGGTCAGCTTCTTATTTAAAAAAATCAAATGTCTATTTTATTGAAAGTCTGTTTAGCAGAAGACTCTTATTTGTTTATTTTCAGTGTGTGAGTGCATTAATAATGCGAGCCAGATGGCAATAGTCCCTCCCCAGCACTTCTCTGAAGTAATAAAATGGAAACGATCTCTGATCAATCACTACACACGGGGTCGGCAACGATGGCCTCATTACCACGATGGCGCCTCAGAGGCCCAGTTGCTTGATAGCTCTCTAGTTTATCTGTGCCTGCAGTTTGGCAAGCCTTCTGGGTAATTGGCACCAGCAGCAACAATCAACAGAAAGATCATTCATTTCTTCTCTTTTTAGTTTCAAAACCTCGCTGAGCTTAACAAGTGTTTTGGACACTGACAAATTCTAGGCCTGTTTTTAGACTTTCAGACTCCTGAGACATCACATGGGATCATGCACAAAATAATAACTTGCACAAAATTGTTTCTTATTTATAAATGATTTAAGATTATCATTAATGTTTTGAAGGTCTTTAGATCTTTTACAGTCATTAAGGATAACATAAAGCTCTGCTGCCATCTAATGTAATGCTGAGGAGGTACATGCCACACTGTAAAAAAAAATATTTTCAAGATTTGTTATCGCAACATATTTTCTTTTGTCAAATCAACTTTATAATAATTTATTTAGTTGAGATAACTTATTATTTTGAGTTTCTGATGATTAAATTAATCTCCTTCATTGTATTAACTCACTTTTTCCAGTTCAATCAACTTCAAATTTTAAGGCAACCCAGGTTACTTACTTTTTTAAGTTAAACCAACAGTATTTTTTTACAGTGTATAGTAATCACAACATTTTTTCTTTTGTCAAATCAACTTAAATAATTTATTTAGTTCAGATAACATATAATTTTGAGTTTCTGATGATTAAATCATTCTCCTTCATTGTATTAACTCACTTTTTCCAGTTCAATGAACTTAAAATTAAGGCAACCAGGTCACTTAATATTTTAAGTTAAACCAACAATATTTTTTACAGTGCAGGATTACTCTCAAAAACATTGTTTTCTAAAACAGTTCATTCTTTACACTGAACAAGGCCCAGCTGAAGGACTATTATGTAATTAGTCTTTTGTCTATACAGCATTTGCAGGAGAAATACGCTGACAGCGAAACTGATTAGACTTTTTTTGTGCCACGTTGCACGTGCACAAAAGTTCTGTGCATGTCCTCATAAAATTCTGCTCTCCTCGTAATTTTACCTTTTGTTCAAGGTAGATTTTTACATTTGGATCTAAATGCAAAAAACATCAAATTAAATAATTCGGTCAGAACAGAATGTCCTATTACGAGAGCAAACTGAGCGCAATGTTCTCCATCAATAACAGTTACCATTATGCAGCACAATGAAAGCTGAAATGAATATCAGAGTTAGCAACCCTAATAAGGTTTATTCAATATTGGAAATGTCTTTGACTATGCTATTTACTACATGATGTCTGTATTCCTATCAGCTGATGACATGACATTAAAAGTCATTAGGTCATTTTTTTCATTATTGTGACTAATAGGGTGAACTCACATAAACTGGGCCCTCTTTTGTCAATCATAACAATGTAGAAAAGTGGCTCAATTTGCCTGAATGTACCAGGATTACAGTACATCTTTTAAAACTAAACAATAATTATGGCATTCTATACCTTTTGATATTCTCATATCATATTATCCAGAGAAAAACAGCACAGAGACAGATCTCTTCAAATGAATGGACAGTTATCGAGGAGACAGCTAATCTACCACATTTCTTGTAGATTTAACAATGAGAGGTAGATTAATTTAAAGAGGCAGTCTAAACACTGATGCCAACAACAATTTGTTCCAATTATGTTTAGAGACGCTGCAATACATTACTAAACAGCACAGTGACAGAAGAAGACAATGCACCAGAAACGTCAGCAGGAAATTATGTCTTACTGTTTTATATAATAATCAGATGCCAATTCTGGATAATGATGATAACCTTTATTTCTGTGTTCGATATCTAACCAAAGATTATGTGTAACAAGAAAGGACAAATCTGGAGAAAAAGAGTGGCAGGTAATGTAGCTCAATAAAGATATTGCAGTGTTTAGATGTTTAACTACAAATGGACCTTTTCTCTCTTTGGATGACAGACATATCTGACCTCTTCTTTTCCCTGTACATTCCCTTTCACGTACAATAATTTTATGTCAAAAGATATACATACACCAACATTCAAAAGTTTGGAGCTGATAAGATTTTTTAAAGTTTCTTATGTTCACCAATTCTGCATTTATTTTATAAAAAATACAGTGAAAACAGTTAAATATTATTACAATTTCAAATAACTGTTTTCTATTTTAATATATTTAAAAAGCATCATTACTCCAGTCTTCAGTGTCATATGATCCTTCAGAAAGCATTCTAATTTGCTGTTTTGCTGCTCAAGAAACATTTAATATTATCAATGTTAAAACACTTGTTTTCTTTGATGAATAGAAAGCAAAACACTTTTCAATTTTAAATTGAAATCGTTATAAATGTCTTTACTGCCACCTTTTGTGTAAGTTTGCAAGTTTATTAATTACCCCAAACTTTTGAACAGTAGTGTATATATTATCGAATCCAGATAAGATAAACTTTAAATAAAATATACTTTAACTTTCTATATATTTCTATATATTTAATTCTCTCAAATACTATGGCTTCTTATCAATGTCGAACATTATATTACAGACTAATACTCCATCCATCGTATACGACCACATACATTAGACTACATAAAACAATACTGTAGTTTGACTCACACAACACCATCTACAGCAATAATCACAGTCAATTGCTGAATTAGAATTACAGTGTTGTTCAAAACATACACTGTGTAAACACCATTTCAGTCACTTTACATTTAAAGGGATACTCCACTTTTTTTTGGAAATAGGCTCATTTTACAACTCCCCCAGAGGTAAACAGTTGAGTTTTACCGTTTTTGAATCCATTCAGCCGATTTTCTGATATTTAGAAGAATATCAGTAACCAGACAGTTTCTGGTCTCATTGACTTCCATAGTAGGAAAAAAAATATACTATGGAAGTCAATGAGACCAGAAACGGTCTGGTTATTGATAGTCTTCTAAATATCAGAAAATCGTCTGAATACATTTAAAAACGGTAAAACCCAACTGTTTAACTCAGGGGGAGTATCCCTTTAAGAATAGCAGCACACATTCAATTTTAACATTAAGTTAATATCATTTGTTTTTCGACAAACTGTCGCTGAGAAGTGCTTATGAAAATGATCGTTCATTGTAGTGCTTCACAAGAGGCACAATTTCTTTATCATAATGCATAATAATCCATATTTCAAGAGTCAAGTACAGGATTAATCCAAAAGAACAGCACTGGGTTGAATCTTTTTGTCTATATATGTAGTGTGTGTGTGTGGCCTTGCATAGGTCACATGGAAAAAAGGCCAAGAGAATACTGAAATCCGGATCCATTGAGAGCACAAATGACTTAAAAAAAGAATGTCCACAACCTGAACGTCACGTCCAAAATAAGAACATAATGTACCTCTATGTATCATCCCTGTCTTTGTTATTTTGCTGCATTGCTGCTTTTTTTATGAGGGAATTTCTGTGCAATCCCATAGGGCACATGGGCAGCGATGGCACCCATTTCTGCGGCACCTTCCACGTGGAACATCTGGTCATCGAAGTAGATGTGGGGCCGGATTTTCTCCAGCATGGGGCCTTTTGGTGCACCGGCCAGGAAAAGAGCCTCGTCTATCTCTAATCCCCAGGCACGGAGAGTCTTTAAGGCACGGATGCCTGAACTGGCTGCACTGCGGGCCGTCACGAGATAGGTGCGGATGGGACAGTCCAGACGGTAGCCTTTAGCATAGAATTTCTTCTGAAGCTTCCCAAGCAATTCTAGGAAACCCTTCAGCGGCCCCTGTGTGGTGGACAGAATCATTACAGTATGTATTGTAGCACATATCCACTAAACTGAACAACAAGGATATTCAGTCCTGCTCTTGGAGCTTTATATAACATATTATATCTGCTCATTTAAAGGTCAAGTGTGTCATTTTGTACTATACTCCACTAGGGGCAGCAAATGCAAAAATATTTTTTTTGTTTTGTTTTGTTTTTTCAAAAATGTGTCCCCTGCCCATATGCCATTGAATAGAAAGTCCCGCTCCAAACTCATTTGAGCTGATTGAGCCAATAATGCAGTCAGGCTGTGAACTAGGAGACTTAAACAAGCACAAAATGTTTTAAAAGTGCCACAGCGTTACACTTTTGGGATCGGACAAAATATATGAAGAGTTCAGATGCAAAAGCCTCTAAATGCCATTTGAAATTTTCTTCTTTAATGATGATTTTTATCAAACTTGTATATTTAAGTTCAGTAATTTCACTTAAATGGCAAAGATAATTACCTATTAATTGTTATTTAAGTGAAATTACTGAACTTAAATATACAAGTTTGATAAAAATCATCATTAAAGAAGAAAATTTCAAATGGCTTTTAGAGGCTTTTGCATCTGAACTCTTCATATATATATATTATATTATAAATACTTGCTTATCAGCATGCATATTAGCAAAGTACATATTAATGCCTTATTTTGCATGATCATATTCTACAACCCTTAATCCACCCCATACCTAAACTTAACAACTACCTAACATAAACTTTATTGAGGCCAAACTTGTGGTTAGTTATAGGGAGAATTGGACCCTAATCTAAAGTGTGACCAAAATGACAAACATCACCTCTAAACATTGCTCTGTAGCTTATTTCAGTTCAAATTGCATACATGATCTAACAATGTGTTTTCATTTTCCCTCTCATGCTCGAAGAACTTGTCCAGGCCGTGGGCTTTAAAAATACGCTCAGACTCATCAGAGAAGAGAACAGCGTCGCCATCAAATGCCACTTTCAGCTGGGTCTCAGACACCTCGATTTGTTTTTCTGACATAAACATGGTGGCTGCTGCAATCCCTGTAAGAAAACACAAAGACAAAAGTAGAGTTTACCAGCCAAAGGAAAAAGCAGTCAGGCAAATGTTCTTATGGACCAATTAAGCCTCTGTAAACCAAATATGTCATTGGATTGTTAGACATTCGGTCGATATGGATTTCAGTGCTTTACCCCATTTCAGTTATTTTTATTTAGAGTATTTCATACATATTTATTTATAATTATTCATATAATAATGATGTGAATCTGTTATACTGAACAGAGCAACATATGGTGTTCATTTACTCACACTAGGCAATCTGATTCTGAACCCACTAGTGTGTGCGCTACAACATCACAACATCAATTTACTTTTTTAGTACACATTTTAATTACATTTTTCAATTCAGTATAGTAAGTTTAAAGGGAATAATCGTGCCAACCGTGCCTAGAGTGAGTTCACCGAAAGGATCTTTAAATGGCAAACTGCTAGAGCAATTCCTTTGGAGGCACTTTGACCACTAAGTAATTTGGCACTTTTTATAATTCTGAATTATTGACAGGTTACCTCTCAAATCACTGTCTAAATATACTACATGTCTAAAGTCTGTAAAGCACACCTGTTTAGATTTCATTTCATTTTTTTTTTTTTTTTGCTGTGCTAAATATTGTACTTACACCTGTCACGGTTCATGAATTCATTATCTCTTTCTCGTCTCGTTTCATTGCTGTTGTGTGTGTGTGTGTTACTAACCTTCAGCAAGGGCTTCCTGAACCTTTTCAGCATCAGCAGACAAGTACAAGTTTGTTTGCCAAGCTTTCAGGTACCCAATGGGGCTGCTACCTCCTGTCATGACGAACCGCTCAATGAAGAGATCTGGGGACAAGAGAATAATATTAATCCGCAATTAACATTTTCATGACAGCCAGTTATTATTACACTGATATATTTGCATTTGGTAGAAGCTTTTATCCCAAGCGACGTACGGTACATTGCATTCAAGCTATTTATCATAGCCTGCACCTTAATGTTTTAATTTAAACTACTATATAGGTATATATGCATTTCCATGTAAAATAGAAAGGCTTTTATGACTGGAGTCATCCTCTCACATGAGTGTACGTTGAAATCCATTTATCTATTAGATTCATTATCTAAGTACTATTTTCCTCAAATTATTTAATCAATGTATCACCGTTTTCAATTAAAAGGTTTCCCTTGAAACACCTCAGTTGAACTGTTTAACAGATGGAAAGCTTGAGACTGGTGAGAAATGTTGGGGTAATGTGCCCCTTTTAGCCTTTGACACATTAGGGTATGACTGCCAGCTCAGTAACACATTGAGCAGCAGGTTTGATTTACATGACATGTCAAGCCAAGTTTGCCCAGGAGGAGTAAAGTAACTAAGGGATCATTCTCGTAAAATGAACCCTGATCAGGATCCTGACGCATGTTGGTGGGATGGGATCATCCTAAAGGGGGTTATTTTGCAATAGCCTAATAATAATTTTACAATAAATGTGTACATTATCAAACATGGCTACTCAGTGTGTTATTTTAAGTTATTTTATTATGTAAAAAGAAACTGTGGAGTACAATTGAAACCAAATGACAGTACCAAATAGGACCTAATATACAGTTTAGCCTCATCATTCAATATGCAACCAGCAAATGCTGCGACTGACTAATCAGAATGAAGTATTCCTGAGAGAACCTAAATGATATTTTTTTAAAAAGGCTCGTGATATTTCAATCTCCGCATTACAATCACATCACATTGACACAATGTTGAGCTTTGATCCAATTCATCATTTTGGTTGAGATTGACATTTTAAAGTTTAAAGTGTGTTGGATCAGCATTTAAAAATTTTGATGAAAGCCGACAGCACACATGTGGGAGCAGTGATATTGAACTAACATTGATTTGTTGTTGTTGACCACAAGATCATGAAAGTATAGGTGTTTTAAACTTGGAACAAGTTGAATGCGTGTAGTATGAGTGTAATCTGGATGTACTAAATTCGCCATGCTGTCATTATCGCGTGACCTACTACTGTCAGTTGTGTCGCGTCACTGCCATTCACAAATCCTCTCCTGAGGCCTCATGGGATATTAGTCCATAGTATGCACTTCTCACCGGAAGAAGTGGGTCATCCGGGTACATTTTTGCCTACACTTTTATAATTACTGTGAATTCAGACATTCTTCTTCAGTCACATATTTATGACCACTATTTGCAATTTCGGAATTGATTGCAGCCAAACATAGAAAGATTGGACACCCCTGCCACATGCTTCTATTTGTAAATGTTAATTGAAGAAACCATATTGATTTTGATTCTTTTATATAATTTTTGTAATGTGTTTTGGAGCATTAGGCTCACATTTATCTCCTAACAAACATTTTTTTTGTGGTTCAGAACTCATAGTTCTGACTTCAAATGGCTCTTGAAACATCAGTCCATATCCGCATTTTTGTTGTTTTGTCTTAAGAAAGGCCAAAAGATGGAGAGATGTTTGTTTTTTCTTCAGTTAGCCACCGGGACGATCAAAACCAGTCCAGCTGAGGCGCTACAGGGAACTGAGCAGGAAGTGGCTGGTTTGCGCTACAAAAGGTTAAAGGTGTCACATGCATCTCTGTGGGAAGATATTATTGGCCAGCTGGAGATTTATCTTCTAAGAAAATATTTGGATTTACAGTTTTGTGTCCTTAGAATCATGTTGTTACTTTCCATCCCGCACTATCAACTTATTGATTGATAGTACCAGTCTATTTGTTTTGCGGTTTTGTTATTGATTTGATTCAGATTTAACTGCCTTTTCTAATATGAATAATCATTTTCTGTTTTGTTAATATGAACATAAATATCTTTCCGCCGGTGTGTGTCCAACCATCAGACTTGTGTTCACCAGTAACATCAGATCTTTTTTCCAATTATACTTCCTGAGAATCGCTATACTCTTTCTTTGAACAAAACCAACTAATATTTAAATCTCTAGAAAGGAACAATACAAATCTTTTTAAATCTCTTAATTACCTTTGAATGCTCAGATGTGTGTCTAGACAACACTACACTCTAAAAATCCAATTGTTGGATTAAAAAAAAAATGCAATTTATAAATTTAACCCAACAGCTGGGTTTGTCCATATTTGACCCAAAATTGGGTTAAAACAACCCAGCATTTTTTTTTTTGAGTGTATAAATACAATAGACCTGAATACAGGTCTAAAAGAGGATATCAGAGGATAGCTTGTATCATAGTTTTATATCATCATATTTCCAAGCCCCTAAACTTTTATGGTAAAGCACTAAGACACTAAGTTATGGCATTAATGTACCACTTTCTTTAAAGCTGTTTTGAAATGATTCACTTGGGTCAAATATGGACAAACCCAAATGTTGGGTTAAAAAATTACAGCTGAAAGTGAAAGTTGAAGTTGGATTAAATTTTTTTAACCCAAAATTTGGGTTTGTCCATATTTTACCCAAAAATTGGGTTCAAACAATCCAGCATTGTGTATGCATATTGTGAAAAGCACTATTTTTTACATGACTTGAAAGGTTTCAGCTTTTGCAGTTAATAACTAATTAAAAAAATAATAATGATCTGCTAGTGAGGTCAGAAAAATAATCTTGTTTTCCCTTTAGATTAAGTTGTGTGTAATGGATAGTGAGAGTCCAGGTTATGGGAGGGTCAGTAATACACTTACTGTGGTGGTTGATGGTGTTGATGAGTCTGACGCCTACGTGGGCATGGTTGTAAGTTACAAGCACAATGTCAAAGAGCTCCTCACTTTCTGGGTAGAGCTCCCGCAATCGGTCGTTTACTGCCTCCAGTGCCTGAGAAAACATGCCAAATAAAGTGTCTATCAAATGAAGAGGTGTAGAATCAGTCAATATTATTATAAGGCAATGTCGTTTGAAATTATAACTTGATAATGCATTATATTTTTATATCCTTGTGTGTTACCTTAACAAACGGGAATGCTGGACCAGGAGCAAAAGGCTCATTCTCGTGCTCCATCTGATATCTGAGGTACTCCTCTATTCCTTGCTCCTCAAACACCTTCTGCTCTTTCTCCGTGCGGAACATAACCCGCGATGACACTGCAATGGTGACAGCGTTCTCTGGTTTGGGCTGAATAGGGATGGTGAAAGTGCTGTGAGACATTCATCACAAACACAAGGCAATTTTGAGCATATAACGTGCAAGAACCGGGGAGCTGGTTCTTCTTTTGGCTGAAAGCATGTATGTTTTTCATAAAAGTGGTCTATCTACTGTATATGAAAGCTTTGTGTGACAAATAGACTGAAATTTAAGCTAGTTTTCACTTTTATATTCTCTTATATCTGTTAAAATCTTCTTATAGTGCTCAAATTTCACTTGTGAGTTGAATTTGCACATTGCATATCATCAATGGTTATCAATTATACACTACAGAATGTATTCATATTTTAAATTAGCTTTTAAATGTTTTTTTATTTATTAAAAAAAATCTTATAGGTCTATCATTTTTTTCAAATATCTTGAAATGCATTTTATTGTTACATTTAAAATATTAATTTTAGCTTAACTTAATTTGTTATGTGATTTTGTCGTGTTCATTTTTCATATTTCCCTTTAGCTTTTTTTTTTTTTTTTTACAAATTTTACTTCATTTCTAATTTTTTCCTATTTAAAAAAAGTCTAATAATATAGTATATCTAATATTTTAATTACTTAAAAATTAGAAATACTGTTGGATATAAGAATTTAGTATCATTGATTAAAAACCTGGCAAAACATTATAGATAGTTATATATATATTATATTATAATGTATAGATAGTTATATACATTATGTGATAGTTTTTAGGTGAACTGTCCCTTTAAAACATCATATTTGAATAATCACATGGAAGGAAGATTACTGAATTACAATGTCGCTTAGGTATCGTTTTCTTCAGATGACTTAAAAAATATAGTTCACAATCCATATAGACCACTTTAGCATTCTGCTAAACATCTTATTTTGTGTTCCATGGAAGATCATAAATCATACTGATTTGAATCATTATAAGGGTGAGTGCATAAAGCAATTTTAAAAGAACAGTATGAAATGCAATAGCCATCTCTCCTCAGCAAGCAACCATGCGTCATTACAGATTATCTTGTTAAGTGAGAAGGCAAGAGTGGAGCGATTAATAAAGAGCACATTAGGATGTCCGCTTTCAGAGTAGGTCAGACAGGACTGGTATTCAGTCAGTATTTCATGCTGTCACATACTGTAGATATAGTCTACTAAGAGTGATCCAGTGATCAAAGTAAAATTCACTTCCAAGTAATGTTTTCTATCCCTGTTCTGTAATTCAGTGGACACTGGTAATGTATCAAATGGTGTAGTTGGTAACGTGATTCCCAGCAGCAGAGCGTAAAACATGTACAGTGTTTATAGTCACATGGCCCACATCAGCTGACTAGCAGCTCAGTATGTCACAGGAAACCGAGGAAGAGCAGGGCTAGTTAATTTTGGAAAGGGGCTACCGAATGACGCAGCCAGACCGCTGTGTGTGCCGTTCAGCATGAGCGACCAGAGACATGTACTGCCTGAGGGGTTATGGGAAAAGGACAAGCCAGTGTAAATTGATCTGTGATGAGTGAAAAGCCTTTCACCAAAGAACCGGAGACTGATTTGCCATTCCAGATGAGCCATGATGTTGTGTTGGTCATGCTGTGAGATCCTGAGAGGTTTGAACAGGACTGGGAAATGTTTTAACGAAAGGGGGTCCGGGATAGACGTTACCGGGAAATGAGAGTGGATAAGTGCCCACTGCATTACATATGGCCAGTTGAACCAGAATTGAACTATTCAGCACACTGTTAGATGGAACATTTACTCTAACAGCCCTTTACAGATCTGGAAAAAAAAGTGAACATTGACCTGCTCTTTATCGTAATTGTCTGAACTCTAGTGCCCACTTTTCAGCTAAATGTGCCCATTTAGACATTAGTGATTTCTGAACCAGACAGAAACATGAGGGCAAAAACACAGGGAAGAAAGTTACACTTTTAGAACATGCAATTTAGGATGTTTTAGGAACTAAACAAAAAAAAAAATGTTAAAATAGAATTATTCATTTAGAATGTGAATTTAGGCCCCATAGGGGCCTCAGCATATTTCCAAAAGGGCCCAAGAAGACTTGAAACGGGCGCAATCAAACAGACCGAAACAAAACAGACATTCTGACACCGAACGCACATTTCAAAGTAAAATAACTGACACCATTGGTTTTCAGAGAAACGAGTGTGAATACTATGGTAATTTTTTATGTTTTAATACAGTCAAAAATTGACATGCAGCACCTTTGTTATTTCCACAAAAGTTATTTCCACTCTAGAGTCAGACTTTAGGGCACCACTGTGTGTTATGTTGTGGTTATACTACTTATTCTGCCATTTTTTATGTCTCTCTAGTGGTCAATCACAGGAAAGCAAAACATATTGATTGCATCGCACATTCACATCAACTTAAAGGCATACATGCCTTCTGTTAAACATCAGTAGTAGCACACATCTTCTAAAAAAGGTTTTCTATCCTGTAAAAATGGAATTATCAATGTTATGACAATATATGTGTTTACATATTATACAAGATTCAACTAATTTTTATAGTAAAATTGATGTAATTTAAGTTGAAATGACTTAAACATCCAAGTTGATTCAACTTAAAAAAAAATTAAAGCATCACTTTTGACAAATTTCAAATTTTAATGACTTTGTACCCAGTAATCTGTTAAATGAATTGAAGCACCATCAAACTGAGCTCTTAAGAATGCATTAACAACTTTGTTTGTGCAAGTCCATATTGTGGGTCAAAAGGTCATGCGTTTAGTAGAGCCAAGCAGAACAGATTGTTAATGAAATGGCAGAGAGCAAAATCTGCATGACCCTTTGAAAATACTTACAAAAAATATGCCTCCCTCCACCTTCCTGGTCCGTCTCACAGGTCCCTTCATAAAATAACATTTCACATCAACCTCCATGTCACAGGAATACAAATTTGTCTGTTATGTAATGCATGTAACAATACATATGTTCTGGTTGGGAAAGAATTTGCCATGATTGGAAATGAATAGGAAAACACAGCTGGGACAAAATGCTGGGACAAAACCTAGTTGAGAACAGAACCACCAAACCATGATGACCGTAAAAAAACCAACGACAATATTGGTATACTTCCGATTCAACAAGAAGAGACACTGTAATTCACTAAGAGTTATGGATAAGTGATATCTGAATTGTGGCGCTTTGGAATGGATGTTTCTATAGAGGGTTTTACCATATATATCAGGCGCGGAGTTTGCGGGGGGGCAGGGGGAGCGTTGCCCCCCCGGTGGCTGAAACGGGTAATCGCATTTTCTTAAAAAAGCTGTAAAAAAACTACCAACCCCAATCTCTATAAACAGTTATCGCTCACTCGGTCGATTGTGTCATCTAACTCTGAGAGAAGCTTTTCTGCGATAAATGGGCGTCAATTTGAAATGTGCTGGGGACAGAGACGTACTCGAAAGGGCATTTTCACAAGTGCTGGGTACGCATTCATTCTTTTTCTCTCTTTCGAGTAGGTCATGTTTTGAAAGACGATGTTCTGTAGCTCCTGATGTACATAAATAAAAATGAGCACAATGTCCGAGTATAGTGAGTATAAAGTATATACGCCCTTTATTGCATAAATAAAAATGAGCACAATGTCAGAGTATAGCACTTTTTTCATGTGTATAGTGAGTATATAAAGTATATACTCCCTTTTTCGTGTATACAGTGATGGTCCAGATCCAGGACTCGGGAGGTTCGAGGTTCTAATCCGCACTCGTAAAGTTTTTTTTTTCCCCTCATCAAAACCAATAGGTAGCCTAATCCCGTGTCTTAAAATTTTTTCAATGATTCATGAAGTATAAATGCGAAATTTAACTAGTTTTTTAATCATTATCATTGCCAGAATGTGTTTTGAAAAAAGGAAAGAAAACTTTAAGGTTGAAGATAATATTTTAACAGTGCAAAAGTGGTCCACATTTTATGATCCTATAACGAAGATGCGACGCGAAGTGGCTGTTAATGCGAAGTTCTAGCTGTTTACAATGACATAAAGGCAATAAAATATCAGTGTATTGTTTTACTGTTTTTTCTTGGGATAAAAATAAATATGTGTTTATTTAGCATGTTTTTTTTTTTTTGCCCCCCCTGACTCGAATGTCAAACTCCGCCTATGATATATATATATATATATACAGTACATAAGCTGTCTGCCATATTGGAGAGGTCAGTAAACATTCAAGAGCAAGTTAACTGAGCATCTGCAACTGTATTTAGACGCATGTATGAATATCTATAGACTTCAGCAGATGATTTTGCTACACTTAACACAATAAAACAAGACAAAGGCGTCAGCTGACACGACATTAAAAAGTAAAAACATTAAAAGTACGATAGTAAAAATATGTAATATTGAGTTAATACACATAAAAACACAAACCAACACATTCACACTTGTGAAAGGTTGTCCCATTTCTTAGAGAATTCAAATCTCAGCGGTTTCACAATCAGAAGCTGAGTTGACCATTGCAAGATGGCGGGTGTGCCGACTGGTTTGGAAAGTGGAATCTATGTATACATATCTATGGTTTTTGCTCTCCTGTAGTGATGTTATATAATAGGGGTGGCACGGTTCACAAAACCGACGGTTCGGTTTGTATCACGGTTTTAGTGTCACGGTTTTCGGTTCTGTACGGTTCTTGTTATTTTTTTTCTTTTAATCTTTAACACTCCAGAAATGTACTTCAGCATGTGATATTTAGCTTAATTATCCACACTTTAGGATACAGTATAAAAAAAATTATATTCATGCAATCATGCACAAACTGAATTTGACTCTTTGACTTTAAGCACATTTTGGGACTATCTCAGAGGAAAGCTAGGTGAGATTTAGATACAGCAAGAGAGAAGACATTGACATGCTTTTCATTTATTTTGAAAAAAAAAGGAGAATGTGTATCACTATCTCTACAAGAACTTGAGCATTTTTATCACACAAATCTTATTTACACAAAGAAATTAACTTGCATTTATCAACTGACAACTTTTGTAGCTCTTACAAAAATTCTATCTTTTAAAAGAAAAAAAGAGGAACTACACTGTCTTTTATGAATAAGTTAATATACATGAATACCTCATTGCCTATAATTAGGCTATAGCAATATAGCAAAGGCCATAAACATAAAGTGAAACAAGTTCAACCTCAACACAAAAAACAGTATAAACAATGCTTCTATTCCCAAAAAGTGAGGGTACCTTTTTTCACTTGAAATTAAAGTGCAGGATTTCGAAACATATGACTGGAGCTCTTATCTAAACATAAAGTGCCACTGTAGCGTTATATTAAAATATCATAACATGAAATCCAAAATGTTCCCACACACCAGACTTATAGGACGCTCGCGCTTCCTCCAACTCCCTCATCTCTCCCACTTGCCATTTCTCCGCGTGCCGTGACCTGCAGCGCTCCATACTCCACTTTTACTGGATTGCTTACTAAGAACCGGCATACAGAGCGATCGGTAATGACATCAAATACCGCGAAAGTGAGTGACGGAGCCGTCGTTCCCGCTCTAGTTTGATGTTATTCACCGGTCGCTCTGTGCAGCGCCGGTCCAAGTTGAACAAGCTTATGTCGTGCGAAAAGAAAACAAACGTGACATACGGACACGAGGCTACATTGCGCATGCGTCGAACCGTGAGACGCACACACGCTCCGAACCGAGACAAGCGAACCGAACGGTTCGGGTGTTTTTTCATGTACCGTGCCACCCCTATTATATAACCATGTGCTTGGAAAAGCTCCTTGAATGCTTGTTCAGTAGTATATGATGTTATTTGTGGTTCAAACTCTTTAATTACACTGGCACAGATACAGTTACAGACATGGTGGTGGAGGGGGGGTAACTGCTTACCAGTAGCAGTTCGTCTCAGGAAACAATCTTTTGGTGAATAAACTAAATAAACGCTGTGTTTTCTTTTCCTGTTACCAGGCGGAAACAGAAACTCAACCTCTGATCCTTTGCACTGCATCCATTCTTTAAAAATATACTGTAAAGTGAGCAAAGAAAGACACCATCCCTCTTAAATCTCTACATGGAATTGACCATTTCGATTTGGAAATTGGGCATTATTACATTAAAGACCTACCAATCATTTAACAATTTTTTTTATGAGAGATTTAGATTTTGATCCTGGCTACGATATTGAAGTACAAATGCTTTGCGGTTGTGTTTTGGGTCAGTGCCATGTTGAAAGGGTTAAACATTTTCCTAATGTTTGGGGTCCGGAAGTGTGCTTATTAGCTAAACAAGCTTTTTAATGCTTTTTTAAATGCAATTTATTCTTGTGATGATAAAGCTGAATTTCCAGCATCATTACTCATCATTACTGTCAAATGATCCTTCAGAAATCATTATAATGCTGATTTAGCGCTAAAGAATCATATATTGTTATTATTGTGCAGCTAATTTTTTTTGTGTGTGTGTGTGTGTGTGAGAAAACTATGATCATTTATTTTATTTTTTTCAGGATTTGTTGTTAAATAGAAATTTCAAACAGAAAATAAATTTAAAATAATTTACTGCTAATAATTTACTGTCATTTTAAGCATTTTAATACTTCCTTGCTTATTAAAAGTATTCATTTCTTTCAAAAAATTAATAAACTTCCGGACCCCAAACATTTGAAAAGTAGTGTCTGTTATAATTTTGCAACATTTTGCATATTAATTAAAAAAAGTACAATTTAAATAAATTAATATATTCATATACCGTACTAACTTTTACATGTGGCTGTTTAAGTGCTGGTTCCCATTATAACTACGCTACAGTGTACATGCATTAAAATAAATTGTAACGTCTTCCTAATCAATAATGCCAGGAAATATTCAACAGCCTTTTTTCTGTCAAGACTTTAAGGCAGAGATATATTCACTCACTGGAGTAAAATGTGTGACAACTAGCCCCGGGCTCCACTACCTGCACAGATAAAAATACAATCGCAATTCAGGTTTTTAAATAAAATATTTTCTAATTATTTCCGTCACTTGGCTAATATGGGTTTTGTACCCACTGCATAGTAGACAATTTCCCTGCTGGGTACGAAGAACCATGAATCATTCTTGGGTTGGGTCGGTCTGGGACAACTAGTGCAAGTGTTAGAAATAGGAGAATACAAGAGGATAACAAAGAGGAGAATGGCATTGCAGGTTATTAATAGATCTGGAAAAGGCCAGTGCCGCTTATAATAAGTATAGAGCTAAAAGCTGCGACGGAGAAGGGAATAATCCACATGGTGTTGACCAACTGCCTGTTGCACACGCTAAAGGAGCAGTTTTTATGTGTTAAGGAGACTGAGCCATCCAAAATGTATTTGACAACACATCTAAAGTTCTCTAAAATACAAAAACAATGCACTAGGCCAGACAAGCTCTCATTTTATAAAGCTCTGCCCTTGATTGTAACTATTTTATTCACCACAACATATGACAGATGGCATTTCGATATCTTTACGGCGGTGATTCCCAGAGTCTAAATTATCTGCACCTGCTGCACCTCCGATGGCATTATCTCCTTACATTAGTAGCCTACTGTTACCTAATAGTGCTATTACCCCTCCTTTCCCATGAAACCTGTTCTGCTTCTCTTTTATAAACACTGACACCACAACCAGACACCACAACATGAAAGGCTATGATCCTCTTTACATTATATTTCATGTAATTAGCTATTCTCTGTGGAGGGAAAAGTGAGACTGCAACTATAAGACTAGCTTCACAGCGCCATTGAAACACGTGCACTACTCACCGTATGTAAACATTTCACACACTAAATAGCCGTAAAAAGTGTGACCTTACCAGAAAAAGGTCAGAAGCCATAGGAAAATCACATCACAATGAATGTTAAGAGTTATACTATGCAAATGTCCATCTGATGCACAAATACAGTGTGAAACACTGATCACAAATGGGACACTTACTGATTTGGGCTTCTTTGTAGAAGCCATATTTTCATGGATATCCTTGCTGTCCTCCCAGGATGCTTTGCTATCACCGTTTGAGGCTGGCGGACAGGTGTTGGGCATGGGGTCTTGCCCCTTCATGACCTGAACATGGTCAAGACTCATTTTCCCCAACGCTTCTCATTAACGACACACTAATCCAGGGCTGTGCTATTCTTTCTGATCACATGCACAGCCTCTCTTCCACACACAGTGTGTGTTCCCAGCTTTATGCAGGACAGTGCTGTTGGTATCCAATGGTATATCCTGCTTCAAGGTCTAATGGCAGTGCTGGCTTTAGTTGTGTGCGTCTATATCCTCTCTGCTCTGACGCTCTGCCTGCAATCTGCTGCTGTGACGCGGTGTGTGTTGATATCTGGCCCCTTCTCTCACCCTCCCTCACTCACTCACTCCTCTCATCCCTCACTCATGCACATACTGTCCCCCTCCCTTTCCCTGTATTACGTGCTATCATCTATCTGCATGTGCTCTCTCTCTCTCACTCTCTTAGTAAACTAGACAAAATATCATACATTCAGCCAGGATCAGCATATATCGGCCAATGAATAATGAGCTTCCCTGACAGCTGTCCTTCCTAGTCCCTGTCATTGGCAGCCCTGACACACGAGAGACAGGTAGATACCAACACAAACACTGTTCTTTTTCCGCACTGTCCCCTTAATGGCATTGTTTGTAACCCAATAATTAGTTGCTAGGCAGCACTTCGACCTCATGCAGTAGAACCTTGCCAGAGATTGGCTGCTTAATGGCAGCCCTGCCCTGTCAACAGCCTTGGGGATATGAGTGGCAAACTGTCCACACTGTACATAGAGTGATAGACTGCCCTCTTCTGGGTAAAAAGGAACTACATTCTCTTCGCTCATCATAGGATACCACACCTAAATTTAACACTTAAACACTCCCAATTGAACTAACGTCTATTCCTGGCTTAATCTAAACCCTGTCTGTTAAACCAGGCCTTTTATTCTGCATACATCAGTCTTATTTCTCCCCATAGGAACATGTGAGGAGAAAAGCCTCAGTGGAGGCTTTAAAACAACATTAAATAGCTAAATATGACACAAATGAAATCCACTACAACTCTCAACCCAGTTTCACAGACGAGGTTTAAGCCCAGTCCCAAACTAAATTCCTGATTGAGCTGTTTTAACTGAAAGCAACTTTCACTGATCATAAAATATGTCAGTGCCATTCAAGATGCACACCAGTCATGTTTTCTTCTAAGTCACATACAATATAAAAGATCCTTAAATGCTCTAATTGAACTAAAGACTAAACCTGGCTTAATCTAGCCATGTGTGTGAAACTGTGCCCGTTTGCATAAAGTGTATGTTGGTGTTGCATAAAAAAACCCTTGTAGGTAAACTGATCCTCTCATTTTCCCCCTCATTTCACTTGAAGTTTGGGCCTCCTGTCCACTTCTTAAAACAACAGACTGGAAATGGTAAAAAGATAATAAATACTTGTGACATGTATTGAATGTACTGACCATACATATATATACAATATGAATACGAAGCTCTGCAGACCAACTCGACATCATATCTCTAAAAAATAAAGTCTATCTTCTGGCATCAAAACTACTCAAACTGGCTGTAAGTTAAATGTAAGTTATTTACTGAAACACTGTAAGTGAATGTCTCCATCATTTCAGCGTTGCTAAGCGAAATACTTAGTAGTATATACATAAAAAGATTGTCATTATTTTATAAAGAGTCGATACTTACGGTATTATATTATATAAAAGACTTTTACTGTGAAGTGCCGTTTATCATGGAAAATCCCACACGTCATCTTGCTTCACATCGTTGTTAGCGGCGGCGGAACGGAAAGACAGATAGCACCAGTGCTTCCTGAAAGTCCAAACAAAACATGAGTTATTGCCGTTTTCTTTAGGTTTTGAAAAAAAAAAAAAACTGTTTGAAATTAGTCGGAAAATAGTCGTTCGTTTGAATAACAAGAATGGAGCATTCGGTGCCCAAAAAGTAAGTGAAATGGCCAGCTCGGCTAACCAGTTATCAACCAAGCTAATATTTACAGGCCTCATCTCACTAACCAAACTGAAACTTCATATCATTGAACGAACTAGACAACATTGTGTGGTTGATATCTTGATGTTCGTTGCTATATCTACAAAATGACGCTTGAACGTATTCTGACCTACAGTTATGTTAATTGTATCTAAGTTTGGGTTACATTTATAATTGCGAGTGTCTGAACCCATGAAATTTTATCATGCATTAAATAAAGTACAATTGTCTTGTTCATGACAGTAAGCTGAAGAAACTCAGTGAAGACAGTCTTACCAAGCAGCCAGAGGAAGTATTTGATGTCCTTGAAAAACTTGGAGAAGGGTGTGTACCACTCTTATACTTAAATGATATTGAATTCATTTTGTATGAAATATTCACATAATGAATTATTTTTGGTTCAGATCATATGGCAGTGTTTTTAAAGCCATTCACAAGGAATCAGGCCAGGTGGTGGCCATTAAACAGGTTCCTGTCGAATCAGACCTACAGGAAATCATCAAAGAGATCTCCATAATGCAGCAATGTGACAGGTAAAGCAGCTCATGGATTAATAATAATAATTAAGCATTTTAGTAATATAGTGTTATTGGGCTTCCCAATTAATTCCCAATTACTCTATCCTTGTATTTTAACAGTCCTTATGTGGTGAAGTACTATGGCAGCTATTTCAAGAACACAGATCTGTGGATTGTGATGGAGTACTGTGGCGCTGGATCGGTGTCTGATATCATCAGACTGCGCAATAAAACGGTAAAATATGAAAATATTATAACTATACATACACTATACAGATTCATCCCATGCTTAATAACACTGTTTTTTTTTTTCTCATGACAAGCTCACCGAGGATGAAATCGCCACTGTTCTCAAATCCACCTTGAAAGGTCTGGAATATCTCCATTTCATGAGGAAAATCCACAGGGACATCAAAGCTGGGAATATTCTTCTCAACACAGAAGGCCATGCCAAACTAGCTGATTTTGGAGTGGCTGGACAACTTACCGTGAGTATTAAACCTATCTGCTTTAATGTAGAAAAATTGCACAAATTATTTGTCAAAGGTTTGGACATTACTGATTATTAATTTATTTTTATTTTTTTAGAATAATAGTATAGTCATCGAAAAAATTAAAGAACCAGCGTTTTTCTTGTTTGTACGTTGATGTTATTGAATTTTCTTTATTGCTCCAGTTTCTCTCTAAATTAGTTCCTGTAAAAATTACATACCATACTGTACCATCTCCACTGTAACATGGTCCCATATAGCAGTAAACTAAGATAAATAAGATTAACATTAAATGTAATTGATTAAAAATGCAATTCAGATTAAATTCAGATTTAGTAGTTTTAGCTTCTTCAAAAAGTCCAAATCATCCTTAAAAAAAGTTGGTTTTGAAAACAATTGACTAAACTATTTGTTTGACTACAAAACTAATTTAAAGCATTCAGATCAAACGTTTTTCTCTCATCTATGTTCTTCTAATATATTTTTCGGTCAAGTTTGTCCAAACTGCTGGTGTATCATGTTGCATGAATTAAAATCATGTCTATTTATACTGACCAAAATAGGACACAATGGCAAAGAGGAACACGGTTATCGGGACACCCTTCTGGATGGCACCAGAGGTGATCCAGGAGATCGGATACAACTGTGTGGCTGATATCTGGTCTCTCGGCATCACGTCCATAGAAATGGCTGAAGGAAAGCCTCCTTATGCAGACATTCATCCAATGAGAGTGAGTGGGAACACTCTGAGAATTCTTTGACTTGAAATTTTGACTAGAAACTGCCTGGATGGTGACTCTGTCTGGTTTTGTTCTTTTGTGTCATCAGGCTATTTTTATGATTCCCACAAACCCTCCACCCACGTTCCGCAAGCCAGAGCTGTGGAGTGACGAATTCACAGATTTTGTGAAGAAATGTCTGGTGAAGAACCCAGAGCAGAGAGCGACGGCCACTCAACTGCTGCAGGTGTGGGAAGAGCCTTGTATTGCGAACTAATAGTTCCTGTTTATGATTCATACAGTTACTAATTCACTCTCTAATTTAGTTTGGGGGTTTTCCATAAAGTAGTGTTTAAAAATATCTAATATACTTTGGCAGCATCCCTTTATAACCAATGCTAAGCCAGTGATCCTTCTGCGGGACCTGATCACAGAGGCCATGGAGATGAAGATCAAGAGACAGCAGGAGCAGCAGAGAGAGCTGGAGGAGGAGGATGAGAACTCTGTGAGTTGCACATCAGTTGTTCAGCAGTTTACGATTAGCTCAGCATTTGTGTTATAGCTGATGTCATATGTGACTGCATTCTACAGGAGGAGGAAGTAGATTCCGGCACCATGATGAAGTCTAGTTCGGAGAGCGACGGCACCATGCGGGCCACGGGCACCATGAGCGATGGCGTTCAGACCATGATCGCGCACGATGGCACCATGCTGGAGTCTGACCTGGGCACCATGGTCATCAACAGCGATGATGAGGAGGAAGAAGAAGATCTCGGCTCGATGAGGAGTGAGGCTTTATGCCTTTATCTTTTCATTAACATTTTTGTGGCTCTTTGAGAAAAGTATAATCTGATGTTTTATCCTCTAAATAGGAAATCCTACATCTCAGCAAATTCAGCGTCCATCCTTCATGGACTACTTCGACAAGCAGGACTCAAATAAAGCTCAAGAGGGTTATAACCACAACCAGCAGGACCCGTGTTTAATTTCCAAGACCGCTTTCCCTGATAACTGGAAAGTGCCGCAAGATGGAGATTTTGATTTTGTAAGTGCTATGATGGATCTTTTGATTTGTTTTGTGTTAGAGCTGCATGATTAATTGCTAAAGTTCGCAATCTCAGTTCAAACACCCATGCAATCTTATTTCTAAATGACAAAAATACGGTTAAACCGTTGGCCGGTACAATTGCAGCATTCAAATCTGTGTTGGCGTTGTCACTGGCCCAGAGAGAGCAGTATACATATAAAACTTAAAGTAGCGCAGTGTTAGTTTCATTGACGAAAATAATGACAATTTTTTTTTCAACAACATTTTTTTAAGAGGCGAAAACTAAATAAAACCTAGTTTTGAATGACAAAAAATCTATTGATGCCTTTCATCAACTATAGTGATTATCTGGGAAGTGATCCAGTCAGAGAACTGATGTCCTGCGTGTGGTAGATGTGCATATTTGTACTTTAACGTACTGATCTATCCTGCGGTAGTTAATAAAGAGTAGTTAATAAAGAATGCATACATCATATTGGATGTTCAAACTTAAAAATCATTCAGATTTTTATGGTTAATAGATGTTTTTTTTCCGGGAGTATATGGGTTTGGAAATTTTAGAGAAATTCTAAATTAACGCATTACAATTTACCTAAACCCATATTTTAATCGACTAAATCTACTGTAGATTAAGTGGAATAATATCTTATTGTATTTCACCAACTAAACCTAAAAAAATTCAGATGACTATAATATGACTAAATCTAAATGGCATTTTAGTCAAGACTGAGACTAAAACTAAATCAAAATTTGCTGTCAGAATTAACACTGGAGTGTGATCAAAATAGAATAAATCACTTTTCGAAATCAACTTGACGCTTTAAATATTGTATCAATTACATCATAACACCTGACCTGTAGGTGTTAACAAGTGACTGTTAATTTTTTTTATTTGTCAATGAATCCAAAACACATACTTCCCCACTATACTGTAGGCGAAAAACAGCATGTGACAAAATAAGTTTTTCTGAATTCACTGTACTAAAAAAGATGGCAAAAGGAACCTGGTTGACCTATTTCTTCCCGGGGAGATTCTGAAGTGCATACGATGGACACTTTACTATCCCATGGGACCAAAGGAGAGTAGTTAAATAGACTGCAACAATTAAAATTTTGTCGGAACCTCTTGTAAATGAAGTTATTTAGTTAAACTAAACTTAAATTAGTTTGCTTGTCTATTCAGATTTGTGATCTCGGTAACACTTTACAATAAGGTTCATTTATTGAACATTAGTTAATGTATTAACTAACATGAACTAACCATGAGCAATACATTTGTTACTGTTTTTGTCAATCTTTGTTAACGTTAGTTAATACAATACAATTCCAGCTGTTCATTGTTTATTCGCGTTAGTTCACAGTGCATTAACTAATGTTAACAAGATTTTAATAAAGTATTAGTAAATGTAAAAATTAACATTAACATAGATTAACAAATGCTGTAGAAGTATTGTTCATTCTTAGTTAATGTTAACTAATGAACCTTATTGTAAAGTGTTACCGTGATCTCTATGTTAAACAAAATTGTGATCCTCAATTTAATCCCGAATCTTGCAGCTCTATTTGTATGCATAAAGCTGATTAAACTGAATTAGTTTTTCTGTCTATGTAGCTGAAAAACCTTGATTTTGAGGAGCTCCAGATGCGTCTCACTGCTCTGGACCCCATGATGGAGCGAGAGATCGAAGAACTACGGCAGCGCTACACGGCTAAAAGGCAACCCATTCTCGACGCCATGGATGCGAAGAAACGCAGACAGCAGAACTTCTAACCAACTTCACAGAAGCTGAAGCTTCAAAGCTGGCTGGCCAGATCTTATGTTCCCTCCTTTGTTAAATCTTTGTACTGATGCATCTGATTCTAAACTGCTGTTTCTACTTTTGAAGAAGGTCCTAGTGGATGTATAAAACAACAACAAAAAAGTCAAGATATAATACTCGATCAAGATTTTTTTTTTTTTTTTGTTCTTTAGAATTCAAAGGTCATCCTAAATAGAAAAGATTGAGTCTCACCCTCACAATATTATGAAGTTTATGCTTTTCTGCTTTTCTCTAATTTCCAAAAACCAGAGATGGGGGACTCAAGTCACATGACTTGTCTCAAGTCGCACATTTAAAGGGCAACTAGACCCCTGGTCAGAGGCTGACTCCACCCACTGGCATTATTTTAAAAATGCTGAAAAAATGGCCAGACCCGCCGGAGTTAGTGGGGACGAATCGAGATTAAGACTTCGTCTTAACTTGACCCTTAGCAGGACTCAACTTGACTTGACTTAGTTGTGTGTACCTGCGACTTATACTTGCTTGAGACTTTATGGTATGGGACTTGAGACTTGCTTGTGACTTGAACATGTGTGACTTAGTCCCGTCTCTGCCAAAAACTCTTTACATCTATGGTTAATACTGTTCTTATACTGTAAATGAAGCCAAGGCAAAAATAACTGTGATAATGTAATGTTTTGTGGCTGAATTCATAAGAAATGCTGGTTGAACTGCTGCAGTCATTTTTAGGTGTGATTATTAAACCAAAGACAATCAAAAGCAGACAATGCCTTAGAGTGCTTGTTAACCCTCTTTTTGAAGTTCACGTCACCAAGCTTTAGGTTAGGACCATGTTACAGTAGGGATCTTTTTCATGGAATTAATTTAGAGAAATGGGACCATTAATGCAGCTATGCTTTCATCAAAATTCCTCTTCAGCACAAAGTAAGGTTTGAAACATCTGTCCACAGCTTTGTAAATATGCATGGCTTATTTATGCTGAATGTAATTTTCTCAGTTTCTGAATGTTTTTGTGTCATCTTCCCTGTTTTCTTCACTGCCAGTGGCTCTTTGATAACGTGTGGCAAATGTTTGTGTGAGGAAGTGAGAACTACATTTCCTGTGCCCCATTTTAAAGTTCTTGCTTTATCTCAGGGGTTGCTCATCTTCGAACTCTTTCCTCTGGTCTGTTTCAAAGATTTTAATGCAGTGATATTGTGTTTCTCATTATGGGAATGGTACCATCATTATTGAGTCTCTCCATACCTACCATAAGCAATACGGCAACTCGAGGACAGTAATGTAACAATGCCAGTAATGTGAATGGCCTAAAATGTTGCTGAATCTTTTAAGAGAAGGATGAATAGTTTTTAAAGGACTCTTAACAATGTTTATTCCCTGATTGTGGACTGATGATGTCTACGAATCTGAGCTGGTTTGAAGTATAGTCAGTTAATCATTTTTATAGTTAGGGATGTTATCAATACCTTACATTTCCTGCAGTTGTGAGTTATATCAGTTTGTTTCTTACTCTGACATTTACATAGGCACGTCTTTACTGAACACTCTAATTTATTTTTGCATTATTCATATTGTATGTTATTTTTTGCACCCTGCATAGAGTTTTTGAATAAAGGTCTGTTACTTGTCTCATTAATTCACATTTGGACTTCTTTAACAATATATTTTTAGCTATTAAATATACAGAGAAACCTGGACAGGTTTGTATGAAAAAATTAATAAAAATGTAGTGAAGTAAAATCTTTTTTTCCGCTTAAACATATTTAATCAGATTCGGAAATTGTTCTTTTTTAAGCAAATGTCTATGTATCTATTAAATTATTACATTTGCTTGTGCAGACGTTGGGTGTTAAAAAAGCATAATACTTTGATTTTAACTACGAATACAAAAAAATCCAAGTAATTAAAAGAGGAAATTAAGTTATTTAACCATTTTTACCGGGTATTTAAACTATCCACTGCCTTTCGTGAATAAGAATTTATCCACTGGTTACACGAATTACCGTAATCACTCTATTACACATACTCTGATTTATGAACTTCCAAGTGCCAACATCTATATTTAATTTAGCCTCTGCATAAAGAAACGAAACAGATCGTTTTAACGTGTATTCTGTCTTCAAATTCTTCCATTTAAATCTTTAATAATTATATAGTTCTGAACTGTACGAATTCTGCGAAATGTTAAGGTTTCATCTAAACTAACGCCTCTATATTTGGGTCGTTACGGTAGGAATCGCTGACGCCTACTGGAAGTGATTCTCTACAAACCTGTTTGCTTTTGCCATTGACTTTTACACTCATTCATCAGCTCAACTGAAAGTTAACGTGTGATCCACGGGTCTCCAAGTGTTGAAATATGTCTGCGGTTATTAGAAAGATCATTCACACAGCAGCAGCTCCTGCCGCGATCGGGCCTTACAGGTGATTATTAGTTAGTTCCTCAATAATAAACGCACACGTGACATGCTCACTCTAGCATATGGAAAATAGGAAAATTACCCATAGACTGTAAAAAAAGAGTTGTACCTAAATCACCGACAGTTATGAATGTTATGTCAGAGCAACAAAAGGCCTGACATAAGTTGCAGTGCAATATTTGTTCGGGGCGTGTCTTTAGACAGCACACTCGGCAACTTTGTGCTTTAGATTTCTGTGCAAATTTTCATATACGGTTTAGTCGAGATGTCTTCTGTTCATAGAAAATTCCCATATACAGCTAAAGCCCCTGTTAGACAGGGCATATACAGGTAAGATTCTTGTCAACCAGCTTTAATGTTAGAACACATTTAGATTCCAAACTTTCTTAAATTGTATAATTGGGATTGTATTATGCATGCATTATAATCTGATTTTGGAAGTGAATTCAGTATTTGCAAACAAAAAAAGCATCAGTTTTTTTTATCATTATTATTATTATTATTATTATATATTTTTTGTATATAATAACTTGAATGTCTTTACAATGGGGGTGTTTATGTTTCGACCAATAGACAGTAAGAGGAGGTGTCAAGTTCATTGATTTGACCTGAGGTCAACCTGCTTTTTTTCTTGTTTGGCATTTCTGGCACATTTATATATCACCAAGGCAGCACTTGTTTGATCAAAAATACAGTAAAAAAAAAAACAGTAATATTGTTTTCTATTTTTAATTTATTTAAATTTTCTATTTTAAAATATTGTTATTATACTTTATAAACACATGATCACAGAAATCATTCTTAATATGCTGATTTGGTGCTAAATTATTAATAATGGTTATTTTAGTTATCAATGTTGAAAACGGCTTAATATTTATTGTTGAAACCATAATACTTTTTTTTTTTACAGGATTCTTTGATGAATAAAATGTTCAAAATAAGTTCAGTCACTTGGGTTAAATATAATGCATCCTTGCTGAATAAAAGTATTAATTGATTGAGGTTGTTTTATTTTATCTAACTTACTCCAAGCTTTTGAAAAGTTTCCACAAAAATATTCTGCAGCACAACAGTTTTAAACATTGGTAATAAGAAGTAAAATAATCTTATTTATTCCAAACTTCTGACAATACATTTCACTTTATGATCAACTGACACAACATTCAAACAAGCATGAATCAAGAGATTTGATGTGTGTGGTGACCGGCGACGATCTTTAGTTTCAACTTCATTATATAACTTTCTGAACTAGTCTTGTATTAGACACATATTAACTTGGACTGTGATCTCAAGCTGAACTTATATGTGATCTTGGTGTTCTCTAATGCTACAGTGTGATATCTTATCTATCTATCTATATAATATCCAGCATCCAGTTTAAAATTAATAATATCCAAACTATATTAAAATAAGATCAAATAAACTTGATAGTTATTACTGCAGTGTACTGGTTATACCAGCAGAAGGCAGTGGAGGACAACATCAATGAGAGTAAACATCCCTTTTCCTTTCCAAAGTCAGAGTTCACTGTTAATTCACATTTTAAATGATGTGGCTTCTATATTCAGCCAGGCTGTTTTGGTGGACCGCACAATGTACATCTCAGGCCAGCTGGGAATGGATGTAGCATCAGGACAGTTGGTGGCAGGAGGAGTGCAGGCTCAGGCCAAACAGGTGACAGAACGCAGCACCCATAAATAGTTAACATTTAGATTAACATAGTTTGGAATAAATTAATCGCTTACAACACGTATTAGAGTCCATTTTGATTTCATGCTGACTTTAATACACAAAGTGACATGTTTTATTACACAAAGTAGTAATTTTCACTAAAATGGGACACAGTGCATGTTTTAGTGTGTTTTTCCGTACAACTTTACAGGCACTCATTAACATGGGGGAGATTCTGAAAGCTGCTGGGTGTGGATATGAAAACGGTACGTCATCAAGCATCCCCTACATGTCAGTTCTTTCATGCAAGTTTTCAGGCATTTCAAGCTGATTTTTCCTGTTTTTTGTTGTTGTTTTTTTTACAGTTGTCAAGGCCACAGTATTATTGGTAGACATTAATGACTTCAACAACGTCAATGATGTTTACAAGCAGTGTGAGTATGAATGAGAGCCACAAAGGCATAATTCACCTCAAAGTGCCCCTAAACATACAACCATAAGATTCTTAAGAAAATCTCTTGGGAATGTTATTAATGTATAATGTGTTCATTCTAAAAATGTGTGTGTCCTTAAAAGATGTGTTAAATCAAGTCATTCTATATAGATCAGTGGTTAAATTAGATCAGGGGGTTAATAAAGGCCTTCTAAAGAGATTCTTCTGAAGTGTTGCTAATACAACTCATTGTGTTTCTCCCTAAACATTTATATTTAGGGCCCGAGCACTAACAGTGCGAGGACCCTATTGAAACTGTTAGGATTATTTTTTTTTTTTTTTTTTTTTTTTTTTTTTTTCTTTTTTCTGCAAAGTAAGTGCCATTTTCGGGGCCGCAACATGCTCAAAAACTCACCAAATTTGGCACGCATGTCAGGACTGGTGAAAAATTTCGTATTTTGTGGGTTTCGCAGATGGGCGGGGCAAAATGGCACGCTAGCGCCACCTAGAAAATTGGAAAAAATTAGCCCCTCGTCCACGTTCAACCTACATGCACGAAATTTGGTGGGGACGTGTATCATATCAAGACGCACAAAAAAGCCTCAAGAACCCATACCCTAAACTCGACAGGAGGTCCGCCATTTTGAATTTGGCGGCCATTTTCGGACGATTTACAGACTCCGTACTTTAACGAACTCCTCCTAGGGCTTTAGTCGGATCGACTTAAAATTTCTGCTGTGCCTTCTAAAGGCATTGACGATGTAAAGTTGTGCTATCTGCGCGTTTTCGTCGATGGGCGTGTCCGTGGCGTCGAAGATTCGCCATGAAACAGGAAGTTGTAGTAACTTGGCTGTAAATGCCCAGATCTGCACGAAATTTTACACATTTGACAAGAGTCACGCCCTGAACAAATCTACATGCCGACATTCACCCACAGTCATAGCGCCACCTGCTGACAACAGGAAGTGACCTTTAACGAAGCAGCCCCCGCCGCTTGTTTGACCGACATGTACGAAATTTCTGTGGTACATCTACCATGACCAGACGCACAAAAAGCCTCAAGAACCCATACCCTAAACTCGACAGGAAGTCCGCCATTTTGAATTCGGCGACCGATTTGGGACGATTTACACACTCCGTACTTTAACGAACTCCTCCTAGGGATTTAGTCGGATCAACTTCAAATTTCTGCTGTACCTTCTAAAGGCATTGACGATGTAAAGTTGTGCTATCTGCGTGTTTTCGTCGATGGGCGTGTCCGTGGCGTCGATGATTCGCCATGAAACAGGAAGTTGTATTAACTTGGCTGTAAATGCCCAGATCTACACGAAATTTTACACATTTGACAAGAGTCCCGCCCTGAACAAATCTACATGCCGACATTCACCCACATTCATAGCGCCACCTAGTGGCAAGAGGAAGTGACATTTAACGAAGCAGCCCCCGTCGCATGTTTGACCGACATGTACGAAATTTCTGTGGTACATCTACCATGTCCAGACGCACAGAAAAGTCTCTTGGAGCGATGCCCTAAACTCAACAGGAAGTCAGCCATTTCTAATTTTACCGCCATTTTTGGATGATTTACTCATTACGTACTTTAACTAACTCCTCCTAGGGCTTTAGTCGGATCGCCTTCAAATTTCTGCTGTGCCTTCTAAAGGCATTGACGATGAAAAGTTGTGCTATCTGCGCGTTTTCGTCGATGGGCGTGTCCGTGGCGTCGATGATTCGCAATGAAACAGGAAGTTGTAGTAACTTGGCTGTAAATGCCCAGATCTGCACGAAATTTAACACATTTGACAAGACTCCCGCCCTGATCAAATCTACATGCCGACATTCACCCACAGTCATAGCGCCACCTGCTGGCAACAGGAAGTGACCTTTAACGAAGCAGCGAAAAATTTCACAGCTGGACCGGCTGAGCCGCAGAATATGCAACGCGGCCGCCTCACACCCCAACGCGCTACAGGTGCGAGGGCCCGCCCATCGCTGCTTGCAGCTTTAATTAGTCCTGAAATGTTCTTTACTTGGTCCTAAAATAGTCTTAAATTGACCTACATAAAACCTGCAAAAACCCCAAATAAGGCCTTAATCAGCATTAAAATGTTTAAAATCCACTATTTAAAGGTCTTAAAAATGCAACCACCAAACTGACACAGCAATAAAGACTTTAAATCACTCTGTTTTTTTAAATATATTTACATTTGTATCCCCATATAAAAATGTATTTGTATTATTATTATATTTTCAGTCCAATATTTATATTACATAATACATTTTCTTTTTAAATTATTCTTAAAAAAAACATAATGCACTCTTTTGAGAGGGTGATTTTATTTGTTCCCATTGAAGCCAATGGAAAGGATGTGCCAGTCTTACAATAGTTTCGTGAAGGTATTAAAAATGGCAATAAAAAGCACTATATTGGAAGTGTTGATACCTGATATAGATACGCTGGGTGTCATTTGTTTGGAGATTAAAACCAAGCATGACTTTAGTCAACATAACTTCCCTAAAAACCCTTCACTTCCCCTCCTGTACACTGGCGGTATGCATTAGGCAAGTTATTGATTATTCAGATGTTACACAATGATGTGTCTGTGCAGCCCTTCGGTATTTCCTCTTTAATACAACGCTGATGGGTAATCCTATCCTGTCTGCGTGTAAAGAGATACAGTGCAACTCTGTGAAACGAAAGCCTCCTACGAGGACAACCCATCATCACTGCCTCCAACCTCACAGAACTTTCCATGATGTGACATGCAAACCTACAGTGTTAACAAATACTCAGATTGATGTAACTTATGATGCAATTAATAATTCATATAAACACAGGGATAAAGGCCTGTTCACACCTAGAATAACTATGGCGATTTGCATGCACACCAGCGTAAGATATCGTTCTGTTTATTAGAAGCGCATGCTCCAGTTTAGTCGTCTGCGTGAGCGCTTTAAAGCAGGATGGATTCTGATTGGCTGTGAATGTTTTTGTCATTCGTCAGCTGGGGGAAAAACATTACTGAAAGTGATTCTAGTTGCAGTTTTGGTGTGAACTCTGCTGTTCTTTTACATTTAGAACGCTTTTTAGAACACTTTCTTATCGTTTGCTGGTGTGAACGGGCTTTACAACGCTGTTTTCCATGTCACAAGAACTGCAGTCAACCATGTAAGATGGTGCTTTAGATAGGATAATAGCTTATTGACACAAGGTGTCAAGTTTAACCTCTCTGGCAGTTTTGTTCATCTTTGTCATCAGTAAAGAACCATAGTCTGACTCTTTTTTTCTTTGTCTTAGTTTTCAAGAGCAATTTCCCAGCTAGAGCTGCCTATCAAGTATCTGCGCTGCCCAGAGTAAGTATTAAGTGCAGGTTAGTTAGTGGTGTTTGCTAAAGCAACCAGCTAACTACACACTACCGTGGGCTCAGTAAGATTTTTAAAAGAAATACTTTAATTCAATTGGTCAAAAGTGACAGCATCGACTTTTACAATGTTACAAAATATTTTCATTTCAAATGAATGCTGTTCTTTTGAACTTTCTATTCAGCAAAGAATCCTGAAATCCTAAAATTCACATTTTTCACAAAAATATTAAGTAGCACAACTGTTTTCAACATTGATAATAAATGTTTCTTGAGCAGCAAATCAGCATATTAGAATGATTTCTGAAGGATCATATGACACTGTAAACACTGTAAATTCAGCTTTGCCATATAAATTAAATGAAATTATATTAAAATAGAAAACAATCATTTTAAACTTTAATATTAGTTCACAAAATTACAGTTTTACTGTATTTTTGATCAAATAGATGCAGCCTTGGTGAGGATAATAGGCTTCTTTAAAAAACATTTGGGGGAAAACAGGCTTTTGAACAGTAGTGTCAAAATATAATATTTTACATGTAACCCATCCAACACTGATCTATGGATATGAATGATACCACAAATCATATTCCGTTCTAATTCTGTTTTTAAGTGATCAACTCACTAAAAGGGAGAAAATCCCATAAACTTTCATTGAAGGAAGGACCTGCGACATATGTAGAAACCAGAATATCATTTAGACTTAAGGTGAGCTCTTTTTAATTGAGCCAGTGAGCAACCACATAGCTACACCCTGGCAACCACCCTTGCATCATTTCAGTGACTTTTACATGGCCACCACCAGTCAAATTTTCTTCTGAAAACGTACAAATCTAGTTGATTATAGTATTATAATCTATTAAGATACACTGCAATAAAATATATTATTTGTATTCATACCTCAATTTAATTTCACTTTGTTTTACAGGGGGGGCTTGTTGAGATTGAGGCCATCGCTGTGTTGGGACCCATCACAGACGCCTCCTGACTATATGACCCCAGCATGCATCACAAATTGTAAATATAGTTTTATAGAGACTGCATCCAAGATTACAAAAGAAATCACAAATAAAGCATTCCTTTCCATGGGCAATATCTTCTTTTGCATTCTTGCTAATATTATCATGATATTGAAATTAAACTATTACTTTGTGAATTTACTGTGGATCTTTCATCATTAAATACACTTAATCTATAATAGCAACCATTCAAAACACAGTTCAAGTTAAACTTTATTTTTAAACTCCTACTAATCTGTCATTATCCCGCCACATATTACATTTCCTCCATTTGCAAAGTTCAGTTCAATCTTTAGGAAAACATGTAATAAATTTGCATGTAATAAATAAAACAAATAAAGACCTATTTTTAAAATATTTTTTTCCATTGTCAGAGTAACTGTATAACATGCATGGATTTTACTGGTCACTGTAATAGTTCAGTGGAATGCATTATAATTATATAAATATCACATTTATTTTCATAATTTTCTTTGGCTTTTTCACATCTTTATCTTGGGGTGAAGCCACTAAGAAGAGGCACTAGTATGAAATATTAACAATTGAAATCTCTAACTTAAGTCAGCCATTATTATTTACTTTGTGTTCTTAGTCTATGTATATAAAGACAGGCACAGAGTCTTTGAAGACCAGTTGGTCTATTTCTTGGCAACGAACAAGCAATAATAACAAATAAACTAATGTTCTATTGTATTTTTAAACCATTCATGTGAAATCCTTATTTTATTGTGGTTGAATCTGGATTCTGTAGTAACTGTGTCAATTGTTGCACACTTAACTATCTTCACCAGAGGCTGAAAGAGATGAAGTGGTATGGGAAATCAATCAGATAAGACATTTATTCTCAAGAGATACTTAAATGTTTATGTCTGTGTTGAATTACTGTATATTACCCTACTTACCAGGTGGTTCCTCTGGTGGAGAGGAATCTGCCTGGTCCTCAGTTGTGTTTTCTGTGGAAATATAAATTAATCTAATTAATTTATTGATTTAGGCTGTAAAACTCACATGATAAATAAAATAAACCGAAATTGTTTTACACATTATATTATAAATGTAGCTGTTTTCCGAGACCATTTGGCGATTGTTTCTTTTCAGGACTTTTTCTAAAAGTTTTAAACTCTTTTTATTATTTCTTGCTGCATTCTGGTATGTATTCTGTTCTGTGGGTAGTCATTATGTATTTGTCAATGTCAACCTTTTTCCACATTGCAGCCAAGATATTTGCATTTTGCATCGGTGGATAAAATGTCATTCACATTTGAAATTCAGATAATGAGGCATGTTGTGGCCCTCACCACCATTAGGATTTGACCAAAATAACTATGGATAAAGATGAAAAGAATGCATACATTTTTATTCAATTATTTATTGGACAGGTTTTCAACCCCCTGAGACTTAAAAAAAATGGGTTGCCAAGATGATTTAGGAAAATGTGATTTTAATCAATATAAATATTATATATTGTGGGTAATGCTCATGCTCAGGTAGGCCGTGGCATTTAAACAATTGGCGCTAAGGGGCCTAAAGTGTGCCAAGAAAACATCCCCCACAACATTACACCACCACCAGCAGCCTGCACAGTGGTAACAAGGCATGGTGGATCCATGTTCTCATTCTGTTTACGCCAAATTCTGACTCTACCATCTGAATGTCTCAACAGAAATCAAGACTCATCAGACAGGGCAACATTTTTCCAGTCTTCAACTGTACAATTTTGGTGAGCTCTTGCAAATTGCAGCCTCTTTTTTCCTATTTGTAGTGGAGATGAGTGGTACCCGGTGGAGTCTTCTGCTGTTGTAGCCCATCCGCCTCAAAGTTGTGCATGTTGTGGCTTCACAAATGCTTTGCTGCATACCTTGGTTGTAACGAGTGGTTATTTCAGTCAAAGTTGCTCTTCTATCAACTTGAATCAGTTGGCCCATTCTCCTCTGACCTCTAGCATCAACAAGGCTTTTCCCTTTTCACACCATTCTTTGTAAACCCTAGAAATAGTTGTGTGTGAAAATCCCAGTAACTGATCAGATTGAGAAATAACCAGACCGGCCCGTCTTGCACCAAAAACATGACCCTTTTTTCACATTCTGACATTCAAGCCACGTTTACACAAAGCTGGGTATTTAGCAAAACGAATATTTTTTTCCCCCTCTCCATTTTCAAAAATAACATCGTTCACACACCCGCATAAATACGCCATCATAACTATGCCAAACCTATGGGCGGCAGTGTAGGAGAAGGATAAAGCCATGCAAGCCAATCAGAATCCTCAGAATCAACAATAGAGAACCTAAAACGCCGTTTCTCCCAGTTCACACGACAACACATAACCGGCGTTCTCAGAAATCTCCACTTTGGGCGGAGTTTTTAGAAATAATCGTTTTCAGTGATAAAAACGGGGTTTTCATGTCAACGACAGGCCAATCTGCAGGGAAATATCTGCGTTTTCCCTTTGTGTAAACGGGGCCTCAGTTTGGAGTTCAGGAGATTGTCTTGAACAGGACCACACCCCTAAATGCATTGAAGCAACTGCCATGTGATTGGTTGATTAGGTAATTGCATTAATGAGAAATTGAACAGGTGTTCCTAATAATCCTTTAGTTGAGTGTATCAGTGTGTATATAACAAAGTTCAAGACTCAGAGGTGGGACCAGCAATAACTTAAATTACAAAATAAACAAACAACAAAGCAAAAGTAAGTAAGGAAAGTATATTTATAAGAAAGTAAGGCCTGGCAAGTACCAAAATGAGTGGCTTACTGCTCTTAAACGGTCAAATACACAAAATGATGTCAAAATACCTGTCTTGGCGAGTATTCAGTTAAACGTAGTCAGTTTTGGAACGTAACTAGTTGAAAAATGTAAATGTAATGTAAAAATGTAGTTGAAATGTAACAGTATTTTGGATCTGTGAATAAGCTCAGGGAGTATACTAAGTGAATATTTAATGAGTACAATGGTAATTTCTCGCGCAGAATGGAAAGCACAGGATTGGGGGATATCAAAGGCAGCAAAGGATAGATGCTGCCTTCAAAAATAGATCAAATTAAGGTATCTCAGGAGACAGAAAGTGAAACTAACACTGCATTCAGACGTGCCTTGATGCCTTCCGACCTTTGAAGGCAGAATTTATCAGTTTTCAGACAGCCATTTGTAAGGCTTAACTTAATTTGTGCATGTAAATGGTTGTATATATGCTACTGTATGGGTCGTGTCAATTTAAAAAAGAAAAAAGGTTGCTCATAAAAAAAGTTTAAAACCCACTGATTTATTGCATATTCACAATCACAAAATGAATCTTGTCGGTCTAAATGAAACCTGGCTTTAGTTGCCAAGATCCTATCGTTTCCTTCTCAAGGTTTAGTTCTCCTATCCTTTGTTAGTCAAGCAGATGGAAGAATATTTGTATGATAGAAACCCTCAGTTCGGTAACCAAAGTGAAACTAAGCAGGGCACTGTTATACTCCTTGGTCATGGAACAGTTAGTAGGACACTTGTCAGGTAACTAGAGTTAAACAAACACATTATTACCAATTTAAACCACTACTATCACCTTTAACTTGAAGTGTTAAGTTAATGAATGTAAAAGTTATTTCAGGAAGTCTTCATTGCCAAAAGAGAATGTGCAAGGTGTTTTGCATCAAGAGATACGTCCCTGGTAACTAGCTAAACCATTTGCATACACAAGCACAGAACACAAGGTATAATGTATCTTGATCTTGAGAAGAATTCGTTTAAGGACCCGTTTTTTAGGACACTTCACTCACTGAAAATGACAGAAAAGTGACTTTAGTCTTGCCTAAAATTTTGGAACGTACCACTTGGTGCTGGTGCTGGTTCTTCAGTATTTTCAGCTGTCATGGAGGGGTTGGATTCAGCAGGTTCAGACATGATGGCCTCAGCAGCAGCTGCTTCTGGTTCACTGTGAGCTACTGCAGCTGTAGAGCTCTGTATTTCCTCTGAGTGAACAGGAGCAGCACTGGATGTCTGTGGAGACTCCTCGGCCTGGGTTTGGTCTGGAATGGTCTCACAGTCTGCTGCAGGACCACCATTTTCATTACTTGTCCCTTAGAGATCAAGACAAATATTTTAACCAAGTTTATAAGAATAATAAAACATGACTACTTGAAATAAAATAAACATTAACACAAAGAATTAAATGAAAGACCTTAACTTGTTTTAATTCATCTAACGTTAGTTGCCGAGTAGCTAAGTTAGGTTTGGGAATCGAAACGCTGGAATCGGATACTTAGGCTCAATCCCAATTCACCCCTTGGCCCTACCCCTCCGTTTTGTCCAGATTCTTGTTGAAAACGAGGGGTAGGGCGAAGGGTTAGGCCCTCAAAACGGAGATTTTTCAGAGGCACACTCCAAACGGAGGGCTACGAGAAAGTTCACAGAATGCATCGCAAATCACCGGCGAGATGGCTTCGCTAACGGTTAACATTTTAAATTAAGCGCCAGATGCCATGCACTTTATTTACGCTTATAATAATACTATAGTCATTTAAATTAAGAAATTACATTTCCGAATCAGAAAAGACATAAATTTCGAGGAAGGAATGTTATAATCACCATGTTTCCTCAAAGTTAAGAGCAGCTGTGCTGATTGTCAGTCGTTGTCATGGAGAAATCCTAAAAACTCTGTAACGGCAGAGCCATCGCCGACGACTGATGACGTTTCATGTTCATGACGGGCTGTTCCATTTCGTAGGGGAATATTTCAACCCCCTGGCCCTTGTAACTCTGTTTTAAGGGCCATGGGGTACACTCGAAAACAAGGGGTATGGCCCGAATGAATCATGAATCAGATACTTGTTATTTCTATTCTGCTTATCGAATCCTGTGAGTACATTTTAATCTTGTTTTAAACCATTCAAGCGCAAGAAGACGCGAAAGAAAACAATTCGGCAATGGGCTCTATGCACGGTGGTATTTCCGGTGAAGCATTAGGGATGCTCGATAACTTCCGCCGATAGTAGAGTCCAATGCATTACAGAGAATTTATATTTTTAATTTTATACTCCATGGTTATACTAAAGAAACGTTAGTCACAAAAACAGATAAAACAGACACCCCTCGTTGTGTGTATGCTTCTTTTTAAAATTATATTAAATAAATATAACTATATATAAAATTACATCTAAACGTAGCCTACGTTTCATTTCAAAGACTGGAGGACAGTAAATTTTGAAGACTGTACATTTGGAACTTTTATTTTTAAAGCGCGACAAAGAAGAGATCCAGTTTTGCCAGCAAGTCAAACCCAGAGTGATAGTTAGGTTAAACCCTTAAACCCGGTTAAACCTTCCCATTGATTCTGATTTCTCAGTTATGTCATTATTTTAGCAAATAATTTATTTTTATATATTTGGAGATGGTTTGTTTTAAGAAATTTCAAAGAGTTAGAAAAAGAGTAAAGTAAAAGTTAATTTTTTTTTAAGTAGGCATCTATTTTTTTTAAAGTGTTTATTTTGTATTAACACTGTATTCATTTATAATGTATCATTATTGCGTGACATTTGTGTCAATAATCGTCAAGCACAGGTGACTTCGCGTAGTAGGAGGGGGCCTCAAATCCATTTCAGCTTAGGGCCCCAAAAAGGCTCAGACCGCCACATCACATCATGTACCACATCACCAAACTGTATGTTACTATTATAGTGATGTTGATTCATAGTTGCCAATATGTCCCCTCAATGTCAAAGACATTCCTACGCCCTTGATGACTTAATAACTTTTGTTACTTTAATAAGGATTAATCTTTATCGTATTTAGAAAAAGAAAACTGCAGTGTTGTTTTACATTTGATTTTAATTTCTGAACGTAGTAGAATTTATTTTGTTCTTATTGTATTACTGACTGTACACTTGTCCTTATAATGTTTCAAATTTATATTAGTTACTCTAGTTTTCTGCTGATTTATTTTTCATGGTATTTAGTTGCATCAGAATAAATATGTTTGATATCTAAATGTTTGACTTTTTACCATATTTGAATGGAAACTGGGAATCAGTAAGATTTGGAATCGATGTGCAGAATTGGAATTGGAATCATTAAAATTCAAAGAATACCCAACATTTTGTCATTTTATTTCAGTTTAATTTGAAGTAATCAAATAAGACTAAATAAAACTTACAACTTTGTAAAAACTATAGACAAAAAAACTATAAAAAAACACTAAAATTCCTAAAACTTTTAAAAAAAATTAAAATATAAAACATCTAATTGAAAATATTAACAAAAGCCATAATAGTATATATATATAATAGTATATCAATATCACACTGATTTTTCATTAAAAAAAATCTAAAATAATATTAATAATGGTTTAAAAAATATATAAGTGGTTTAAAAAATAGAATTGTTTTTTTTCACTATTACTTTCTTCATATTATAGATCACATAAATTTTGTTTAGGCATATTAAATAACGTACAACTAGGCCTGCATAGAATCTGTGACAACAAAATTCCATTGAAAACTCCACAAATTTCCATATTCAAACGTCATACATTCCATATGTGTCACCAAACAGAATTATAATTTTTTTTTCAGATGAGTTACCGCAACACATCACACATCTCAATTTTAATATTTAAAAAAAATAGACACCTCAATTTAAATGTATTTAAAATGCTTTCATCTTCCAAACAAGTTCAGTATACTAAGCTCTGTTCAACGCATTTTACTATATTTAAATAATTTCCACAGTTCACATTTCATTAACAGAAATATGAAACGCATCTGTTATGTCATTTCTCTCTTCTCTTCTGTGTATCAAGTGTCGATAAGGTACAAGACAACATTTTAAAAGCCTTCTTTAAATTCAACAGTAAACTAAACTAAAGCCTGGTCTGTTATTGAAGCAGCACTGTTAGTTAAATGAAAATGAAATAAACACATTGACATCCTGGTTAAATAAATGAAAACTAATGTAACAACAGGTGCTGAAGAAAATGGATGTATTAAAGCTATCAAAGGTTTATGACATCATCAGCCATCTGTGATCTAAAGTACACAACATTTACATGAAACCTTCTCAGATCCAGGATGTAACCATTAGCAGGGTGGCATGCATCACCACCCCCGAAGGAGCACCTGAGGTGTGGAGGACCTCCTCTGATCACCAGAATGTTTTTCCTCAAATTCCAAGAAATCACCATTGCAACAGTGTGATGGTTCAAGAAACAAACACAGCAACAAAACAAAATACAAATTTCCCTAATTTGTTTGACAAATTGAATTCAATACAACTAAATTCAAAATTCTATTCAAATGCAGTTGTTATTTGTATAGCACTTTTTAAACGCGTATCAGTTTATGAATGCTCACGAGATTGCAATCACCATCAAAATTTTGTTAAAAGGAATGTAATAAAGGAAAGAATTTAATAAGTAACCGTAAGCATTTATTTTAAGCATTTCACCATTTATAATTACATTTACTGAAGTGTGAAATTTTGTTCCTCTAGATACTCAATGCAACAGTTTGTGATTAAAAACACTTTAAATAAAAACATCTATCAGATGCTAAATATAAATGTAATACATACACAATACTGTACATCACAGTGTTCATGTTAATAATTTTAAAGCCAGTTATCAAGTTCAGTTATCAGTTATCATAAAACATATTTTTTCTTGTAACTTTCATTTAAAGTCTAATGGTTTAGGATCTGGGCATGGCGTTTTAACCTTAGGTTCCTCCATGGGGACTTCCAATGTAATGGATACTGTAAGATTCTCTATGAGTGACTCTGGAGTCAAGTAGATCTAAACTGCATGTTGGGCTGATGACAGCATTCTGGATAGGGATCTTGGGTGCCTTACACAAAGCTTGAGGGTTCAATTTCAAGTTAGGTTGACCCAGGGTCCGAAAAGTAAGTAATACCAAATTTACACTGCAAAGGTGGCTTAGAAGCACTTCTGAAGTGGCATTACAATTGAAGATTGTAATCTTCCTCTCATTTAATGATCTACAATAGCATTATCAAAATATACACTAAATAGGCTACCAGAAATTCTTCCTTCTCATCATGAAACACCTTGCAAATCGACAATATCTGACATTACACAAATGTGAGTTTGGGGGCTGTATAATCTTACCTGATGTGTTCCCATCATGTTTGGTGTTGGGTCGTGTTGTGTCTTGAGCTGTGGTCTGAGTGCTGGAAGTGCATCCCATCGTGTCTTCCTCTGACGGGACAAGAGTGAGTGAAGCCAAGAACTTTGTTGAGTGTTGTCGTTCCCAGCGGCGCGCATCGACTTCAAGTGCAGGAAGACTGCGCTAATTTAAAGCGCACTCGATATAGACAGTCATTCCCTAACCAGGTAACACATTGGGTGAGTGTGTGGGAATGACAGTCATATGCAAACCAGCCCTTATTCTCTCGTAGCAGGTCACGGTTCAATGCTTAAACAGCAGTGAACTCCTAGTCTTGGTTCTCTGATAAAAATATGTATTTTTGTAAAGAAATGATTGGTTATGTGACACTATGTGTTCTAAAAACCAAAATATCGGTTTAAATCTGTAACCCTCTGTTAAATGAACTCTTAACTTAAAACGTGACATCATGATTTTGGCGACATCTACAGGTGACTTCTGGAGTAGCACTGGCCAACCCTAACAACATCTTGATACAATGAATACTCCTACCTTCCATATCTAAATCTACAACTATGGATGATGTCAGTGCACAAGACCCTATCAACTTTATGAACTTCTAAACCTATAACCACTGAAGGTAAAGAAACACATGTTGATGAATTAAAGGTTATCATGCACGTAGCTTTTGCACACACTGAAGTAAAAAATATATTGAATTTGCAGTTTTCATGCACATAAATACAACACACCACCATGGTAATGTAACACTAAAATTATGTAAAGTTGTAACAAAAGACCCCTAAAGGGTTTTAATACCATTGTCACACAATTGTTGCAATAAAAAAACAGGGTCTAATCTCTTGCAGTTATTTTATTTAAACAAACTTAAAATGACTCCTCTTCAGGAATATATGAATTTAAACCAAACAACCACTTATAATGAGACAAGAACTGACAGGGCTATACACAGGGACCGAACGAGGTAATTAAAGAGATAGTTCACTTTGAAATTATTTTTTGGTATGTTTTAGCTACCTCAAGGGCATTCAAGATAGGCATCGTTGTTTCCACAGTAGTTTCAATTTTGATATTTTTAGATCAAACCGTCTGTGTCTATCAGTCATATAATGGAGGTCTATGGGGTCCACCTCAAAGAGCATGCGAAGTCCAAATTAAACATGATTCAATGACTCGTGAATGTCACATTGACGGCCTAAGACATGAAACGAGTGGTTTGTGTGAGAAAACGAACAGAATTTATATAGATTTTACCTCTTGTAACCACAGCCAAGTCATCTGATGGCTTTGGTTACAAGAAGTAAAAACGATCACGCTTTTCTAAACATACGTGCATGCATGCTACATATTTGAATAAAAACTAATCTTTCACTGCAAAAAAATAAGTTGAAAAACAAACATTTTATATGCAGTTTTAATACAATATGGTAATCCATCCCTATATACAATACAGTAGGCCTATAGACGCACATTTTTCCTCAATTCATCAGTTAATTCAAAATAAAGTTATTTTTTCTCTTCACAAACACAGATACCCCATATTATACTTTTACAATTATGAAATCAATAGGCTAAACAAATCTGACACCCAATAAGGCAACACAAACATTAATTAAAGAGAAGGAAATTCCAATGTGAACATTTTCAACAAGGCCCACGCTACATCTTTTTAAGCAGAAGGCCATAAGGGCGGATTGAACTCTCCACTATTTTTTTCTCATCTTCTACTGATGTGCCTTCAGGGATAGGGACCAACCAAATGTCCTCGGTCTTTTTTTCTCTAATCTGGGGGTTGATTCTGTTCTGCATGATCACTTTGTATGTATTTCCATTCTTTTGCGAAATGAAGCTCTCAGTTCTTGCGAACACGTCTGCCACGTTGATGTCTGGAGATGAATAAATCCCTCTTCCGTAAGCCTGACGGTCTCCTGACATATACTGAGACTGTATGATGCCCTCAGCCCCCTGTAAGTCTGTTCCGTGGTAGGAGACTGGCCACTCACCGCGCGCAGAATGGCTCCTCCATCCATCTGATCCCAGCCAATCGTTCCCGTCCGGGTATTTGTCTCGCACCTTCAGAGCGAATCGCATCCACCCGTAGGGCCGTTGGTACGGCTCGTCCCCGCGCATGCAGGCTTCAAAGTCGAGCTTGGACTTGTTCGTAAAGTCAAAGTCAAACTTCGGATCGAAAAAGTCATCTGAAATCACAAATAACTCCTTCCGGAGAGAAGAGCTCGAGCGTTTGCTTCTCGGGGTTTCAACAGCCAACCGCGACAGAGAAGAAGTCAGAGAAGTCATACCATTTTTAAGAAGGGCAAGAGATGTCAGTTTGGCAATCTGCAGTTTATTGGCTTCATCTAAGTTACAATCTGACTGCAATTTCACATTGACTCCCAGAATGGCAGAGAGCGCCTCAGTCAAGATATATTTGTCCACCTCCATCGCGTTAATCGAACTTATCAAGATCTCTGATCTGTTATGAGACACCGTGTAACACAGAAGGGTTTTAGTATTATTATTGGGAGCGAGGACCTAGATTTTTATACATTTGTATGTCCTGCTTATTTAGCACACCTGATTACAATCATCAGCTCATCAGACTCTGACTGGAAACCATGCTTTTAAAAGCAGAGGAGCAAGGCTTTGAATGTGGTAGCATAACATAAAAGAAAAGAAGACTATAGGTGAAATAGTATTTGCAACAGGCAATTAAAGGACAACTTGCTAAAAGGTAAACCATCATTCCCTGCATAGGCCTATACCTGGTCAGGCTGATATTTTACTAGAGGGGATTTGGGCACTTTATTGCACTTTAGGCCTGCACAAACAATTGCTCCAAATTGCCTTGAGTAGGCCCATTCATGGTTTGCATCCAACAATCATGAAAAGAGTCAATAAAGGTCATTTTACACACTGTAACACCACTCACAGTTGCAAGATAAAAGTTCAGGCTATGGACACAACATTTATTCAGGAAAATGAAGATGAGGAGAATCTCATAACAATGAAAAGTTCACAAATCAACACCACCTTGGGAACATGCTCAGGAGTTAATGCCCATAATGAGAAGCAGGTGTGGAACAATCAGTAAACCGGTTAAGAAAGCACAGGAAGCGTGCATGGGAATGCAAAGTAAAAGTCCATAGTCCATGAGCACACAGTCCTCTTGATTACAGCTTTTAAAAAAACAACATTAGTGAACTATAAACTGGCAGTGAGGTTTATAGCCCTGGTTTTGTGTGTGGATGTCCCACACAAAAATGTTCCAGTGTGATCATTTTGATTGAGGAATCTGGAGGAAGATGGATGACAAATAAAAGAACATTGTTGTTTCTTCATATCTACTATTCTAATGTTTCAAAATGCAACATGTTTTGACACAACAATGCGTTGTGTAACGGGCAACGTGCTGTTTAATCTCTTTTGTTTGACCATAGCACCAAGTATTGCAAATGTTGCAAACAACATTTGCCATCAATATAAGGACAATTTTATCATTATGACGTTATATTTTGGGTAATACATTTTTTTTTTTATCAGAAAACAACATACAATTTATTTTATTATGCATTCACGTGCTATAATTATTGTAAGACGACATGGAAAATGCACATGAACACCCCCTCATGTGTTATTTTCCACTGGGCAACATATTTTGATGCACGAGTTCCCGAAGTGAGATAACCTTTAACTTTTTCAAAATGGCGGTGAGCAACGCAAGAGTTGTGAATGGTAAAAATGTGTACTATTCATGATCTAGAAACTATGTATACAGCATACCATTTGAATTTTCATAAATCATTTTCTTGCTGTAGCAATCTACGATAGTTTTAGCTAAATAAATAACAGGTCTGGATCTCCATCTTTTTACCACATTACGACAAGCACTTGAACGCAACACACTGGTAAATACCAGTTCACAAGTGGATCATATTTTCCATAGACACACCAAATGGTTGTAAAAGTTTATTTCAGCTGTACAATTTTTCTGAACATGCAAGTTGTATAAATTCAAATAATCATAACTCCATGTGAATTTTATAATATAGCCTACTTCTAGGTAGCCCTGCGATTGATTGACCATCTATCCAGGGTGTCCCCCCGCCTGTGGCCAGAGATGCTGCGACGCCCCGCAAACCCTGCAGAGGATAAAGCGGTTTGGAGTACGGCTGGATGTTTTTAGGTCTGCCAAGCTCTAAAATATTTTATCAGGTGGAAATAATTGTTGTGGTGGACAACGAGGAGCCTTGGAGTCAAAAGGTTGAGAACCACTTGCCTACACCAACGATTATTTGACTACACGTCCCAGAGTGACTGTTTTGAGATCTGTGATCTCGAGGTTCCGTGGTCTCGCGATGCGGGCGCGTGAGGTTTACGCGCGCGGTGCACGCTGGGAAGCCCTTTCTCTACGAGGCCATCTTGGTGTAATCAGGAGGTGAGCGCAGCTCTGCTGGAAATTATTAAAATAATCCATTTAAAAGTGTTACGAAGACTACGAGCGCATTATTTTGAAAGTATAGATCTTGATTTATCGCTTCTTTGTGTTCAGGTTGGCCAGATCGGACTAGTCAGGAAAAATGGTGGCCGCTAAGAAAACGGTGAGTGGAGCGCGATGCAGCGCATGCTGGACAACTTCACGTGGAAGCTCCCTACAGGCCTGATTATAAAAAACTAAAATGTTTACATGCACATGTATATGACTATTGTTACGCAGTTTAATTGATATTAGTTATTATATTGTGCAAATGTTTATCTCGCTGGCGTGGAGTTGTATGGGCTGAGTATTTAACGTTAGCTGTTTAGGTGCGCTGGGTGTTTCTAGTTAAGGGAGTTGTTCTAAAAATTTATTACATTAATATATTAAGTATACCCTGAAAACGTGGTTTATTATCGTCTACTAAAAGCGCATTTAATAAATATTCACACCCTACTGTTTATAAATGTTGTACAGGAAGTGTAACTGTTGCTTATGAAGTGTCAGTGAGATTTTATAGTTGTCTGTGAAATTAACATGATACAAACATTGTACATGTCACCATAAGTGCACTGACTGAAGTTAACTTCATAGTGCGAAAGGTTTTTAATTGCTTAAGAAATGTAATTGTGTTAAAGACTGAATAAATGTTTGATTACTGTGATATAGTCGAGATTAAAACGCAGGATTCACACCTGAGTCAAAGAAATTAGACAATTTGCATGTTAAACATTTGACATATAAACTTGTTTATTTCAAAGTCATTTTCTAAGTGAAAAGCATTAAATACGGAATGACATTCCAGAGTTTTTTTTTAATCTTTTTACATCAGAGCGAAGAAGTCCATATAGAAAACTTTATATTTTATATATGTGTGTGTGTGTAATATATGATTGAGAGCCAGATCTTAAAATTGTCTAGCTTATAAAGTGAAAACTGAAAAACGGTTCCAAATATTGCTATAGCAGAGCACACTTTGTTTAAAATATTTTGGAAGTTGTCTCAAAATGGTTATTCCAATTTTGAAGCCTTGAACAGAAACAGACAAAGCTTATTTCTTGACATTCTGTGCTTGGTGTATTTATTTTTGTTCCATATCTTCATCTTTACAGAAAAAGTCCCTGGAGTCCATCAACTCTAGACTGCAGCTTGTGATGAAGAGCGGTAAATACGTTCTCGGATACAAGCAGTCTCAGAAAATGATTCGCCAAGGAAAAGCCAAGCTGGTAATCCTGGCTAATAACTGTCCTGCTCTGAGGTGTGTGTTGTTTCCCTGCTAAAATATTTCTGTCAATCTGCTGTCACCATGAAAATAATCTGTGGCCTGTGAGGGTTAAGAATAATTTTGAATGATTCATGATGTTTTTCCAGGAAATCTGAAATTGAGTACTACGCTATGTTGGCCAAAACCGGAGTTCATCATTACAGTGGAAACAACATTGAGCTCGGTACAGCCTGTGGCAAATACTACAGGGTGTGCACGTTGGCCATCATTGACCCTGGTGTGTATTCACTGGCAGAACTGATACGACTTGATCTAGTAATTTCGTTTGCCTATAACTTTCCCCGTCATACTGTATTGTTAATTTCGCACTAATGGGTTATTTATATCAAAATCAAAGTATCTTTGTCTCCCTCAGGAAAAATTAGTTTGGGATATAAAGAGATTGCTACAAACAGATTACAAGTCAGAACAGGGGTAAAGGGTTAAAACAGTTAACAGACAAAAGTACATAAAAACATTATGGCTACACTAAGAGCTGTGCAAATAGCAAATCACCATTTTCTAAAATCTGCTTGTGCAAAAGTAATATATCATGTCCATACATAATATTCAATCACAGATATACAGTATACAGGGTTAAAAGACAAAAAGTACGTGACATAAAACATTAATCATCGGAAGATGAACAAATGAGCGCTTGTACCTATTGTATTTGCACAGAGGAACACTGTACCACTTTCCCGAGTTCAGTAACTCAAACTCTAAAAACCATGTCAAAGTCAATGTAGATTTAAAAGGTTGCTGGTATGTTTTGCACTGTTTCAGAAGTAGAAATCTAGATTATCTGAATGAAAACAAATATGCTATACATTGTAAATTAAATTGTAATATTCTTCCTCTCGTATTCCCAGGCGATTCTGACATCATCAGAAGCATGCCAGACCAGCAGCAGGGGGAGAAGTAGAGCCATTCCCACCAGATCTTTATTAATAATAAAATTGGTTGAAACGGTTATTGTGGTTTTTTGGGTTATTTTTGTCTCCGCATTTGTTTAATGCATAAAACTGCATGAGAGATGGAACTATATATATTAATATAGTATATATAACTATATACATATTTCTTTTTTCATCTATCTCACTGAATGCTCTTGTGAATCAGCTTTTTGTATAAAATCCACGCATATATATAATCTGGATTTTCATAATTTGACCATTGTGAGTGCACAGAACTGAAATATAGAGCAAACATGCTAAATAAGATGAGTGTGGGATAATTGCATTTTAATTTTAGTCTATTAGGCCTAGATCAAAGAAGCATATATATATATTTTTTTACATATTACTGATTGAGTACAGCCCTTGACATTCTATGATGGCAATATTGTAGACATTAGAAACGTGCTGCTGCATCGACATACTTTTTTTTCCTAAGGATTTTCAGGCCAAAAATAAAACTGACAGGCCTAAAGCGCTTGAGCAGAGAACACATCAAAAGCTCTCTTCAGTGAAGTGATTGCCCTAGTTTCCTCAGTCACGTGTCGTCAGTTTTTGAAGCCTAATTCTATTACCCACACAGATATGATGAGTGTGTTCAGTGAGCTTGCAAAAAATTAAAAGGATGAATAGGGAACTTTACATGAGATTTCAACAGCGCTTCTGAAAAGACATCATGCAGGCTGTTATTATAATGCATCACTGGACAGTATCCTTGGAATCCAAACCATCAAAAATAGGTCAGTGGATGAATTGTATATTGGATGACAGTTATGCTCATCCAGAAATAAAAGTAGGTGAATCTTTCTCAAATCAGGCAAAGGTAAACGTTACAAAACCAATAATACTGGTCACTAATAATGAATAATATAATTCTGTACTTCCTTTATCTTCATTTAGTCACCTGCATGACAAAGAGATGCACAGCCATATTGACGCATTACTGTAATATTTTATTGTTTATGAATAAGACATAAGCCAGTGTCAACCCAATACAAGATGTGTAACAAGACAAAGACAAACACTCACAGCCACTCTACCTACTGACAAACATTATTCTGGGTTTATGAGAATTCATTTTTGTGATATTCATTGATAACCATTCCATTTTCATGAGGAATATGATGACAATAATTGAAATGTACAGGTCACAATTGATACCAACAGAAAAATTCCAAATACACAGAATACTTTGAAAATTGAGACACGAAAAACATTGCTTTCTTGAAGCTGAATCTGAGATGCTGAAATGAAGATGAAAGTCTACGCTTAGAACAATGAAAGGAAATGGTTATATGTATCAATCTCTAATACGTTCATTAATGCTTCTATACCTATTGTTACATGGTGATTAAATGTAAGTACTTAATCATTGTCAGCTATGGATACACGTTACAAAATACCCTTGCATAGCCACTGTATATAAAAATGAAAAATGTTCCCAATAACAGAAGCTTGGAGATGACTGGGGAGATGCCATGTTACTTAAACTGAGCTAGGTGCTAATCTACTGGCGGCAGTAACGTAATTTACTTTTAATTTGTCACAATTACTGATTAACACCATTCACAGACAATAACATGAATACATAATATTCATATGTGCAAAAACATTGCAGTCTGAGATTGTAACCTAGTGAAAATGACAGAAAAGTTATCCTACTTCTCTATTTCCTTACACATAATTCTCATTTATTCATTGGAGCACTGTCCTGGTTCAATGAACGTTTAGATCAATTGAAATATGCGGCATATTGTTTATCACAAAATATATTTCTAAAAAAACAAAAAACAAGGCACTTACAATGGAAGTGAATGGGGAACATTTTTGGATTATTTTAAAGAAGAAAAGTGAAGCTTCTAATTTTATGAAAGCATTAATATTTCTGTGTTTTAAGCGGTTTAAGATGCATGTTTAAATCGTTTTAAAGTCAATTTAGCTATTTAGGCATTACATGTCATGGCAAAGAAGTAGTAAAATCGGATATAATCACATTTTTTTCACACTAAAATCATATTTTTTAGGTGTACCATTGAAATATTTTTAACATTTACGGATGGCCCAATTCACTTCCATTCTAATTGCCTCACTGTAAACATGTGGCCACATTACTGACATTTTTTGAGCAAAAAGTCAATCGACTATTGTCAAATAGTGTAGTGATGCATGAAACACAGCTCACACAGAAGTCGCTTTGAAAACAAGTAACTTTCTGTTCATCAACGCGGTAAATTTGCATTACCAATTTAAATCTGTTGCGAAATCTGCGAAGGAAATCTTTCGCCATCACAATCGCGTGGATTCCTATTGAAACAGTAAATGTAACTGCACCTTAACCCAGATTTCTGTACACATAATCATATCTGATGTGTGACTGGGCCCCTAAAGGTTTCAATGCTTTTGCGTTCTCTCACAGGAGTTTTGTGTTCTCCCAATAAACTTTGCGTTCGTTTCCAAAACCTTTTTGGCCCTCACGAGTTTCTCGATTTTAGCAAAGTTTGAGAACGCAAACATTTTGCAAGCGAACGCACTTTTTTTTGGAGATCGCAACCATTTTGCAAGCAAATGCAACATTTTTCAGGGGAACGCAAACATTTCGCAAACGCACGCAAATTTTTTGGGGGGAAATCACAAACATTTTGCAAGCGAACAGAATCATTAAACTAATTGACTTCTCATCTAAATCAGAGTAATCACGTATATTAAATGTATAGAGCTTTATAACTGTTCACAGCAGGAACAACTGGTCCTTGCAACATCTAAGTAATGATTAGTAATAAATTTGTTAAAAAAGACTAAATTAACAAATTATTGCATTGTGTATAAAGGAAGACTTGAAAGATTTCACTTTGTTAGATAAAATTGAGTAGCATTGCTTGTTAATTATTTTTTTCCCAACTAATTTAGTTATATTCTGAACCAGAGTTCAAATTTTGTTCATTTCGTACAGTACAAAGAAATTAAAGTGAAAATGCCGGCTTCTTACATTCAGTACATTTCTAGGTAATTCCCATTTGAAAAGTGCTCCTACGTAACTCCCGTGTTTATCATGCACGCTGCATTCAAATCTCAGGTATATCAGTAGACGACAACACTACTGAGAAGTTCACAGTATTAAAAAGGCCAGTGCCACACATAATCGCCAAAAGTGCAAATCAGATTGGAGCTGACACAGCATTGGGTTGCCAGGACAGCTGGGTAGCCTTGTCGAGGGAAGGGCGTCTCAAAGTCACACTGCTGCCTCCAGAGAGGAGAATTACTTCACACAGCGACACACAGGAGACCGGGGCAACGGAATGGGCTATTGTGACGAGAGATTGTTTCTTTGGAGAAGGTTTGGGGGCAGCGTAATAAGAAATCAGTGCGATTCTCAAGCCGAAACGTACTGGGGAGGGGGATCCTTCGGTGGAATGGCGATCGCCTCTTCATAGGGTGGAAGTAGTACCTGAAATTAATACAGTAACATATTAGTAAATATAACAAGTTTCCCCATTTCTTCTGTATGCTGTATCCTTAGACGAATCAGGAATAAGTTTGCGCTGTAGCAGTTAGCACACATGCTAATGACACGTTAGCACTGTTTTGCGATGAACATTAGCTTGCTTCGAACTGAATATTGTGCGGTTTATACTATAAACTATTAAAATAGTCCGTAAAACAGCACATTAATATACACAATAAAACGTTTTAAAGAGTAGTAAACTATACATTTGACATATAGACCATTTTGCAAGATGTAAACAACACTGGTCCAGAAGCACTTCCCGTTTTAGTTTTTTAACACTAACGTTACATAAAAGCTGGGATAAAATACAACCAACAGAACACATAAAACTGAATCAAAAAGTTAAACATCTTTAAGATGTTTTCTTTACATGTGAAATAAAGAAAACAGTTACAAACTGAAACAGGAAGTGTTTCTGGACCAGTGTGGTTTACATATTGCAAAATGGTCTATAACCATCTTAGTCTTGGAAATTTAAATTTTAGATTAAAACTCAATTTTTGGAATAACACATCAACTAACTTGCATAGTGAGTCAAAAAAAGAGGTTCATGATCTCATGTCTGATATTACTTCTGGTTTATTTTGTCACATTGGACATGGTAGCCTAGTGGAGAGCCTTGCATTGAGAAATACATATTTTTATGAAGCCCCGCACATAGAATTTGTTCTAAAGCTAAATTAAGGCCCCAAAATAATACATTTGTATCTTTGTAGCCAAAATATCTAAATTGCATGTTAGTATACATACTACTATATACTGAAGAAATAGTAAAAGTAGCACAGTATGTATTCTGAAAATAGCCATTGAGATATGGTGCTCATGTGGAAAATTCAGGTTCGAACCCTGCTCGCCTTATGCCCAAAAATCTCTTTTCTCTCTACGCTTTGTAAACCACGGCCGAGCATTTTCAAGCCACTCTGGGTAAGAGGGTCTCTTTCACCCTCTTCCGTCACTGCAGAGAAACGTTAATCCTCCCTGTATAGAAAGGCCAACCAAAATTCGGAAAAACCACATTCTTTGTTTAGGTACTGCAATGAAAAGAAAAGCTAATTAGTAATATGGTCACGAATGCCCTGAGGGGATCACGTTCACACCTTGTCAGGATGGCTGAAATGCGTCGACCGAGCGGATTTCAAATGAACCGAACAAGTGTGGACAGTTACGTAACGGCCTGCAGCTGAATAGTGAAAAGCCCCATGTTTCTCAATGGCCTTTTACTTCTATTCTTTTTGTCTCTTTTTAATGCATCTGAACACTCATTATGCTGGAAGGACATCTGTGGAATTCAGCTGAGTGACCCGGGCAATCCAATTAGTCTGATCATCACCCACCCCCAAAAATACAAATATTTTTATACATGCATACATACATACATAAATACAGATAAACGTACATCTTGAATGCACTAAAAGTCACTTTAGATAAAAGCGCCTGTCAAATGCATTAAATGTAACTCTTGCTATATGCGTGTTGTCAGTGACTGGAGGGCTGTGAGGGTCAACAGAGCAGCAGGACAGATAGACAGAGACAGTAAGACAGGATTTCTTCTGGCAGAGAGTACTGGATTAGAAGCACAGCACAGTGCCCTCTCTAATGCCCTCCATAAACACTGACTCAACAATACTGAGGGCACGAGGAGAGCGTCATTATTCATGATCCTGCTGGGATGCACATCAGAACATCCCCTATAGCTGTGCAAAGATAAACTCTAGAGCAGGCTACGTGACTGTTTTTTATGACTGAATTATGTGTACCAGGAACTGAGAACTGGATGATTTTATTTATTTGTGTTAATGTTTCATGACCATTTATATTTTTTTAGCTGACTAATACGCAGCATGACTAGTGTAGCATAATTTGTGAACAAATGACTTAGTTTTAATCATATTTTGAATCGGCTTTTATTTAATTTTTTTTTAGTAATTTTGTTATCTGCTTTTGTCCTTTTATTAGTTAGTTTAAAATATATATTTATTGCTATTTATGAATCTAAATCTAAACAAATATTAAATATATACATTCAGAAGATAATTATTTTGCAATTTATTTATTTTTTTAATTTTAATGTAATTTAGATGTTACAGAATAACTTTGTTTTTATCCAGTATTTTTTTTTTTTATAAAATATAAACCTCATATGTATATGGTAATAATAAACGCTAGGATTAATTATTTGGGGCCCTTCTCAAATGTACTAAAAAAAAGAATCATACATAGAATTACTGAGGAATTCGATTTTTTTTAAATGGAATCAAAATCTGAAAATGAATAATCAAACGCCCTTGGATTCTAATCCCTAATCAAGAGTTTTGGTTCATAAGATTTTTTTTTATATATTTTTACAGTAAAAACATGATTTCAATTTAAAATAGCTTTGAAAATAAAATACATATTAAAATGTGATTTAGTCTTGGAGCCATTTTCTTTTATTATAAATAATATTGAACATAGTTGTGCTCCTTAATATTTTTGTGGAAACCATGAAACACTTTTTTCTTAGTATTCTCGAATAGAAAGTTCAAAAGAACAACATTTATTGTGAAATAGAAAGATTTCTATTTCATATTTCTAACGTATTTAATGGCACTTTAGATCAATTTCATGCATGTTTGCTGACTAAAAGAGAACAAACCCCAAACCTTTGAATGGTATTATAACAGTTTATGTGTGTTCACTATGAAAGCATATGCAAATGTGAATGTAAAGAAACAAAACAGTGTATGTTGAAATAAACCCTTGACTTACTGTAGTGTCATTTGTGGTGACATAAACCAGGACCTCTGTAATGCTTCTTCCACTGACGTATCTGTAGCAGTTCCAGACACAGGCAATAAGGTAAGCCTAAAGAGAAAGAACAGCCGTTGATGCTAAATAAAACACCATCATAAATCACGCGCATATGGCTTAGCAATACAATTAATGAGCCACAGATACAGTGCCTTACATATTTTTATAAAAATATATAAAAAGAACATATGGGACAAATAACATTTTTTCCTACATTTAATGTGCAAAAACTGGTCACCTTTCTTTTTTCACTTTTTTTCCCCCATTTTTAATAATAACCTCAGCTATTTACTGTTATATTCGAGGAATTGCTAAATGAGTACAATACTTACTAATCTAAAAAATGTCGACCATATCTGCCATTTCTAACCATATTAAATCTTTGGTTGAATTTACAATAATTTTAATTCATATTGCTTTAGACAGATCACAATGCAACAAACAACCTATTAGACTGTCATGCATGCAGCATGGGGAGGCAAGCTAAGAGGTTAATTTTAGCACACTGTGTTTATCCCAGAAGAGTAATCTGCCTCTCTCTAATGCGCGCAGGCTGTCATAAAGCCATTTGTATCACATCTGAAGTCCTCTGGAAAAGTCAGGCTTCTAGAAGGACAACACAGTGTTCGCCTGAAGCACTAGTCATCTTACAGTGCACCACATCTAGCTATAGCGAACCAAAAATGAACTGGCGGATCAAAACAAAGGGAAAGTACAGTTGTTTCGCATTACCTTAAAGGCTAAGATGCATCCAACAAAGAGAAGCACTGCTAATACTAGGCACAAGTTGTTTGTGGACATCAAGTCTTCTTTGTATGGAAAGGTCCCAGGCTGTTAAAACATAATGACACAACGAGTCACTAACAGAATGATAATTTGGGATATCAAAAACTCAAAAGTTATGAGATCCTTACCAACTGCTGAAGATAGTCCTGTATGGTGTTGGGGTAAACAACAACACTTATTGCTACCAGTGTGTTAAGAGCAAAGTCAAAGATCTGGTAGCAGAAGAAAGGAATGATCCATGCAGCATGTTGCTAAAAAATAGAAAAAAAGAAATCATTTTACTATTCGGCACAAACCAATTTTTGCAGAATCAGAATAAGCTTTAAATGATCCTTAAATCTCATTTCAACCTAATATTTGTATTCAATGTGAAGAAAGAAAGTCTTATGGGTTTGGAACAACATAATGGTGAGTAAATAAATGATGGAAGAATTTGAATAAGTAAATAGTCAAACCTTATATGCACCATAGGTTGCCATTCCACAAATCATAATCATCAGCAATGAGATTGCGGCAGCGATACACATGTCTGTGGAGGAAAGAAAAACCACATCAGATCATGTATTCATGCACAGTGAATATTGAGTTTAATGGCCAATATCTAGGATTGAGTAAAGATATAGGAAGAAAGATTTTTCAATTTGAGTCTGAAATCAAATAATATATTTCATTAAAATCCTTTTAAAATGAGAAGAATTTCACTGAACATTATTTTGCTGTCCAGCAAATCTTACCCTTTAGTCGAGTTTGAACTGAGCTCACTAAAAAAACTTGGTTTACTAAATTATGTTTAAAAAAAATGTTTAAAAAAATGTTACTGAATTTGACTGTTTTGTAGTTTTCATGTTAATTAAATGTAAATATTACAGTAATGCAAAGTTAGAGATTACCTCCTTGTACGGTTCAAAGCTATATCAAAAGTAAACTCAAAATGATGTATATGTAATAAAAAATTAACTCAAATGATTTATATCTAAACAAAAATGAACCTGAATCGACATTAACTCATGTAGATTTAGTCAGGTAAACCAAAAAAATACAGATCAGACTGAACTGAATGAAAAAGACTTTGCGAATCAGAATCAAATAAAATGTAAATTGAGCTTGTTAATCAGATAAGAAAATTTGTGTCAATGCCCAGAGCTATAACAAATCGGAAATTACATCTATGTAAATTACATTTTAGAGTGAAATACTATGTATTGAAATTATAATGAAATGCACTGAAATAGATTGTATGTAAATTGTAATAAATGTTATTTATGCATTGACATTTTTATGAAAATACATTAATATATCTTTGAAGATTGTAATTAATTGTATTCATTAAAATGATAATTTTGCATCATTTCAATAATCTGTTGGTAAACCACTCTGGTAAACTCTGACCATGAATGCTCATTCTGGCATTCTAAATGATTAATGCATAAACAAACTTACTAATTTATCAGAAAAGGCTAAAGACTGATATATGAGCCAGTCACATTGCCTGTCTGAGTTAAAATTTTAGTAGTTCAACCTAGAGCACACAAGACATTACAGGCACTCATGAACAAGTTACCTGACCTAGTACTATCTATAGTACTGAATTAGCCAAAAATATGTTTTACAGATAATAATACAGCCTAGTAAGCACATAGTGGAGGAAAACAAGTAAACTAACTTCTTTAGTTTCTAAAAGGGAGACTGAACACACTGGCAACAGGCAGATTTCTGGCCTTTTTTAGGAATGTCTTATATTATCAATGAACATTAAAGAGGACCTATTACATATATTTGTAATGACATGATGTCACACCCACGGATACTTAAGCCACACAAAAATGGGAAACACTTTGAAAGTTTCGTAGTTGTCATCTGATTGAATTCTACAGGATTCTATGAAATATGTGAAAAATAAGGTGTTTTTTGGACTTACAAGCATGAAAAGCAATTCTAGCAGACCCCAAAAACAACATCTAGACTTTGTAATAATAGGGCCTCTTTAAATATTCAGTTCAGTCAACGGCTAATATTACAGTTTTTATAATCTGACACTTCTGAATGAGACACTGGCTATAAAATTAATTTGAGATGCTCGAGCTCTCAGGACTGTAAGTAAATTGAGAGCACTGGTGCTGGTCTTTGAAATAGCTCCCTCCACCTAATCTCCTCCATATGCTAAAGTACACTCAACCGTCTACTTTAGCGCCTATTACAAAACAGGCTTCATATAACAGAGGCCAGATGCAAAGCAGCCCAAACCAATTACAGGGAATCATAGTTTGAATCCTGCTGATGAGAGTCAGAGCCAGAATCTATAGCAGTGCCGATACCACCAGGAAATACGATAGCAGTCTTTGAGTTCTTGCTGAACTTAAAAAGTTGATGCTGATCTGTTTGTTCATACTGGGATTGAATATCTATGGGAGATTAAATGTCTCAAACGTACTTGCATCGTCCATGACGTCCAAATCCGTGCCGAGTTCGGAGCTGGTGAGGTGGTAGTGGTACTGGACTGGGTCATTGAGAGCCGACAGCAGGATTAACAAAACCACTGCATTGATGAGCTGAAAAGGACAGAGAATATACCGGTATAATTATATATATATATATACACAATATAGATGTTTAGATAAATTAGTTTTTAGGCAAAAGCAAACAGCAAAAAACATTGGAATAAATTGCTCCGACGTATTCTGATTAACAAAGTTTATTGTTTAGTTTATTATTTGGATTTTTTAATAATTTTGTTTGAAGTAAACAAATACAGGTCTATTGTGTTCGCATAATTCACTTCCATAATACATTCCACATAATTAAAATTATAGTATTCTAATAAACACACACACACACACACATATATATACATATGTGTGTATATATATATATATATATATATATATATGCAGACCAAACAAAAGACCCATCAATCATATTATGCCATTAGCTCCACGTGAAGGACGTTTATATTTAATTAATCCGTGACACACATTTCCTTTATCCTCACTCATTGTCTCTTATAATGTTTTGTCTGTGGAAGCATTTTCCTGTCTGTGTCAATAAACGTCACTGTAGTTTTTAGGTTAATGAATTCTGTAGTTCCTTCAGAATTGCAATGCAAAAGAAACTAGAGGTGACCAGAATATTCCACTGTTTATTACTATCTCCTATATTTAGGTCTTTGTTTGGACACAGTTCGATAAGACAGCTTTCTTTAGTAACAGTTTCAAGTATAAGATCAAGGATACTTTTTCTATTTATACTATGCAAAGAAGCTCTAGTGTCTAAAACAAGTCTCAACGTCATCATTCATGGGAGCAATTACGCGTTGTTAAACAATCATTTAGTGGTTAAATTATTTCATTCTTCACATATTTTCTCTTTCATATTCTGTCAGCGGTGTTGCAATCAGCACAATGACATTATGAATCATACATGTGCGTGGAGAATTTTGAACATCAAAGGCATGCACAACAATATTATAACGACCATTTTTAATAATTTTAGAAAAATACTTTCAATTAGAATTCTGCAACATTTATAATTTACAAAAAATATTCAAAAACAGTTTATGTTGGTTATTTAAAAAAAACATAAATAACGTTACATAAATAATGTTGTTTAAAATAAGTCGTTTTGACTCACCATATACCAGATGCCCAGGATAATGGTGCCCGTCCGTACATGACAACACAGGCAGCAGCTGGTCGTGTACCATCTGTCCCACGGCGAAATCATCATCATTCCGTCCAAAAACTGCACGACTAGTGCATGTGTCTTTATTTTATATTATAGATTTGTTTTTATATAATTCGATGGATTTTATTTTTTTGCTGCTACAGCTCACCGTCGCAGTTCAATCCTGTATTGCTTCCGTTTCCCGTCCCGTCCCGTTTGTTCCCTACCGCTGCATTAATCCAGCTCATCTCCACACCACGTGACCAGAGGGGGATTTGGTGTGACGTCAGGGGCCCTCTGGTGCATTTCGCTCTTCCACACCAAGTCACTTGACTGCAGACGTCACGCAGGGAAGTCAAAATTTTGTTTTATTTTTGTTGTGAGACAGATTATGTAAAGCATTTAGGAAAGAGACAGTTATGCATAATTTGACCTTTTGTGAGAACAATATTGTCATTCTACATGGGGCAAGTTGTCACAGTGGAATCTATAATAGGTTTTTCAGCTAAATTTAAACAAAAAAGTAAATAATAAACAAAATGATGTATGAAACAGTACAAATGTAAATGTAATATTGTATAACAAAATGTATAATATATAACATTTCAAACATTAATTAAATAATAGGCCTAGATTTTTGTTTAAAATAAATGGCCTCTCTTGAACTTTCTATTCATCAATAAATCAATAAACCATGAAAAAAAATATCACAGTTTCCACAAAAATATTAATCAAGTGTTTTCAACATTGATAATTATGTGAATGTAGGCTAAAATATATAATCAAATAGAAAACAATTAATTTAAATTGTAATAATATTTCATAATATAGCTACTATATTAACATTCAATAAAAATAATAAAATAAAAAAAACATGCTCAAACATGAAGAATATAATCTAGTTTATCTCTGACTTGACTGCAGACTTTGTCATGTTGGCAAGTCCGAGCACAGTTTATGATATGTTTATCCAGATAGCCTATTATGAAACTCCACAGATGACATAAATGGGGTCCTTTTTTAATCACAAAAGCCTTCCTTTGTCTGTGGTTGGATAAATGATTGAGATGATTTTTTTTTTTCATTTTTGATCGACATATAGGCCTATTTAAACCTTTTTTAGTGACAAAAGTGACAGGCGATACACATGGATACATGGATATGAGAAACGCAAATAAAAACTGGAGCAAACATGTCTTCGGATGCAGACTTATTCCCCCTCTTGCTTGCAAAAGTGTTGATAATCTCCAGTGAGATTATATGAAGGGATTCAGTGTTGATGAGGACAGGGCATGCTCCGTGACAGAGGAGGAGAGCAGATGGGCCATACCAGTGAGATGTGTGTGTGTGTGTGTGTGTGTGTGTGTGTGTGTGTGTGTGTGTGTGTGTGTGTGTGTCCGCTAAGCCTCTGTGGGCAGCAGCTTCATCACTGCATCAGGGGATTTACAGCTCTCAGCCAAAATAAGAAAGTTTAACAGATAGAAATAAACATGGTGGCTGTACAAAGAGCGAAAGGTTCACTGATTCTGTTTTTTATTTTTATATCCCTGTTTATTTGTTCTTTAGTCTGGGGTAAAAAGTTTTGTTGTTTATACATTTGTAGTTTTTCTATTTATTTGTTTTAGCCATACAAGCTTTTTTTCTTTTACTTAAATGACTACACTACCATTCAAATGTTGGGGGTCATTAAAAAATTTGTTTTGTAGGAAAATAATACTTTAATTCAGCAATGACACTTTAAATTGCTCAATACTAACAGTAAAGACATGTATAATGTTACCCCCCAAAAAAATAATAATAATAAAAAATAAAAGATTCAAAGAATTTTGAAAATAACGTATCACAGTTTCCATAAAAATATTAAGATACACAAGGGTTTTCAACATTGATAATAATCAAAAATGGTTGGTCATTATATTACAATAATTTCTGAAGGATCATGTGACACTGAAGACTGGAGTAATGATGCTGAAAAGCTTTGACATCACAGGAATAAATAACTTTTGAAAACCAAATATTTTAAATTGTTAAAATATTTTATAATAGCCTACTATTTACCTGTATTATTCAATCAAATTGAAGAACAAATCAATGGAATAGGATTAATGTGCCACAGATCCAAAATGAAATGAGAAACAGGCAGGAGAGGTCAGTCTCATACACGGCATGCATCATATATTGTCTAGTATATTATTCTATTGCATGCTTTTGTTAGATTAAAAAATAATAATAATAATATAAAACAATAAAATAATAGAGCTTAAAAGCTTGGACGTCTAGCAGGTAAAAAACAAAAACAAAACTGCATGTATTTTTAAGAAGAACATTGCTGTGGTCGTGCTTCAGCCCTGCGTGATCGTGTGGATGAATATGGTTGTCCTATTGCTCATATGCCTCATAAAACTGAAACACTCACTACAGGGCCAGAAATAACCAGTGTAGATGGACTGACTAGCTGAAGACGTTACTGTAGCTTTACCCATTAATACAAGGTACTTCCTTGAAAATAAATTCCAACACACACAGCACTAAAACCATAATATGACCCTTCACAATAAATAATGCTTCACAATTAACTCTGTTAGAGAGCTACATATAGCAGTTTACAGGTTCAATAAAATACCGTACTCACCGGTTGAGTAATAAAAACACCATGTCTGTGTCGCTTTTACAACATTTCAAATCCCTCAGTTCTTGCATTTCTGAAACTGAAAGTCAAGCCAATGTTGGTTCTGGTTTTATTACGCGCTCGGTCGCGTTCTTTGCCAGCAGACGCTCCTCCATTTTGACTTCAAGGAGGTTCAAGATTTCTTGCTGACGTATAACGTTATATATGTAACGTTATGTAATTGTCTGCACAGTGGTGTAACGAGCCAACGCCGGGCCCTTAAGCGACAATATTATATATATATATATATATATATATATATATATTATATATATATATATATATATATATATATATATAAACACTGCTGGTGGTGACGGCGCACCATAACACATTGTTACTCACTGCTATGACTACACACACATAGGCCTAGGTCCAAAAACATAAAAAAAGAAAAAGAAAATTCTTACTTGCATTATAGCTGCATTTTCCAGACTACCATTAACCACGGCGCTGCTACTACCAACGGTCGCATCAGGTGCTTCACATCAGGTGCTTCACTCGCTTGCTCCTTCTCAATCTCCCCCTCCTCCTGTGTCATCTTTTTAAAGAAGCTTCCTATTTTTGGTAATTTGTTAATTAATTTGTCAAATTCTTCTTTCCGTTTGCGCTTTTGAAAGCCACTTTTGTGTTTGTATTGTAATTTGACGACTCCATTATCCATATCAATCTCAAGTTCAAACTTTTTTTGACTATTTAATTTTGCACGCAATGCGCATGTTCACCCGGGGATTCCCCAGTCCCAATTGAAACAAATTACACAAAAATACATCATTGTTTGTTTCAAACATACATTTAATGATCAGTAAAATATGTTGTCGTCATTATTTATTCAAATAAATTTTCGAAAAATTAAAATGCGATCGGACTAAAAATAGAAAATGCGATAGGGGGGGCCGGCTGTCAATCAATCTTCCAGTCACGCGGGCCCCTGATTGGTCTGGGCCCGTAAGCAGCCGCGTAGGCCTACCCTGTTTACCGATAGTTACGCCACTGTGTCTGCAAAAACCATTCCCTCAGGTCTAATATTACCATAATTAATCAGGCCAGTGAAAGGATTTATGTATTGACTCATTTGAACAATTTTGATAAAAAAAAGTTAAAGTAGCTTTAAATTAATGCTTGCAATGCAGCAAAATAGTGTAACCTTGACATTAGAAATGTTGTGAACCTAAATATTGATGGGTAAATAAAGACACAATGTGCTGTATTTGCAGTCTAAAGATGGATTAAGAAAAGGCTGATAACTATTCAAATAAGACGACTAACTGAAATTCCGCATGAAAATATTATGACAATGCTGTGGGGGTATTATTATAACTATTATAATTATATTTCTTAAATATAAAATACACTTTATGGAGTCCAAACGGCATTTTATTTTAACAAATCAGCAGCTCAATAAGCTCAAATAGCAATCTTCTTTTATTTAACAAATCAACATAGAAATATTGCATTGACTTAAGTAAACATGATCATTCTTAAATTCATAAATTTGTAGAAATACATAATTTGAGTAACCTCTAGAATGATAAACTAAGGCAGGCATCCGATGATAGACCACAGTCCCTCAGAAACACATGATCTACTGACATTTACAAAAAACCATGGGCAAAACACCACTAAATCAACCCAAATATGAAGAAGCATTTTATCCCCCCCCTCCCCTCCCACCCCACATCCATTCATCCTCATCATTCATTAAAGCCTATTTACAGTGAGTGGTACTTGCACAAGTGGACAGTAAATCAGGACGTTGTTCATCACTATATAATGGTTAAGTTCATGCAAGTGCAACACTGACATCAATCAAATCTGAAACGAAAGGTAACGCCAAACCTGCTAAAAAGACTAGATAATGAGGAAGAGAACAGAAAGCATACACTTTAAGTATTGATTAAGGCAACAGATTCCTGATACTGATACTGTTTTAGTGTCATGGAATTAAAGCTGCTCTAATAATCATCAACTTTCCCAAACAAAAATCACATAAACCTACTAACTTACTCAGTCAAAAACAAACATGAACAAAAATGTAATGTTCACATTGTGCAAGAAACAAATAAGTAAATACACTTGGTATTTTACAACCTTCAGCACAGTGCAATTACAAAGAGTTTTACCATATAAAAAAGCCCTTAAAGTACTATACATATGGCGTGGCTTTTTCTACTTTAGTTTGAAGGAAATAAAGCATTAGTCAACTAGTAGTTGATTAAAAAGGGAAGAGTTGTAACTCTAAGCATCTCCAAGATCCACTTACCCAGTTACATGGGTAAAAAACACATACTGGTACTCAGGACGGAAGAAAGGCTTTAAGAAAATAGGTTCAGCATTAAAAAAATTCTCTGGTTTTCCACCACAGCGATCTAGAGGATTACAGTAATTCACCCTCACAGAAGAACTGCTGGAGGAGACGCGGGCTCACAGCGCCTCTCTGTGGCTTCTAACAGAAACTGCAACACTTCAGCAACTGCTGGACAGCAAAGTGCAGTTCAGCAGAACTAAAGTGCCACAGGAACAGTAATAGATGGAAAGAAAGTCGATTTCCCAAGTTCAAAATCAGTTAAGCATCTGTTGGAAAATAATGATCATGAATGTTTTGCTCCACTGAAAGCATGTCTGATATTAACAAACCTCAGTGTGGCGTAATAGTGCACATAAGTAGTGTTCCAGCCCACGGACTGCTCACCTTTACTCTATAGTTTTCATTCTTTCATTTATTTATTTTTTTTGTCGAGTTCTTCCAACTCAGTTTTGTTTCTATTTTGGATTTTATTTTAAAAGCACAGTCAACTTTTCAGTATAAAATTCTGTACTGTGGAATTATTGCATAAACAATCTATTTGCATAAACTATCCTGGATTTTATTCACAGTTCATGTTTCTCTCCTGGCTTTTTTCTTCTGAACTTGCTTCGGTGGTTCCCAATTCTGATCAGATATCTCTGTGGGAGCAAAAAAAAAAAATATATATATATATAAATATTATATACATAATAATATATACATATTATTTTCAGCAAGATCATCATACAATATTAATGTTATTATACAACATATTAAAGTCAAATATGAAAATCTAGGAGAAGCTGCAGTCCAGTGTTTTTCCTTTGTCACCATCTCTGTTCGAAATCTGCAATTGCAGTCTTTCCCGGAATGATCAACTTTACGCGAGTCGTACTTCAAACACGGCACGACACGGCACATCGTGTGGATGAACACAATGTTTGCGGAGACTGTGAGGCTGTCAGTCACTGCGCCGGCATCCATACTGGCATTCTGAATCACAGATTATTCTTTTTTGGAAGTATGACCGACATTAGACAACACATTAGTGTAGTCTACAGAGTGGTGAGTTCCGACAGATGTAGCTGCGTCAGAGCCAAATATAGCCATATCAAAAGAAAATTATTTTATCTGCAAATTGAAAATGGCCGATACGATAACCATAAAAATGTTTAATATCGGCGCCGATAATCGGTCGACCCCTAATTACAAGCTAACCGCTTTGAATCGAGCTAAGGCAAGCAGATAGTTTTGAACACTGTATTTTCTCAAATATGTATTTCGGATGGACTGCAGCTTTAAAGTTTTATCTCTGTATTTTTTGTGGCGAGAAAAGCGTGGATAAATGACAAACAAACAATATTCTGAAATTATGTATCATAAAAAAAAATATTAAATGTATGTGTAAAACCTGTATGTGTGTAAAATGCATTTACCTCACACATTATATTGATGGTAAAGACAAATTATGCCCTTTTACAAAGTATTAATTCTGTCTACTAGAATGTATTTTTTTCCTTTTTACATTACACATTGTGGCAGGACCTCACTTTTCAATCTGTCATTAATGCCTGGTTTAGTTCCTGTCTCTATGAAGCCCCTCCTGCCGAAAAGGGCAATGTGCTCTGATTGGTCAGCTGGACCAGAGTGTTATGATTGGGCAATTGACCAACTCAACTACGTCTCACCCCTTTTTTTCCAGTATGCCTTAGAGAGAAATTATTTGAATTTAATATGTCGTATATGTTCTCAAAAGAAAACTCAAGGTGTTCCAGGGAGTTGAGAAACAGTGTTTACTGATATAGAGAATTCCTCCCTTTAGAGTGGACTTTGTGCTTTGTAAACAGGAACATCACATACTAAAAAAGCATAATATGCCCTATTCAAACATTCTCACTAGATTCACCATTTCATTTGCGATTTACTCACTTGAAGACTGTGGAGGGATGTTTTGCTTGGATCCCTCATCCTTTGGAACATGAGGATGAAGCTTGACAGTCACACCTTCTTGAATCACCTTATAGAGGAACATACAATTTGGTCAGAATTCACAAAGTGTTGACGTTTAAGCGTTCATGTGTCGATTCTCGGTTTATTATGATTTTTACCTCAGCGGTTGAACCTTCTTCCTCTGGTCTCTTCTTTTTCTTGCGTCTCTTAGATTTTCCACCTCCTGCAGGATCTGCCTGGTCCTTGTCATCGTTTGATTCCTGCAACCAGAAAGAACAAACATTTAGCAAAATCTACTAAAAGTACATTTATAAAATTATAACTAGGGATGTGCCCAAAGCCAAATACCTTAATAGGAAAGGCACAGATAATGGCTTCAAAACAAAAAAATGAATTCAACCAAATAATAAAAAAAAAATATGAAAATATTCAGTCATTTCTTGTGTTTGCCAAATCACAGATGAGAGCATAGCACAATATTATGCATAAACCTCAAAAATCACTATGCAATATAATGCGTGTAAGAAGTGAATGAGTGTAAACTGAGCACAAATGAAATGACTGCATTGCTGTCTCAGAAATATCAACTAAGATACTGAATCATACACATTTTCTTCTACTTAATATGTGTATTTAAATTATTTAAAATTAATTAAATAAGCATAGCACGATCAGAAATCAAATTGCTGTCTCTTAAAAACCAGCTCTGCCAAGAGTAACATCATTTAAGATACTGAATCGTACACATTTTTTACTACTTGTATGTTTCTTTTTAAATGTTTTAATCCTTGTATGATAATGATAGGCTATTACTAGTTCTTTGTAAGATGGCAAGCATTCATGTATTCTGTATAATTTTTGCATTTTTTGTATGCATAGTAAAAGTAGTTTTATTGATTTTGAACCACTGAATATTTTCATTCAATTTCCATGTCCTCCAATCAGCCATTTTAGTCCGACTCGTATATAAAGTTAAAGTACGTAAAAACTTTGTTTTTTTTTAACATTTAGTATTATAATCAGAAGATACTTAAATATTAATTTACCGAGATTGGGAAAGAACCTTGAGGCAGGTCTCGACCTTGGGTCACCTGAAGCACAATTTCAGACAAATATTAAACAGTCTTCCCAATTAAGTTTTAAATCCCATTATATTGCATAATGATTACATATTCAAATATTTGCTCCACCGCACACCCCAAATTATAACTGTTTTTATACCACAATTGGGCTGGAAACTGGAATCTCTTTCAAAGCAGGAGCATCAACTTTGGGCTCATAATTCCCCCATATCTCAGCTGGAGCGTTCCAGTCTGAGCTCGGGTCCACAGCGGAAAGACCATCTGAAATCACACAGAGACACAGGAAATGTTAATAGTCCTTTATGATATATCTACAATCATTTAGAAGTTTGTGGTCAATGATTTTGTTTTCTTCAGCAAGGACACATAGAACTCATCGTCAGTAAATACTTTTTAATAAGATCTCTGATGAATAGAAATTTCAAAAAAAACAATGAAAAAATAAAATATGCATGGTTTACACAAAAATATTAGACATCACAACAGTTTTTAACATTGATAATCATAAATGCTTCTTGAGCACCAAATCAACATAGAATTATTTCTGAAGGATCATGTGACACTGAAGATGTATTTTTGATCAAATAAATGCAACCGTGGTGATTTAAAAAAAAAAAAAAAAAATTTACCGAACACAAACTGACATTTTCTATTAAAATGTAATTAGTAAATACAGTCTCTCATTTCTGAGACTAAATAAGTTTTGATCTTACTGGAGCTGGACCATTCATTGTCAGGGGCGGGTGTATTGTCCCATTTCCCTATTTCAATGTTCGGTTTAGTCCGAGTCTCTCCACCTGTAAAACACATGGGAAAAGATGATTAATATTTGTAGTGATTATTAGCATACAAGGAGAAAATGATGTGCTCCTTACAAGAACGTCCTCTTAGTGAAAATAAAAGGTTACACATACCTGGTGGGTTCAGTCTAAGCATTACGTTCACTGGGTTTGGTTCTGCCTTAATTTTTCCATCCAAATTAGTCCATGCCCCTGACAAATAATAAGACAGCATGCTTATCTATTATTTTATTATAGTAAAATTGAAAAATATTTCTTGATAAACCAAACTGCTCATTTGCAAAATATAAAATGACTGTGATAAAGGTTTGGTTACTATGCTTACCATCTTAATAATATAAAATAGAGTAAAGTGTAATAACCCCAAGGTTTGAATTTATTGGAACTACCATCTAATCATTTACTACACTCAAGAAGAAACTCCAAGCTCTGTTACAATTACCTGAAGATAAAAACCGTCAAATGCAGCTGTAACTGTTATAAACTCAAGGCAAGGTCATAAACAAGTGTGATCTATTACCTTCTGACTCTAGTTTCCAGGTGGAGTTATCACGGTTCTTTTGCCCAAGGGTCTTTCTCCCAGTAGACCACTTCTCGTTGTTTAAAGCGCTTGTTTGCGCTGACTTCACAGGCTCCTCCATTAACCCTCCACCGTTCACAGAGTTCACATCATTATAGTTAGACGTCACTAAAGGAAAAGGTGATATTTGTAAGGTATATTCTGCTTGACACCGTTCAAAAGTCTCTCGAGTTGACAAATAATGCATTTGTTTGAATGTATTCCTGAAATGGCATAGCTGAATTTTCTGCATTTAGCATCAAGTTTTCAGTGTCACATGATCCTTTAAATATTATTCTGATGATGATCTGGTGCTCAAGTTGAAACTTTTCTACATTTCTAATTCATTTCTTGATTAGTCAAAAATGCATAAGGGTTTCCACCAAAAAATAAGCAGTTTCAACATTGATAAAGTTCAAAAGAACAGCATTTATTTGAAATAGAAATATTTAGTAACATTGATGCTGTCAATGACATTTTTAATCAATGCATAATTTTATATTCTGTAAATTAAAAGGTTTTTTTGTGGGTTTTTTTTTTACCTGGGGCTGTGATGACATCACTCTTCGCGGCCTTGGCACGTGATGACTCTACAATAAATCAAAGGAAAAGATCTATAATCATTAAAACTGCTTAGAAACTTAAGCCTGTTTTATGCTTCTGCATCGAATTGACAGTGTACCCCCGCAGACCCCTCTACGTCACCGCAAACCCCTCCGCCATAGCTCGACGTGCACCTCCCAAAAATTGTAACAACGCATCGAGGCGACGCAAACCGCAACAGCTGTGATTGGTCACATTATACATCATTTCCCGAGTGTAGCTTAGACATTAGACTGAGATTTGCGCAAAACTTTTGTGATTTTTTTCGATAAAGTACTGCGAAATGACACCGTTTTAATTAACCAATGTTATGCGACTAAATAAAACGTCTTTTTTTCCATCTCTCGATAAGTCATTCCAAAAAACATGGCAACGGACATTGGTTTATGGCCTATATCAGACAGCCTCACTAGACATTATTATTATCAATGGAAGGAGACGGGGTGTGTTATCCAAGCATTAATGGCAGGGAAAGACACGGCGTTCCTGTTCTCCCTCATTTCTGCTCCGAGGTCTTGACTGTGGCATTTCTTTGAGGTTTAGAGTCCAGTAGGCTATTCCTGTAATTATTGTTTCTTTTATGAATTGAATAAAGAACTCTGTCTCGTAGTATGTCCAAAAGGTCAGTGTACTTTTGTGTCCATTCGTTTTCCCTTATTTAACCCATAACTGAAAAATGAAAAATGAACGATTGTTGTATTTTTAAAATGAGGGAAAAAAAAGGAAACCCCTGCATATTAGCATGATCTTGAATGCCATCAGCACAGAAATGTGTCGAGTAAAATCTAAATAGGATTCAAAGGAAAAGGGTACCCTTGTTCTTCTTGGTGCCAGTTGTGGCTGTAACCACAGGTTGTTCCACCTTCTGGCTGGCATGGTCTCCAGCTTCAGGGCTCCCAGAGCTGTCGCCAGGGCCCTTCTCCTTTTTGCGCTGCTGACGTTTCTCTCGATTACTGACCTTGGTTTCCCACGCACCTGCTAAACACAGTCATACTGAAAAAGAACCTTCTCAAAGCAGATCACTTGACTTTATTTAAGCAAGATATTTTACATTTCAACTTGTATTCCAAGTCTAATTACTAACAAACAATTTTCATAGTGAAAAAGTCAAGTTGCCACTGCAGTTTGGTAACCTAGTTTGATACCTTCATCAGGTTCCTTGGCATCCGTGGAGGAAACAGCTTTGGTTGGCTTCACCTCGGGTTTTGGTTTCTTCTTGTTTTTCTTGGTCTACATAGGAACCAAAAACACTCGTTTACAACTTCCTGACAAGTCATAAAGCAAGAATCTTCTTACTCTCACACTTACTACAGACACAAAGTGCCGTTTCAGAGATATCTTAAAAAGCTTATTTGGTCTTGTGAAAACTATGCCTAAAGTTTGAAGTCTTGGGACAAAGTACAGTTCCCCTCTGGATGTACCCTACATTTGCTGTATCTGCATTATCAAATTACAGCCCGATACTGACACCCGACCTCTCTCAATCACTGTTTACAGACTGAACCAAGGCTGGTGCAAACGTTCATAGCTCTACTTGAAGTGGAGTTACAAGAATGAACAAGCGAAGTCGGAAAGAGTGGACTAATATAGATAATATCCAGGGATTATAAGGATATAATATCAGCTACTGCGACTAGTGGTTTTCCAAATTTATTAGCCACTCAGCATTTTCACTGGCAACAATTTTGACATCGATACGATGGGGAAAATAGATATTTTTAATAATGTCTCATAACTTGGAAGCAGGTATATTAGGCTGCTGTCATTTTAAGACCTGACGCACAGATCTGTTATATAATATTATGCATTCACTTAAAACATAACTGACTGTGTTTACCCCAGAACCAAGAACGGCATTTGAGATTATTTTGTGTTTATTTGACTGTTTAAGCTCAATAAGCAGCAAAAATAACTTAATTTAGTACTAAAAGGCAGCTTTGAATGCGCACAATCTGGGGGATTGAGTAAAATTAGGCGCAATCCCACGCAGAAATTCAAGCATCCAACATTGATTTTTTTTTTTTATATGAATTCAACCCGCCAAGGTGGCAAGTAGGAATGACTGTGTTACACTCCTCTACTGAAACGTAGGTGGATAGTTGTTGATTTTGTTGTTATCTCAAAGTGCTGTATAAACATTTGCAAAAGATAAATCATTGCATAATTATGTTTGATGATGTAAGCAAAAAAAGAAAAAAAAAAAAAAAAAAGAAAAAAAAAACAATCTCCAAACGTTCTGCTATTCAGAGGAGCTGCAGAGCAAACTAAAGTCACTGCCAAATGTAAATACTACTACAGTTATTGTGACTATAAATATATAAACAAACCAATAGACTTCCTCAATGAAACCAGAATGAATACTTCTATGTGGAACAACCTTTGTATCAGCAGGTGGCTGTACTGGTGCTGGTGCTGGTGAAGGAGGGGGTTTCTTCTTCTCCTCGGTGACTTTGATTTCCTGCTGAGGTTCAGCCACTGTCTGTCCATTTGCCTGGGCCTTCTGCTGCGAGCACATGACAGTTACAAACCAACAAACTCCACATTTCCTTCCTCTATGAACTGACAGTGCTTGAAAACTCCCCTTAGGGCACGAAAACTGTCACAATATGCGTTAGACTTACAAAAGGTGGTGTTTAGCTGAACCGAAAGTTATGAAAGCGTGAGTTAACCGGTCAGCTCTACAGTGCTACGTGGCTCTTCTATCGCCTTCGTGTCTCTTATTTCACGACACTCGTAATATAATAATAACAACGCCTGAGTTGTTCATTTATTCTGAATGGGGACGATAAACAATTTAGAATGAAATAATTTTGATAGGGAAAAGATTTCTATAGCAACAGCGGTTTCTCACTGGTTTTGACAGGTTAGCACGTTAGCAGCTAACGTTATTCGTGCTAATCTCTCTAACAAGATTCATATGATTTATATGACTGCATCTCAAAAACTTAATAAGCTGCCTATCTATCTCTTAAATTTGGGTGTCACATAAGTGTCCAAAAGAGCTGTCTAGGAAGGCAGTTGTCTTGGTTTTGAGATAACAGCCATTATCACTAGGCAATCACGATCACAGGCCGCTTACCTTGTCGGATGCTTTCTTTTTGTTCTTCTTCTTCGGTTCGCTTGGCTCGGTCTTCACAGTCTTCGGTGACAGAGCGGTCTTGACCGGGATCTCGGCGACGGTGCTGGGACTCACAGTAACTGGGACGGCTCGGCGCTTCCTTCGTCCACAGGCCGGGAGCACCACCAGCACAATCAGCCCGATAAGAGCCGTGCTCAGAATCAGCCACGACGGATACTGCTCCGGTTTTATCCCCAGATCAACCCCCAGCTCGGCTCGGAGGAAATCCAGGCCGGAGGACAGCAGCCCGCGGATACGGTCGGACACGTATTCGGCTCGCTGTGTGGCTAAAGTTCGCCAGTCCTGGTCCATTTTAAGCAAGCGGACAAGAACCGCACGAAGAGACGAATAATGAGCTCCTGCTGCTGGCAGCGGGAGAGAGTCAGTGAACGGCAGGAGGGGAGTGGCTTTAGAATTGCTTGCTTTCTTGCGTGATAGTTGTGTCTCAATACCTATCGATCTGGCTACCTAGACAACACTTTTTGCGCGTCATATGAGGGCGCTGCATTGTTGGACATCAAGGAGAAGGCAATCAAAAGAAATGTAAATATTCTAGTTCCACTTCTGGTTTATCTTGAACGAGTTCTTTCATAGTTCAACTTACCTTACTCTTGCCAAACAAGAGTATTTATTTTTCTTTTAAACTATGCCTATTGCCAAATTATGAGATCATTTCGGATTTAAGCAGAAAAGATAACAAAAAAATAAATACATAAGGGTGAAATAAATCTAATTCATATTCATAAATGGTCATGATTCATGAAAAAGAACCGACTCAAACGAGTCATTCATTCAGGAATCCGACTAAACACCAAACACTACTACATGCTCTCAAGAGTATATTCTGCGGAATCACTTTAAAGATACGGAACCAAAATTAAAAAAATTCTGTACAAATATATTTGACTTACATGTCATTTTACACAGTATTTGTAATCTATTTATCAATTGCGAAATATTTAACCGGTTCTGAATAAGGTTTTCGATTCTCTTAACTATGTAAGCTTGTTTCCGCCATATGAAAAATATAAAAGGTAATTACGACTTTTTATCTCACAATTCTGACTTTATTTCTCAGAATTGGGATATTAAAAGTCAGAATTGCGAGATATAAACTCGCAATTGTGAGAAAAAAAGTCAGAATTGTGAGAAAAAAATTCACAATTATTTATTTAATTTTTTTATTCAGTGACGGAAACAAGCTTCCATAGTATTTTGACAATATGTAAATATTGTATTTTTAAATGCATTTATTTTTGTTGTTTTTATTTTATTTACCTTTAAATTACTGATTTGATCCATAAATAATAAATAAATAGTAAATTAAGCACATTCCGGCAACTTAACTCCCAATTTCATGCACAACTTTTTTGATTCAACTCAAAATGTTTTAAAATTGGGTGTTTTTGTAGACCTCTTGTGGAAAAAATATATGTAACATAATATTTCAGGACGCTTGCCACTAGATGGCCTTATAGCTCTATATGGAGCAAATGAGCTTTTCCGATGAGTCCTAAAGTCACAGAAGACCTTCAATTTTTCTTAAGTTTGCATTCATATACACGTGTAGAACAAAGACTTTATAATATATATTTATATTTTATTAACCATTTTCTATATAAAGCATTCCTTGTATTCCATTAATTCCTATGGGGGTCAAATTGACCCGCGAGTGAAAGATTTGGTACTTTTTAAAATTTCAACCACAAAACTCCTCCTTTGTTTTGTTTTTGAACGTTCATGCGGTTTTACTACCATTATTGTATTTGGTTTTTAGGTCAGTTGCAACTCTCTTGTTATTATGTGCCTAATTTGTAATTTTAACAGGGGGGATTTGAAGACAGCCAGCAAGTGGTGTGTGTGTGGACCTCTCAAATGTGCCCAAATACTGTTAATGAAGGGGAACAAGACTAACTAACATGTTATTCAAAGTTGAATTTCCAGAGAACCGGATGATGTTTAACTCTCATATAACCTGAATCGTTATAAAATGGTACATTTGACAGAGGAAAGTTGAATGTCCTGAACAGTGAACGTGTGACATCTCATAGGCTAATTTGACAAACTTTTATTGTAATATAAACCTCAACATTTCAAGGTTTTCTCTCTGAAATGGCTTATATTGGATTTTGACACTTGACATTGTCAACCCAATGTAATTTTTTAGCCCTTGTTAATGTAATTGTTAATGTTAATGTGTCATGGGTTATCATCTTCCATGTTACACAAGTTTCAATCTTTATGTTTAATCTAAAACATTTTGAAATTCTAAAACATTTACACCACAAAAATATTTGTTTTTGTTTCTGCTTGAGAACCCATAATTTGTTTTCTGCTTGTCTGTGTACCTTGGAGTCCCATGTGAAAAAAACCCTAAATAAAACAAGTTCGCTATTCATTTTTCATTTTCAGCTTTGACTTAAAAAAAATTTAAAAATAAAAGTAAATTGACGACTTTTTTTCAGTAGGAAGTAATAAAATACTGTCCAATAAATAAATACAATTTCTTCAAGTTCATCATTAGAAATCAGCATCAAGAGTGAATTCACTGTCCATCATGTTTGACATCACTCCAAGTCGCTGGTATTCGCCAACTCGCTTCTCGAAGAAATTCGTTTTTCCCTCCAATGAGATTGACTCCATAAAGTCGAAGGGGTTTTCTGAACGGTAAACCTTTTGAGACATAAATTATAAAGCACAGTTATATAAATATAAAGATTATCGGACAAAAATCAGAAGACAATCTCGATAAAATACTGACTTTGGGCAATCCTAAGTCTGTTAGCAATCGGTCAGCCACAAACTCAATGTACTGCTTCATGAGAGAGCAGTTCATCCCAATCAAATCGACCGGTAAGGCTTCTGTGAGAAACTCCTTCAGGAAAGACAGATACAATTACCCTTCATGCCTGAAATAATGCATTCCACATTACTAGAGCACAGCAATGAGAACTTACCTGTTCAATGCTCACAGCTTTTTTGATGATATCATTCACTCTGTCAGCAGAAGGTTTTTTCACCAAGTAGCTGTACATTAGACAGGCGAAATTACAGTGCAGACCCTGTGAAGGTTCAGAATAAACAACAATAGCCTTGATTAGTTTTTCACTGTTATCTCCACTATATTTGTTTAGCATTTATAACACACTTTGATCAAATCATGATCTAATTATCTTAAAGCCTCTACTGATAACATTATCATGTTTTTGTTTTAACCTCATCTCTGCTGATGAGTTCATTGGAGTAGGTGAGTCCGGGCATGAGGCCTCTTTTCTTCAACCAGTAGATGGCAGCAAACGATCCAGAGAAGAAGATGCCTTCAACCGCAGCAAAAGCTACTAGTCGCTCTCCTAAGAATAAATAAATGAACAAAATCTGCTGTTGATCAAATCTAAAAATAACCAATTTTGTACTCTTATTTTAGGAAAAAATAATTTTTCACACACACCAAAAGTTGAGTTTGTGTCAGAGATCCATTGTAAGGCCCAGTCTGCTTTCCGCCTTACAAGAGGCATGGTCTGAATTGCATTAAACAAATAGTCCCTTTAGGAAGAAGATATTTGGATTTAGAGAGGATCCTTACATTGTATTAAAATAGCATGTTTAATGCAATAGCAATTTGATGATGCCGAGTTAAAAAAATATTAAGATATAAGACTTTTCAGCTTTAATTTAAAATAAAGTGTTACCCGTGTTTTGTGAGAAAGTGTGGAATGTTTGGGATCAGCACCCCAAAATTAGAGAGAAAGAATTATTGGATTTCATTCAGAAAATATTATGAAAGGCGGTGCATGTCGTGTATGAACGTTTATAACACAAGTTCATTCAGAAAATATTATGAAAGGCGGTGCATGTCGTGTATGAACGTTTATAACACAAGGCTCATAAACCACATAAGGAAAAGGTTAGCAAAAGCTGCTTAACTGAATCTTGCACCTGTCACCTGTGTAAAAGCTGTAACTGACATTGTTGAGAGTACACTTCATTTTCATCTCACCTCTCTTTCAGATCCCTGATGTAGGTGTTGATGAGCATGCTGTACATTTCGGAGTGCACATTCTCGATGAGGATCTGAAAGCCGTAGAAGGATCGAGCCTCCGGGAGCTGCACCTCTTGACTGAACCTATGCACCTGTGAAAAATAAAGACATTATGTTTATTTGAATCATCTTGTTCTACTGATCTATTTCATAACATTTTATATTGGTTTCATCTTAATGTGAGTTAGAAGGAGATGCACTTGCCAGGTTCTCATTGACTATCCCATCACTTGCTGCAAAGAAAGCCAGTATATGGGATATGAAGTGTTTCTCTTCAGACTTCAGGCTGTCCCAGTGAACCAAGTCCTTTGATAAGTCCACCTTTACAAACCCATTAAAACGTTTAGTGGTTTCAAAAAAGCTAATGTCATTAGTTCAAACAGCATTTATCATAACATGGTTTTGTATTGTAAAAAGGAATTGTGAACGGGCTCTATAAAGAGTAGTTATTTAAAGTATTTTGAGCAAATGGGAAAGCTTGAGGTCCTAACTGAGACACGATTTCGAGGGAGGACCTGTCATGACAACAGTCCAACAGCAAACACACCAACTCAAGATAATGTTCTGTTTATTATTAACATGCACTGAAGTTATGTCTTTTGCTGTTTTAAATGCTCGAACTCTTTAAATTGGGGTGGATTCTGATTGGCTGTTCATGTTTTTATTGTTCATCAGCTCAGCTGTAAAAATCATTCTAAAAGTGATAAAATAGGCCTTACAATTACATACATTTTTATTTTTGGTTGTCCTATCCCTTTAATAAAACCCGGTGATCGCACATCACAAAAAACCCTTGCCAAAGTTATAATCTTAATACTAAATTGATCATTCAAAAATAATATTCACCTCCTCGACTGTCCAGAATGAAGCTTGAGCTTGTTTGTACATTTTCCAGATGTCTGGATATTGAATAGGGAAAATGACAAATCGTTTGGGGTTCTCTCTGAGGAGGGGCTCGTCTTCAATACTGCTTGGGTCAACATCCTTGTGACCATTCTGCAAGAGAAACATGACTGTTAATAGCGGATTTAACTTATTCACTGAAGTTTTATTACATCGGCTATTCGTTATTAAAGCGCAAAGAATAAACAGTCAATGTGTCATCTGTCAATGTGGTGATGACGAATCCGCTTACGAAAAATTTAAAACGACATTTTCATTTACGTGTGCTTTAAAGAAAAACATTACAATTCTCACCTATATTCACATTTTAATACATCAAAATAAATATAAACGAATCTCTACATAATTCATACCTTAAATTTACCACTTTTACAAATCGCTTTTGCGATTCGCAACACATAACACCCTTTTTACAGAATCTGTCATTATGATACACAGTAACATTCGAAACTGTATTGCTATTAACACTTACTTATGTATCATTATGATCAAATATCGCTTTATTTAGCGCTAAGGTCACCTTTTCCTGTGCGCGAGGCTCTTTGTTATGAAAGCTTAAAGCCGCACACATATTCAGGCAGGCAGATTCAACACTTATTTAAAGGCCGCATCGTACGCGCATAATAATGTATTATTAACGTTAACGTTACCTGATATTCCGTAATGTCCGTCTGAGAGTTGCTTATACTGGAGTTCATGATTATAGTCGTGTTTGGTCAGCAGCGACGAAGCTGCGATCTCTCTTCGTTGACTGTCATTGAAAATGACTAACTTAACTGAAGCAAGCATGCATAACACGCTTATCGCTCCTCCTCTTCCACAGTGCTTCTGTACAGAAATTAACCCTTTCGTTTCTTCAAAATATAAAATGTAAGTTAACCTAGTAAAATATAAGTTAACCTTAACCACCCGTCAGCTAGTTCAATTAAATAATAAAAATACTAGTACCTTGTGTAATGCAGTTTCGTTGATTCACACATGATTTTAAAATTGAGACACAAATGACTCGATAGTATTTGCTCAGAAATGTATTAAATTAATATTTTAATCACTTTTACAAGCACAATTTTACACTCAAAAACAGGCAATGGTCCATTAGTGCCTTAGACAAAAGTATATTTCATTAAGGGGTGTGATTTTATAAAACCGTGAGCTGTTATAATCAAACTTGAACACCATGAGGTATAACATGAATTTGAAATATACACCATTTGACTTTTTAATTTTAGATTGAGAACTAGTGCCTTGTAGTATATATTCTGATTGTGGTGAAACTTGTATTTTAAGTGTAACTTAAGGTAAATGTCATCTCTAAGCAGGTTATCAGCAGAGTCATAACACCACGCCATTTTTCTAGTTTTATAAAATATACAATTAAATAGGGAAAACGTGAGACCAATTTACATCTGCCTTCTACTAACAACCTGGCAGAAGGTTCAACATCTTTTGAAGGGACACTGCAAATTATAGCACACTCTACCTTAGAGCACTATGAAATATTTAACAACCTTTGGAAATACTGTCACGTGACGCACCACATGTAATTAGGAAACCATAATTTGGCATGAGGGGCGAAGAGAAGCTCCTTCTATAAAACCATGGAAAACTAAAAAGAGAGAACAAGGACAGACCGCTAAACCAACGTACACTTGTTCACACAATGAGGGTCATGGCCTATATGTGCAGAATCTAAAATCCATCATGATTTGAAACAAATGCATCTTGTACGGACAAATCATTTAAAAAGACTGTCAGTAGATCATCTATATCAATATATGTATACATAATAAAATTAAATTAGTTGAACATTTATGTAAACGGTGTTTAAGAAACCCAGGATTTGGGTGCCATCTCCACAGTCATCCATTTTGTTGCATATGTTTTCTTATATGGGTTTTCTGTCATTTTTGAGCAAAAAGGAAAGTGAACCTGTTGTAATTGTGAGAAACTGAGGTAACAATGTCAATCAATTAGATTTTGACCAATAACATCAAGTCAAATAGAATTTTCCACCCATGGAATGTTGACTCTGCAAGCAATTCACATGCCCAGTGGTTAGTGGACAGACTCTGGCTCTGTTACAAGCCATACTGGACCAAAGAGAGGTTCTTCATGGTGTCATCAAGAGAAATTCCCGCCTCTTGCATCTCAAACCTGGAGGAAAGAGGAAAAAAATGGCATTATATTCCCTTAAAACAACCTTTAAAATCACACAATCACTCCTTAGAATGGGTGAAATGAAAAGGGGGTGACAAAAACAGTCTACAAAAAGCACAAAAGGTCAAATGAAATGTGATCATAATCACCAGTCATCTGTGGAGATGGTGTAATACACAGGTGGCTGGTCTGCGTCGCTGAAGCTGGGCCCTCCTGACCGCTTGTCCCCATGTTGCTGAAAATGAGCCAGTCCCCAACAGCGAGCTCAGGGAGCAGGCAGTGCTCCACCACCTGGTCCAGTGGGTCACACGACGGACCCCACAAGCTGCTGGAGAACACAGGCTCATCAAGGGTGAGCGACATCTGAAATACACAAAACATCCGGTTTAAAAACCTCATGTAACTGGTACAAATATTGGTCATGTGTTCTGGTGCATGCATTTTTTTTTACCTTGTGGACAGAGGGTGTGGCGATGACATTTCCAAACAACTTCCCAACAAAAGTTCCATAAACACCATCGTTCATGTAATACACAAATTCTGGTACGTCGTTTGGGGTCAGCTCATCTGAAAGTGCAAAAGACACTGAGAATATAAAATAAGGCAGATGTATATCAAGGGCCACACATCAAATATAATGAGACTCACCATGTGTGGTGCTAAGGAGATCCCGGCATGCCACTTTTTTGCCAATAACATTGACAGCCAGGGTGAAGGAGGAAAACACAAAGAAATTCCCTGGTTCAGCAATGACGCTCACTCCAGACGCTGAGGGGAAATAGGCTTCCAGCAGAGGTTTGACAACAGAATGTACCTAATCAAACAGACATGAGAGAAAATCTTAGAGTAACATCTATGCTGGATGACATAAAAAAAGAAAAAAACATGAGAATCATGCTTGCTGTACCTGTTGCAACTGAAACTCAGAACCACTGAATCCTCCACCAATATCCAAGATGTTCATGTCAAAGCCTAATTCCTTCTGTAGAAACAAGGAGGTCTCAGCACTCCAATAGATACATGAAATAAATCAATTTAATTCTCTTAAAACTGACCCCCATGTCAAAGATGCAGCGAGCGTCTGACAGTGCATGGGTGTATGCTTGGGGATCTCTGCATGATGCTAACACCTGGAACCTGCAAAAAAATATCCCATTTTATAAAAACTCTTAAAAAGCCAGGAAGTCATAGCAGATTTATGGGGATAAATCCTTTCACTTACGTGACTCCAACCACATTTACACTCAACTCCTTGGCCATTTCTAGAAGGTGTCTACAGCCCTTCAGGGAGCAACCAATGGTCACACTCGCCTCTTCCACCTGTGATTCAGTAGACACTTGAAGCAAAAGCCTGTTAAGACAAGAACAGGAGAATTTCATAAATATATAAAAAAAATATCATGCACTAGACTAGACATCGGACATCTTTGACAGCCACGAGTTTGAAAAGCCATATTAAAGTTTATTTTAAAAGTAAAGTTTTTTTTTAAAAAAAATGAATCCTTTAAAAAAATATATTTCAAGACTTTTTCTCCCCCATTCCACTCTATCTCATGTTTTTAAAACAAAAAGTGTTTGATCGACGCTTCGGATCAAACAAAGCTAAATACATAACTACAAGATGCTGTTGTGTTCATAATTTTTGATGCAATTTACAAAATTATATTTGATTTATAAACTGCTTTTTTTGTTTACAGACAGTTATGAGATGCATTAATATTTTGCTCCTTGCGCCCTCTTGTGGCCTAAGGAGACAAACTAAAAGCCTTTTTCTCCAAACTGAAATAATGCCTAATTTATTTGAACATAATATTATGTTCATATGTTGCATAATATAATATTATGTATTATATAGTATTATTTTCAGCCATTTTGACAGCCTTAGTCTTCAGTGTCACAAGACCCCTCAGAAATTCAAGTATACTCAAGTAACTTTTCATATTATTATTGAAAACAGCTGCTTCATATTTTTGGAAATCATGATAAATTTATTTTATGGTTCGTCGATGAATAGAAAATTTAAAAGAACAGCATTTTTCAAATGTAAATCTGTTGTAACATTATAAATGGCTTTATAGTAATATTTGAACAATTGAATTATCCTTGCTGAATAAACCATTAATTAATTTTTTTTATTGAGCCCAAACTTTTAAACTTTAGTGTAGGTGAATAGGTTTAGCAAGGACTTACTTGGCCTCAGGATGGGCGCGGGCAATTTTGCGAAGGTCTGCCTCATTTTCACACACCAGATAGTTAATGCCGTTCTTGGCAGCGTGTTTAATGAGTGAGAGCTGCTTGCAAACTCCAGAGAGGATGATGTTTTCAGGAGGGACATCATGATCCAACACCAATGTGGTTTCAGCCTGAAAGAAATCAATACATTTCTATTAGATGAGGTGCCTCAAAATCCAATGAGATGTTTCAATCAGATGTTTTCATAGTAATGTTTTTAAATCTTTAAAATATCTTAAAGTAAGAAAAAAAAATGTAAATGTTACTTGCCTTATTTGCACAGACAAAACCAACACCAAGTGCAGACAGGACTTCAATGACTACAGGGCTGCTGTTACAACAGACTGGGTAGAAGGGTCGAACTAGGGGCATAGTGGTCTTCCACAAAACATGCTGTCGCATTAGGGCCCCAAGGTCGGCCACAACAAATGCATTTTTTTCAGCCTGAGGAACAAAATCGGATCAAACAATGAAAAAACACAAGTGTTTTATTTCTTAACTTAAACAGACAATCATCATGCAACTTGACTACCAATTTTCTGAACTCACCAGATTTTGTTCATAGACGTGGTTGTCGATAACATTTTCAAGGGTCGTACCTCCCTCAAGTAGTTCTATAAAGTAGTTTGGTGCATCAACGAATCCTTTCATCTCAACCGTATTCCGCAAATCCGACAATCATAGAGAGTTTACTGAGCCGCTGGGGTATTCTGGGTATGCAACAAACTGTTTAAGGGAAAACAAATGGTTTTATAACAAAAACTTCAACAACATTCAAATAACCTTACGCTTTCAGACAAAACTTGACAACATGGCGTACAATTGACCGCTCGCAAAGAGTCCGCTATGTCCGACAAGCCATGCTGCTCTCACGCTTTGAAAAATACAAATGCATACAATGCACTGATAGACAGGACAGACAGACCAGACAACTTTTGATATGAAAAAGCCTCAACTCTCAAATTTGGTCATTTTTTTCCATTAATTTAAACAATAAATACCATTTTGTGGCTCTTTAATGTGTCTGACAGATCGCTATAGAGCCTCAAATACGAGAAAATTTACATGTGGTTTCCAGACCACGTTTCATTCTTAATTTATATTATTTTATTTTAAATACACAACTGCAGGAAATATATCACGCATGCACGTGATTTTTGGATTTTTTTTTTTTATAAAATTCTTACATATTGTACATTTAACCGCGGAAAGAAGTCAATACACTCCGTTTTTTCAAGTTCAAATCCTCCAACTCTCCTGACTGTTTTGTCAGACAAAAATGGAAGATTCAGTGGATTATGATTGGTCAGATCGCCTGTCAATCAAACTCCATGCGAATTGTCAATTACAACACCTACCCACATATTTCAAAACACAGTATTTCATGAGCAAACTTTGAACAGGAAGTTGAGGTTTGTCATTAATCTAAATTGGGTTTACAACAGCAACAAAGCTAATAAGTACAACTAGCATGGATAACTAATCACATAGCTAGAGAAAGTATCACATGAGTCCAATTTTAGAGATGACAACACATAGGCTTTAAGAATGTGGCCTACAGGCTACTTTTTTTCCTCAGACCCAATCAAAATAAATCCCAGTGGCTTTGAAGCACAATAAAGTATTTGATGGTATTACCAATGGATTTGTGCAGTATGAATGGGGGCAAAGGTGTTAAATATAATCTACCAATAGTGTTACGTAAAACCAAAAATAATCCACTACAGTTGGGTGTGTGCAGACACAGATTTTTATCTGCAATTAAATAAATCATGTTATTATGTAATTGGCAATAACCGGTACTTCAGGAGAAGTGTGTAATACTTAGGTACTCACATGGACAAGGTGGGAGATGGTCCTCTCCCGCTATCAACTAGGATCCCAAGGCGGCTCAGCGTTGAAGTCGAACAGCTCGCGGTAGAGGGCCTCCCCTAGGCCTTCTGGGTATCGCTTATACACTCGCAGAGAGAGTGGGGAGCCCTGTGGAGACACAAAAACAGGTGTATAAAGATTTGATTTACAAGAGCAGCTGATGGATAAAATAAACTGACATATATTGGAACCAACAACAACAAAAAAAGAAGTAGCCAGAGTGGTTAGAACATTTCTGAAATAATTCATCACAGAATCACAGATAAGCAACCAGTTTTCTAACACAGATGCATTCTATATTTTCAGCATTCCTTTATTTGTAGGCTATATTGTAGGCTTTTATCAAGTCACTGCTTTTTTACAGTTGTACTTTGTACTTGACCTGGGTGATGTTACTTCGTGTTCTCTTTTTTAAGCATTAAACACAGTCTTATCTTCATCTTCCCACATGGGATCAATAAATGAAGTAACTTGCTGAACATTTATCAGAGGTCATGGTGTTTGTTTCTTCATGTGGACACCACTTTAACCTATACAGCACACTGTATTATATTTAATACATGACTTTCTAGGGCCATGATCAACTGTTTAACTGTTTCCTATGGCCTTACCAATTGGGCAAGAAATAGAAGTAACGTTACAATAAATACTAATCCACTAAGGCTTAGAAACCTGTGGTAATATAGTGCTATTATGGTAAGTTATAATAAACATTTTGTAACTTAAGTGACTTGTGTTTGGGCATGAGGCAACGTTAATGAGTTTCTAGAGGAAAACAACATTTTAACTCACATAAATTATGCAAGTATAATCTATTTTGTGACCATAAGAATGTCATACCTGAAATTAAATTAACGTTAGAACAAGGTAAACTAGTCTATATTTTAATGTTTAACACTCGTCATTCAATAACCTGACATGACATGTCGTAAGCACCTGGGTTTGGTCCACAGAACAGCTCACTAACGTTAACTATTTACCCGACTACACCCGTCATACACCAACAACTAATTATTTATACCAATAAAACCCGTGTAATTCTCATAAAATGTGAGTTTTAAATCCATTTCTCGTTGTCCTTCATGGAGCACTGCCATTGCCCGTATAAAGAGCGCAACTACAACCAACCGCCATGTTGTGTCACGGCTCCTTACAGCAAACGGCGAAATTTTTCCGGAATGAAGACTAAACACAACAAACGCTGTACTTACGTGAGATAACGGCCTGAAAGATTTGGAAAATCGTCTTCTCTTTTTCGGCGGAATTTTTAAAGAGTGGTGGGGACACAAATAGAAGAAAGAAAAGAGGCTTTAAGTGCCATATGCCTGGGTGAGAGGGCTCGGCCGAACACGAGAGCGATGCTGTCTATCTCAGGCAGATTCAGAAATGGTTGGTGGAAGAAGGCGGGCGGTTGGTTAGAGAACACGGGGCGGAGCCTAAGATCACATACTACTACATGAGCTCTGCTACTACAGCGAAGGCTTGGCTTGTGAATATTAATTAGGTTACGTAACTGGCTCGTGACTGGTTGTTCTGGAGAGGATTTCCAAGAAAGTTCAGCCCACTCTGATTAATATTCATGAGCTCAGCCTTTCGCATTTTTTTTTTTAGTGGGATTCGAATTTCGAAGACAGAGTGGTGGGCGTACCCGGCGTAGACATCTGTACTCAAGAAAGAATTATGATTCATTAGCAAATTCCTTTTGGAGAAATGCGCTCCTTTAGACATCTATGGGCCACCGTGGGTTCTGTTTATGTTGTTTAATACAGTGCTTATGCTTTCTGATACACCCCATTATATAGGCCATGGTCATTGTTGTTATTTTTAGATTCATGTATTGAATATGTTTGATACAACCAGCATATTTTTTATTTTATACTGTGTACAACTGTACCACCAGTACTAGTATAACCCGTTCATAATGTTGTGTTCTCTTTAATATGTTCTCTATCAACACAGACTGCATTCATCAGTTGTATTTCATCTAATTCATAATGTAGAAAACAATGATGATTAAGTTTACAGCTGGCAAAGCTGTCATAACAAACCTGTACACAATGATACATAAACATACAAAGCACAAGGTGGAATTGTTTTCATAGCCTTTTGCTGGGTGAAAGGTCATATTCTGAGGTTTTGGGTTTTATTTGTTAGCCTTTTTTTTTTTTTAGATAATTCCCCAAACAGACTAAAAAGCTTATTTTTTCAGACAAACAACTTGTTAAAGTAGAGTGCACATGCCTTCACTAAAGATCTTGTTTTGTTTCAGTAAATCGTTGCAAAATATGTTGCTCAATTTATATTCAACCTCATATCCTACTTTGTCTGCTAATCATGTTATTTACAATTGCAGTAAATTGAATATTTTAATTTTATTTAAACTGAATTTGCACATTAGCTGTATCAACTGAGTAAAAACATAAAGGTAGATCATTTGATACTGTGTAGGCCTACTGTGCTCAAATAACATTATATTGTATAGCCTATTTATAAAGATGAAATACATGTATTTTGTGCAGCCTGAATTCTTGAAGAAAGTTTTAATTGAACTTAAAGTTTTAATTGAACTTATTTCACATATTGTAAAGTTTAGTAACTGAGTGGTTTCGTAGGCCTACATTTTGTCAAAAATATATATATATTTTGTTCTTCAATTGTTTTGTTAAGTGCTTTTAGGAGAGAATATTTAGTTACAAAGAATGCAGCCTCCTTTTGATCAAAATCAAATTGTTCATTTTTGGTGTTTTTATACAAAAAAAATATAGGTTTCAGGGAAAAACTTTTTTTCACAAACTTATATTTTTAATTTCAATTCTTAAAACAGCTGAAAAAAGCTGAATTATTTGAAATAGGCTACATAGCCAAAAGCTGAATTATTTGAAATAGGCTACATAGCCAACTGCTTAACTCCCTTTAAGTAGCCTAACCAAGAAATAAAGTTTATTAACCGTGCAAAAATCCACTTTGCGCATCCTGAACGCACTGTCATCTGAACGAAACACACAACCTCCTCAGCTCAGATCAGCTGACTGGAAGTGTGATGCGTTCTGAAGGGTTTTCAACACAGCGACTCAATTAACTGTCCATACAATGCTTTATTAAAACAATTTACAGTTTTATCAGATTGTTTTGTTGTATACTAAGGGACTACATAATCGGTAAGTATCGCCGAAAATGATTTCAATTTCATAGTCGTGACTGACAGTCAGCCGTAAACCCTGCTCATACAATATTTAACGTTACAGACTTAAAAATAGAAGCGTCTAAGTCACTCACGTATACGTATATATCGTTACCATGTTAATGTACACATTTAAGATGAAAAAAGATGAATAGCTCTTAAATAGCTGATCGAGCAGGACACATTTAGCCTATCTGATGGAGCCATGCATTGTATTATTGCGGAATGACTCGTGACATGGTCATTTTTATGAGCGGTGTATTTTATTTTTACAGTTATTTTGTGTCTCAGGTACCAGAATGCTGTCGTCATGTGCTAGTAATAGTTTCCTTGTAAAAAAAAAAGGGACATGAATTGGACATCAAGTCAAAATGTTCATCATGCGATGAGCTCGTAATCACGACTACAGAAGTGGGAAGTAGGAAATATCCGAAAGCACGTGAATGTTGCACATGTTTTTTTATGAGCCTTTCCGTTATCATTTAAGAAGTAACGATGACAGAGTTTTGGCTGATCTCTGCTCCTGGAGAGAAGACCTGCCAGCAGACATGGGACACGATGAACATGGCCACAACCCAGACCAACAACCTGTCCACTAACCACAAGTTCAACATGCCTGAACTGAAGGTTGATTACTCCCTATTTTCTATTTCAATTAAAACTCTTTTATTAACGTCTCTCTCCTCTATCTAATGAGATTTGGGGTTTCTCAACAGGTGGGAACTCTGGATGTCCTTGTAGGGCTCTCAGATGATCTGGCCAAGTTGGACTCTTTCGTTGAAAGGTTTCATGTCTACATTCGTCTTATTACAAGAGCTTGTTTTTTGTGTCTAAATTGATTATTTTTCTTTAAAATTTTGTTCAGTATCACACCGCTTTGGTACAAACTCATAATTCCTTTCACATTTACTTCATGCATTTTCTAGCTTCGCTCACATAGTTCTTTAAATTTAGTTGTGTTATTTACATTGTAGTTTTTTTATTTATTCTTTTAATTTTCCAGTGTAGTGAAGAAAGTGGCCCAGTACATGGCTGATGTGTTAGAAGACAGTCGAGATAAAGTTCAGGAGAATCTTTTGGCCAATGGAGGCAAGTGAACGCAACCCTCAATACACACTAACCACAATATTGATGGTAAACTAGGCTACTACTACCAACATCACATACAGATATTTAATTGGTAGTAATGTGAAACTAACATTTATATAAAATCTTGTTTAAAAAATTTTGTAATCATAATCTAGTCAGTTGTATTTGAAAGTCATTGTACATATATAAAACTTATTTTATATGATTATAAATATTTCCATACAGTTGATCTGGTAACATATGTTACACGGTTCCAGTGGGATATGGCAAAGTATCCCATCAAACAGTCTCTTAAGAACATCTCAGACATTATGTCCAAGGTGAGGCATGTTAAAATCTTTTATCATTTTTTATAATGTACAAAGAGATTGATCTTTCAATAAACACCATGTTGTGGTTCTCTGTTCATAGCAAGTGACTCAGATTGACAATGATCTTAAAGCCAGAGCTTCGGCTTATAATAGCTTAAAGGGGAACCTACAGAGTCTGGAAAGGAAGAATGTGTAAGTAGGAGGACTTTTACATACTCAATTTACATTCTGTGAGACATTATTCCACAGACTGTAAAAAAAAAAAAAAAAAAACAGATGACGTGTCTCCACTTCCTTCCACCGTAGAAGAATGAAGCCAAAATATCCCAGAAACGGTTTTCGCCTTTTATGCCATTTGGAGCCTGAGTCTGCGGTGGTGATTCTGGGGTGGAGCCACACAATATCACTGTCCCGCCCACAATCCCACTCCTGCAGACTTAATTGCAATCACAGCTGTCAATCATGACATTACATCCTGTTTTTTATAGGGTCAAATAGTTAACGAAAAACAAACACTTGAACATACGTCAGTGTGATAAGAACTATCTTGACAGAAACCATATTCGGAAGAAAAAAATATGACTGCAGCCAGCCACTAGGAGGACAAAAGAAATGTTTTGGCTTCACTTTTCAGGATGTGTGCGGCACGCTTGCATTAATCATTTTTAAGATTGAAAGACTGAGGGAACTTAATCTGGACTGAAAGAAAGACTGAAGGACACTGGTGTATTGTTGTATTATGCTATGACGATAATTGTTAATGTTTTTTTTTTCTTCAACCATTTAATAAAAAAAATAAATAATTTTAAGCGACGTCAAATAATAACATGTCTTGTCCAATAGGGGGAGTCTTTTGACCAGGAGTTTGGCTGATATAGTCAAGAAGGATGATTTTATACTAGACTCTGAATACCTTACTACTCTACTTGTAGTTGTTCCAAAGTAAGTCAAGCTTAAGTATTTGTGCTCCTTTGTAAAGACTTGTTTAAATGTTTCTTCATTGCATTAAAGGGATAGTTTATCCACCTGAAATCTGAAAAATCAGTAATTTAGTCACCTTTATGACATTCCAAACCTGTGGGACTTTCTTTTTCTGCAGTAAATAAGAGAATATATTTGAATTTTTTTGAAGGGGATAGTTCACAAAAAATACTATTTTCTCATTATTTACTCACTATCAAGTTGTTCAAAACCTGTAGGAGTTTATTTCCTCTGTTGAACTAAAAAGAAGATATTTTGAAGAATGTCTGTAACCAGACAGTTGACGGTAGCCATTGACTTCTATGGTATTTTTTTTTTATACCATGGAAGTCAATGAGGCCCAACAACTGTTTGGTTACCAACATTCTTTAACATATACTCTTTTGTGTTCAGCAGACAAAATAAATGCATGTGGGTTTGGAACAACTTGTGGGTGAGTAAATGATGACAACATTTTCATTTTTGGGTGAACTATCCCTTTAAGAAAAGAGTTTTGGTTCCCATTGACTTCCATAGTGTGGACGCTGGACGTAAATGCTATGGAAGTCAATGGGAACTGAACATTTTTAAAATGATCTTCCACAGAATAAATAAAGTAATCGAGGTTGGGAACGACATAAGGGGGAATAAATGATGACAGAATTTTCATTTTTGGGTGAATCTTCCCTTAAACTCAGAATGTGCAAAATGTTGTTCATCATCTTTTATCACTGCAAAACATATTTTAAAAATCTGTTTTAAACCATTTTATGGCCCAAAAAGGACAAATTATCCTGACTGGCAGAAGGCATATGAAACTCTTTCTGAAATGGTTGTTCCAAGATCTACAAAGTGAGTAAAATCAAAGTCCCTTCATTTCAAGTCATTTCACTTGACGGCCATCTTTGAAACACCTCTTGGGCAGCTATAGACCTTACTCAGTGCAGTGCCATGACTTACCGTGTTATCATGGTATCCTCTGTAAAAAGCCGTTAGACCGCTTATAATTTTACACCGCTAATGTCTGGAGTTTTTGTCAACTCAAATATTTTCGAAAGATATTTTTGCAGTGTTTCGTCAGCAGAACAATCCAAAAAAGCCTCGCTTTCATTCCCGTTAAAAATCAAAGATGGCTCTGCTGTGAATAATGTCTATTTCAGTCATTCAAGTACAGCTCCTATCTCTTTGAATGGGGAAACATCAAATTCTCCAAACCTGTTCACTGAGATTGGCTTTTTTATTTAGAAGGTGGGACTTATTCCGCCATATTGCTTGTTGCACTTTCTCCCATTCATAGGGGTCCCAAGTCAATTGTCTTTGTATGTCTTAAGTTTTTGGTCAAATGCACATTCTATTGGCTAAGGATAGAATTATGTACTTTCTGTAACCTATATTTATTACTTGTCTAAAGCCTCACACACCATTAGTCCTTTATGTGCACAATTAATTGCATCTGAAGTTGTCAACAATAAATCACAATGTAGACCAAAATGTGGCTTCATAGAGCTCTTGTAATGAGATTACTGCTTTTAATGTTCATCCTTCATATGTGTTTTATATGTCCTTATCAGTTTATTGTTGCCTCCCGTTGAATCAAGGAAAGTGCTCATCTGTGATAGATCCTAAATCAGAGTTTTCATCTTCTGTTAGGCTTTTATTTGAAGACCACGACAGTGGGTTGTTTAGCGTCACACTCTTCAGGAAGGCTATTGATGACTTTAAACAAAAGGCACGAGAAAACAAGTGAGTGTCTGATCTCTCTGAATATTGCTGAATATTAATTGCTGTTAAGATTCTTAAATGTTTTTGAAAGAAGTTTCTTATGCTCACCAAGGCTGCATTTAGTTGGTCAAAAATAAAACAAAATTATTACATTTTTAAAAAACGTGTTTTTTTTGTATTTTAATATATTTTTAAAATGTAATTTATTTCTTCAATGGCAAAGCTGAATTTTTAGCATCATTACTCAAGTCTTTCAGTCACATGACATGACCCTTCAGAAATCATTCTAATGTGCTGATTTGCTGCACAAGAAACATTTCTTTTTATTATCAATGTTGAAAACAGTTGTGCTGCTTAATATGTTTTTGGTGCATACATTTTTCTGGATACTTTGATGAATAGGACATTCAAAAGAGCAGGATTTATTTGAAATAAATATCTTTTGTTACATTATAGTTGTCCTTACTGTTACTTTTGATCAAATTAATGCGTCTTTGCTGAATAAAAGTATGAAATTCTATAAAACATTTTTTTACTGACTTTTGAACAGTTGTGTCTACTTATAATCAAAATTATATTTATTAAAATACCAAATATTGCTTTTGAACTTTAAGTTCTGTTCTTTCAGTTCTGTTGTCAGTTTTGTCATATTTCAAGAATCAATGTAAATATATCCCCAGATTATATATTGAAATACTATAAGACTGCTATCAGTGCTTGTTGGTTTTTGATGCCCATTGAATCAGAGGGAAACTGACCTGTTTCTACTGAATTTGTTTCAGGTTCGTGGTGCGTGACTTTCAGTACAATGAAGAGGAGATGAAAGCAGACAAAGAGGAGCTGACTCGCCTCTCCACTGACAAGAAAAAGCAGTTTGTATGCGTGCAGCTGTCTACATTCTATTCACTATTGAACATTATAAAATCGTTCACAATAATGTTGATGAGGAACCTCAAAATCACAGCCAGTCTGAGAGGACCAGAGCTTTGATTACTCTTCATTTGAAGTAACAGGAAAACCAAAAGATAAATAATGTCAATCTTCTTCTGCACCTCAGGGTCCTTTGGTACGTTGGCTTAAAGTAAACTTCAGTGAGGCTTTCATCACATGGATACACATCAAGGCACTTCGGGTTTTTACAGAGTCTGTCTTGAGGTACAATGTGGGGTATAAAACTGTTTCTTATGGAGATAGATATATGATATTGCCAGATATATGACCTCCATGTTGGTATTAAACAGGTATGGGCTGCCAGTCAATTTCCAGGCCATGTTGCTGCAGCCCGGCAAGAAGAATGTAAAGAAACTCCGAGAAGTTCTGCAGGACCTTTACAAACACTTGGACAGCAGTGCTTCTGTTATTGATGTGAGTTACACTACCGTCAAACGTTTGGAATAATTACGAAATAGAGTCTCTCATTCTCACTAAGGCTGCATTTATTTGATAAAAATACAGTCAGAACTGTAATATTATGTAATATTATGACAGTTTAACATATCATTTTCATTTACACAAACAATTTCATTCATTCCTGTGATGGCAAAGCTGAATTTTCTGCATCATTACTCCAGTCTTCATACATACACTACCATTAAAAAATGATTTGGTGATCAAAAAATGATTTTTTTTATTCTTAAGTAATACTTTTATTTAGCAAGGATTATGCACTAATAATAATTTAAAAAATAAGAACCAAATCAGCATTAGAACGAGTTCTGAAGGACTGGATTTATGTACATACTTTGTCATCACAAGAATAAATTACAGTTCTTTTAAATTTTAATATCTCACAATATTACTGTTTTACTGCATTATATGATCAAATAAATACAGCTCTGGTGAGCATAAGAGACTTAAAAACATTTTTAAATATTGTAGTTATTGCAAACTTTTGAACGCTAGTGTACTTTCTATGATCCAAAGACCTAAATGAATATATCTCTAAATCACAGCTGATTTGTTTTCTTTTTTTGTTGGGGTATAGGCATCTATGGACATCCCGGGTTTGAATCTCAGCCAGCAAGAGTATTATCCTTACGTTTACTACAAGATCGACTGCAACCTCTTTGACTACAAATAGAATTCAAATAGATTGTTAAATTCTACTTCACAAAGACGGACTCTAATAATTTATTAAACACTTATTGTTTATTCTATCATTACCTTTTTAACCTCTCTGCTCGTACCTTCCTCTCACTGGCTCGTTCCTTTTTCATTCCTGCCTGCAGATCACTATTTTGAATAAGCAGTCACAGAGTTTTACTATCTGTGTTATTGGTTTAATGTGTTTACAAATGAAGGATTTTCAGGGGTTTTAAAATCTGGCCTTAGATGGCATGTGTGGTCCAACATTGAACACTCCTCATTTACTGAGCCTGTAATGGTCGTGTACTCTGTTTTTTTCTGTCGGTGCTTACTCTGTGCCATTTGCAGGTAATGCAGTAATTATGTTGTCGAGAGCCACTATGTTTGTTTTTGTCTGTGTTTGTGCTTCTACTGTGAGATTAATGTATTTATATTTTTGTTGTAAAAGGTGAAATACATGCTGAATGTTAAGACCAATCAAAGTCAATAAAATGATAGCACATCAATATGCCTTTTTATGGTCAGAGGAGAATTCAAATGACTATATGCACTGTTACTCTTATTATATATCCACATATCACACACACACTATTTGGTTTTGATTTTTTAATGGGGATATTCCATAGATATAATGATTTTGATACTGTACAAATATGCTATCCCCTAACCCGAGCCATAAAAAGACCACTAAATATGATTTATAAGCTGTTTTCCTCATGGGAAGCCAAAAATGTCCTCGCAAGGACAACGATTTCAGATATTGCAATCTTTGTGGCAATGGGTTTTAAAGAAATGTTTAAAACGTTTTAAAGAATTTGATATAAAGAACATTAAAAGAGTGTACTCAAGTAAATACTTTATTACTAACAAGTTGCATAGAAGGGTCAATCAGTTAATATTTCGCTGGTTCTCTCTTGTTTTTGCAATATTTTCATCGTATGACAGCCTAGCCAAAAATGTTTCACAATTTGGCGTGTTTCATTGAGTTATCACACAACTAAAACAATTGACTAGTCTATCACTATACGCAAATTGCTTACAAAATCTTTAAAACATTTTTAATAATTTGAATAAATAGTGGAGAAGTAAATTTTTCTGGGCCGAACATATACTTTTGGCCACTATTGTTTAGTAGTCAGTTTTCGTACAACTTTCGCCACACTCTCTCACAATAAACTGTACCCGGCCATCGATGACGTAGGAGATGACTGATCTCAAGTTAGACAACTACAACAACACGAGGGCACAGCTGCGCGTGGGACCACAGCACACACCGCGCGCTCTCCTATCTGCATCATCATTATTAGCGCATGCATCGCTCCATCTTATCTCAAATTCTCAATGGGCTGCGGTGGGAGTCGATCAGACGCTATTGAACCCCGATATCATGAGAGCTGGACCAGAGAAACCGAATCGACGTGGCTTACCAACACTGATGCTGAAATCCCCAACGGAGTGACTTATAAGAACCGCGTCGTTCGTGGAGAATGTAGCCAGCTTATTAAAGGCAATGCAAAACTATCAGGTAGCCTATAATACTGTTTTGTTGTCGTTGGTGAAAAGTATTATAGCCTGTATTTATAAATGCATGAGCATATTCTGATTTAACTGCAAAACTCTATAGCTTTAAGATCTTCAGCATGCTCTGAAATCAAATCAAAGTTTGTTTGGCTTATTGTTCTCTTTTGAAATATGATAACCCAGTATGTTATCAGGCAAAATCAAAGCTTCCAGAAGTTTTTTGTGAAATATGATTTCCACAGGTAGAGGTACAGAGGCCAGGTCTTGTGGAGACAGAGGCAGACAGATGGTTAATACAGGAACTCAATGTGGGAGGCAGGTTTTGACTTCCAGCACCTGCACAAACCATCAAAAGACATCTTGTGGCCTTGAGGTTTGAGCTCACTGCTTCAAAAAGCTAGCAGTTATTAATGAAACATTATGGTCTGGTCTCGGATGTATAATTCATCAAACTTTAGGTTTGCCAATGCAGCCTACAGACAGCTGTGTCAATGTTTGAGTAACACTAAGTCTGTTTCCCAATCGATATGGTGACAGCTCGTTTGTGTTTATACTGCAGATAAGTGACTCAAACCCGACAACACACAAGGAGGGGACTTCTCATTTTGAGGGGGTTTCATCTGATGCTGCATCTCACCCAGGGGAGCCAATGTGGAAAAAATCATCTTCGCCTGATGCGGAGGATACGCTCTGAAACCCAGAGGAGTTCAGCCCATGAGGATTATAGGCTGTATAAGAAATCATAAGCTGTCAAGAGAAATCAAGCTTCACAAGACATGACATCTCATTAACGCTCGCTTATAGAAATCTTATACTTTACTGAAGTTTTGTTGCTAAAATGGGTTAAGGTGCATCTGATCATTAGCATGCCAAATATAGATTTTAATCTTCTGGCACCCTGATGTCTCAGGAGTTACTGAGCAAAGCAGCATATGTTCATATTATTGCATGAATTATTGCTCACAATGCACTGTGCAAATTTAATGCTAATGAAACTGATTTTAAAGAACAGGCTAGGCTACTAAATGCTTTATTGTCATGCTAATCTTAAATAATTGTTAAAAATAACAGTTAATATTATTTTTGGGTTATTCTGTTTGTGTAAATATGCATTTACTGGAAATTTGACAGTATTCATTTATTTATTTTATATTTACTAGTGATTCGGTATCATAGTAGTTTTATTTTAGAAATAAAGTTGCTTTCTTTGGAGGATAACAACAAAATCGATAGACCACAGGCATTTTATACAACCAGCTATAAGTGCTGTAAAATAACCACTAGATGGAGCAGCTTATCTTAGACTGTTGCTGTGTTTTGGACATTAATAAAGTATATATAATAAAGCGTTTTAAAAAAAATGTGAGGCACTGTCTGTACATGGTTGTTGACAAATCTTAATGCTGCATTACCAAACTGATGATAAACTGTTTGATAAGGAAGGAAGCTGAAATAATCAGGGAGTTGTTTAAAAGTTGTTAACTTTATAGCCTACCTGAACTATGTCAAGTACAACGAGCACTGTTGTTACATCTACCCCATTAATGGGCTGAGTTGTAATGGTTTTGTGCATGAACAGGTGAATTTAATTACCATATTAAATTCAAAATAATCAATATAACATCCATTATCACCTTCATTTCACTTTAAACAGTTGAAGTTCAACAGGTAACATATAACAGGTTAACAAATATAGGAATGCATGAAACATAATATAATACTTGGAAACATCTAACACACCCCAACTCTCCATAAAGACTACAGAATTCTGCTGCATGAAATTTGAAGTAATGCTATTCTGTAATGCCCTTGTCAAAACAAAGAAACAAAACATTTGTAGCAGATTTTGTGGAATTTGTTGCTCCAGTAGAATTACGTTTGGAAGTGCTGCAACCACACTTTTCATGGTTAGACATTATGTCTAGTTTTTTTTGTCAAATTAAAGGAGAACCTGCTGTTTCAGTCATTTAAAACCCAACTGACTTCTCAACCAAACGGTTGAGCACATTTTGAGTCACTATATTTAATTGAGAGGAGTAGCCTACCTAACTTAACTCAAACTGATTAAGCCATCTCTAGCACCTGGTTGAGGTATATTATGCAAAAAAAAAAAAAAAAAAATCCACTAGATTTCACAGTGTAAACCAACAGCACTTGTCACAACACTTCTTCTAACATGGATGTCAGAAACAAATAAATCACCCCAGCCATGTGAACTGGTTTTGGTGAAATTGTAAGCAATATTTTCCCGAAATTTTTACTTTCTTTCCCCCTAACATTTTTACATTTTATTATATGACGTGAAAAAATTTATATTTAAGATGAAGCAATCTTCTCTAATATTATTGTCAATGACATGACTGACTCTGAGACCATGCGGAAAAGTCATATGAGCGCCTCTCAGAGTCGAACAGCAGCAGCAGCAGCAGCGCGAGCTCAGAAGTAGCGACACAGGCTTCAGAGGTGGACGCGCGCGGTCCTTCTAGATGACAGACCTAACGTAAACATACCTTTTTCTGTCTCTTTATCATCTCAACACACAGTCATTTCGTCTCCCTGGAAGCCTGGAGAAGAAGAATGACCGACGAAGGAATGCTAATCTCACCGTCGGCTCTCCAGGATCCCGGAGATGGAGCGAAAACTGAAGACATCGGTATGGATTGTACGGACGGGGAAGATGAATTGTGTTTGGAGGAGATTTTAACACTGTACAGTCAACCGATCAATGAGGAGCAAGCCTGGGCCGTGTGTTATCAGTGCTGCAGGTGGTTAACTCAAAAACAGAGACGGAAAGAGAAAGGTGTGAGTCCACCTGGACGGATTGCGGGTCCTGGAGATGTGAGGATCCGGAAGGACGGGACTGTTAAATTATATCAACAGAGCAGTCCAGGTAAATCATAATGTTTACATGAGAAGTCAAAATAAACGCGCAGTGAATGGCGCAGCATGAAGCCAACTGAACAGCAATAGCACGATGCGTTATTATTTACAATGGCATTGCTTTGACACAGCTAAATATAAGCGATAAAATGATTAATGGGGGCCATTTTAATTTTTTTAGACAGATTTAGGGATGTACCTAGGCTAACACCTCAATTCTAACTGTACACCGATTATTTTACCATGACTTTAAATATAGGCCGATATTTGCATATATATGCTTTGATTTTATTATATAATTTGACTTGATTTATTATCTCATTCATTGCAATACAGGCCATTTACTCTTTAATACCGGTTATATCTTCTCGACCATCGAGCCATTGTAAACAATGGGGCCATGTGATGGATTCATCCATAGGCACCTTTAGGCATGTGGCAACAAAAGGGACCTGATCTTTGGCCTAGTGCTCCTGTGATATGCATACTTATATTGATTCAACATTTAGGTGTATTTATGTATTGTTTAGGATGCACAATTATAACATTTAATAGCCTATGTTAAATGTAGCTTGGCTGATTTTATACTCCCACTCATATTTAGCACATGGAATGTTCGAGGATTAACCAGAATATATTTCAAATCAATACATTTGAGGAAAAATATAGTAAAGTGCTTTGAATAATAACTGTTTTCTATTAACCAAAAATTAATTAAAATTTGAGAGAGGGAGGGATTTCTGTGGCAGAAGTTGTATAATTAAATTCTCAGCCATTATCTAATTTGGGTTCTTTCGCCTGAGGCTTTTGGATTTGGCTTCGGCTTCCATCTCTGTTCCTCCTTTGGGAGTTAATCTGACTGCTGTTCATAAGTATAATTATTGGGATGAATGTCTCAATCCTTCCATCTCCCTAACAAGGATTTAGATGTGGGGTTCAGCAGTTATTTGAGTGTTTTTGATGTTTTAAATGAGACGTGTCTCCTGCTTGTTCTCATTGAAATAGAATACTAGCCTGTGACTGATCTGCATTTAACAACGTATAGTCCATGACCGTGTATATACAACATTTTTTTATAGTTGTCAAGAACAAACATAAGTCCTCTGCCTTATAGAAGTGAGTATAGTGCCAAATGACAAGCAAGTAACTAGATGACGGTCCTTACCAGGCAGGAAAATCAATGCTTATGTAACATGACGGTCTGCTGAATTCTGCTCTCCTGGGGAAGTTTGCTGTCCTGGCAAATGTGGGTATGTTCAAATAACGCTGACTGACCAATGAAATCAGACTGTGAACCTGCCAGTTTCAGTCATGATATCTCCCCAATGAATAGATCTGTCTCTCAAATTGAATAAAACGAAAAGGAAAAAGTTGTCTTCAAGCTCCAGACAATGCTTCATTGATGTTTATGTCTCCTTTTCTCTGCTTGCTAAAGCTATATAGTGATTCATAGTTGTTACAGCCCTTGAAACAGCATGTATCCCAACTAGAAAAATGAAATATGGAAGTGTAGATCTGTAGCTCCCGAGAAGCCTAACTCAAAGATATAGGTTAATCTGAGATAGATAAAGCTTTCACTCTCTGTCCTTACAAGGTGTTGGGATTGCATCAAATGCATCAGATTGTGAGGAATTGTCACAGATGTTGTTAGTATTGTCTACTAGAAAATATTAATATACAAACATAACCATATGTAGTAATATACTTTTAAATGAACTGCACTACTCAACTCCTGAAAAACAAATGAATATATTTATGAATATAAGTAAATAGTCATTTAATAAATAGCTGGATGGGTTTACACCTTTGCCCTTTTGTCCCAATTTTAGTTTGTTACTGTCCTCCTGAGTCAAACACCCCTATGAACTGATTTCCACGTTATCATTTTCAGTGATTCTCCTTTCATCTTTATAGAAAGATAATATTACAGTACTCGTCTGTTTCTTACAACAATGGATATGGCATCCAATTGCACTAAGTACAAAAGAACCTCTTGAAAAATGCCTTCTCCCTGTCAGGATGGTGTATGTTAGACGCTATGTGGGTTTAAGTTCAGACTTTCAGTTATATTTGATTTTCAGTTGTTGAAAGTGTCCGTTGCAATGACACTGGGTTCATTCATTAGTGGCAGCAGTGAACTCTGGGTCTCGGCCAATACCAGAGGAGGCTCTTTCTTTTAAACGCTGTAACATTACACCTACAGTGCCACTAAAGGAAGGGCTAAAACAGACATTATGATTCTAAGCCTTTTGTTGTGTATCTCAGGCTCAACTGGGATAAATTGCATCTCTGTCTGACTTCTATAGATTTGCGTTAAATATTTAATATGAAGGTTGTCTGAGGTGAACCCCTGGGTCCCTTCTCTGTAATATAGAAATGGGGGAGGGGGCTTTTCATGGTCAATTTCACTTCTATTAAATGTATTCATGGTTGCAACCCATACACCACTTCTCTAGAAAGATGCTGGCCTTAGTGAGCATTATTATTATTATACAGCATCTTTATTATTATTATAACGTAACTGTAAGTATTAAACTATCTCGTCCAGCATCATTTGTGCTTTGGAAATGAATCAAAATGGTCTACTTTTTTCATTTTTGGCTGGTGTATGAAAAACGAGCAACAAAACCCATAGACCCGCATTGATTGAAGGACCCGAATCATATTATATTTAGGGCTCTGCAAAAATTAATTGCGATTAATCGCATCCAAAATAAAAGTCTGTGTTTACATAATATATTTGTGTGTGCTGTATATAATTATTTTGTATATATAAATACACACACATGCATGTATATATTTAAGAAAATGTGTTATTCATATATAAAATATTTATATAATATAGATTATGTATTTATATATATATATATATATATATATATACAGAATTTAAGCGCAAATAATTCTTAAATATATGCATGCATAGGTATTTATATATACAAAATAATTATACAGCACACACAAATATATTATGTAAACACAGACTTTTATTTTGGATGCGATAATTGTATTAGATACTTGAGGATGACCAATAAGAAACCATCCATATCAACCTATGAACCATCTATCAATTTATTAGCAACATCCGTGAACACCTTGGCAATACAGTAGAGTGCAATTCCGATTCTGGAATTAAAAATCATGTTAATTTTCTTCATAGGGGAGCTGATTTTTAATAATAACCTGTAAACCTTTAAAAACTGTTCTACTGTGAGTTTTGAGGTTGTTGATCGATTTTTATGTGCTTTTGTTAAGCATCAGCCTGCATTATTTCATCTTATTTTAAAAATAATTGTTCAACAGCAAAATACCTGGTGAAAAACTACATTACCCATGATTCTTCAGAGAATTTTCACCAATCAGAGAATCAAAACATATTTAGCAACAAATGGTTTCTACTTAGTCACCTAACCTTATGTATTGGCAAGAACCCAGAAATGAAAAAAAATCTAGTTCTATTATATTCTATTGTTAAGTTCATTTAAAATTGTAATGTTGAAATGTAAAATTTGAGTTATGTGATTTTAAAAAATGGATTCGTCAGATATTATATATTTGTTTCTCTTCCTTTTTTCTTTTCCCCATTACAGATAAACACATTGAACCGCCCAGTTCATCAATAGAGGTGAGTCATCTTATTTACTTTTGTTGAGGTGCCAGTCTGGTTTTTGACTTTAGAGAAAAATGAGTCATTCTGTTGCTATATTTGGTAAAGGGCATCAGCTTTACAAACCATCCGGAGGAAAAAGCTAGCATTCGTCTTTGTGTGTTTGGTTTCTGAAAGTTTTTAGGTGCAGTGTTTTTTGCTGACTCTTACTGTGGTGTGGATGTTTGCCAGCTAGATTTAGGTGCGAGTGGTTTTGAGGACTATATGTGTCTGTGGGAACCGCATTGTCTTGATGGTATTCATTAGCTGTTAGTTCTTTGTTGGCGTGACAACTTTGTGGATCTCGGCCTGCCTCAAAGTTTCCCTAAAGCTCCCTGCCACTCTGGGAAGTAGCCAAAGCTAGTTTGCTGTAATACATTTGGAAATAGTTTTCCCAAGCTTTTCAGCACCAAGAGATCTCTCGGAACAGGGCAAGACATTTGTATGCCCTTCCTATTTAGTAAAGAAGATAGTGCTGTGCAAATAAGACTGTGTGTTATGCAAAAAAAAAATTGAAGTAAGATTTGTTGGCTAAATGTGATCGATTTTAGAATGCCCTCAGAGTTAACAGATGGGTCCACAGAGGGGATGCGAACATGCAAGCACGAGCCCACACAGCCAGACTTCCAAACAAAAAGAACACATGCGGCCATCTCTGAACGAGATTATCAACAGAGCACTAGACGGTAAACTCGTGACTGTGAATGGGAGGATATTCAAAGAGCAGAACAGCAGGGCCCTGCCTCCTCTGCACACAAACACAGTTGATGCACATCAAAGATAAGACATTTTGTGAACATAAAACATTCATAGACCGTGTGATGTGGGGCTGATATGGCCAAAAAAGTGATTGTGAGAAAATATTTAGTTAGGACTCTACTTTTATTAGAATTAACCGTAAAATTATCCATCATCCATTGTATCATACATTTAGATCATGAGAACCATAGGTAAAACCAGCCCCATCATTGCTAAAGTAAAATCTATAGTTTCTATGCTATTTGTTATGAAAAACATTAGCCTAAATACATTTCTAGTATTAACACAAATGCTATAGCTTAATAATAAAAGAAATACTGTAAGTACATTTCATTACTTCTTTTATTAATAATATAATAATTCTATATGAATATACCATATTTATGCCATAATACCATGGTGCAGTTCAAGGGTGGACTGGCTATGTGGAGCTGGAGCCGAGTACAATGTGGGACAGCCAGTTAGTGTTACTACTTTAAATCCATGGTAAATGATGATGATTTGTTGATTGAAAAGCCTTCTTCTGACTGGATTGTTCATGGCACAATGTTTCTCGTGTTTGTCAGTGCTGTTGGGAATGTCAGCGCTGATTTACCTGGTTAAATCACAGAGTCCTACATGTTCTTTGCTGAATTCAAGCACTTGTCACTGGATCTCATAGATGTGATCGAGACCGATCAGTGAGTAAACGCATCAGCTCTAGCGATTCAGATTAGCCTTGCATATTGATTCACCCTAATGTTGCTTAAAATTGTGTGACTTTGTGGAACACAAAAGGAGAAATTTTGATAAATGCACTTTACTCTCTTTCCCACTCAATTATCATCAGGGGAGATTGGAGATTATATACTGCAATTCACTTTTTTTCCCTCAGAATTGTAAGAATTAAACTTAATTATGAGAAAGTCCAAGTCTGAGAAAAAAAGTCAGCTTGCAATTCTTCAATTCAAAAACGCCCGATTGCGAGTTGTAAAAGTCAGAATCGCAAGTTTATATCTCACAATAATTATGACTATCTTTCTCGCAATTGCGATTGTATATCCCACAATTATTAGGTTTTTTTCCTTAGAATCGAGAAAAACTCGCAATTGCGAGAGTCAAATTCTGAGAAAAAAAAAACTCCGCTCACAATTTCGACTTTATAACTCGTAATTGCAAGTTTGTATCTTGCAGCTCTGAGGCGAAAAAAGTCAGAATTGCAAGATAAAAAGTTGCTACAATTTAGCAATTACGAGAAAGAAAGTCCAAGTTTGAGAAAAAAGTCAGCTCGCAATTCTTCAATTCAAAAACTCCCGATTGCGAGTGGTAAAATCAGAATTGCGAGGAAAAAGTCAGAATCGCAAGTTTGTATCTCACAATAATTATGACTTTCTTTTTTCGTGATTGTATATCCCACAAATATTAGGTTTTTTTCCTTAGAATCGAGAAAAACGAAAGCGAGAGTCAAATTCGGAGAGAAAAAAACTCCGCTCACAATTCTGACTTTATAACTTGTAATTGCAAGTTTGTGTCTTGCAGCTCTGAGGTGAAAAAAGTCAGAATTGCAAGATGAAAAATTGCTCAGCCTCTTACCTTTTTTTTTATCATTCAGTGGCGTAAACAAGCTTCCATACTTTTAGTTAATTTGTATGGCTTCAGAAGGCTTTTATAGTGGTGCTTCCTTTTTGAAGCTCAAAAACCTTTTGTGTTCCACAGAAAAAAGAAAGTCATGCAGGTTTGGAACAACATGAGGGTGAGTAAATGATGACAGGATAATCATTTGTACGTAATGTTTCATATGTACACTCGGTGAGATCAGAGCTTACCCTGTCTTAGGCCAGTAATGAGAGGGTGTGTGTGTGTGTGTGTGTGTGCGCTCTGCTCTGCATGACTGCACCTCTCTCTCAGCGATCATGTGATGTTGCAGTATGCATGTTTAAGACCTCGCCCTCATGGCCAAGTTAAGCGAATGCCTCGACACTGACTGAACAAAATTCTGCTGCTCGCCGTCGCCACAGACACGCATCCACTGCCCCCTCTGGCTGTGTGTTTCTCAAACCAACTGCCCTGTCCATCAGCGACTTAATGGTGTAATGGCAGTGTGTATTTTTTTAGCAACGTCTAGCGGTTCGGTTGCGAGTTACACAGAGGGCTCAGCCCACTGCTCACCCCCCCCTTTCAAAGAAGCTACGGTGGCTAAAACAGGACAAACATATCGTCGTCTCATGCTGATTGTCTCACGAATGTAACCAGCACATTTCCCCCCACATAGCAAACCCATTATACAGTGAGGGAGAAGAACCACATGAAACTATGCAGCTCTTTATGTTTTCTAACAGGTTAGTAAAAGTTTAGCTGGCTAATATGAGCCTTTTTAAAGCTGGCTAATAAAGTTTACTGTGGCTGCTGAGCTGGTTAAAGCCTTGTTTAAACTCGGTGCGCATGGCAAAAATGAAATGAATGTAACAGCGCGCGCACCTCCGCATCCCCTAGACACTTTTACTACACAATAGGGTTTTTTTCTCTAATTTTGAAAACTCTTCGCGATCGACTTAAAATCTAGTTTAAAAGCACGTCACGTTTATTTTTCATGTATGTGGTTTTGTATTTGTTTTAGCATTTTCAAGAAAAAATTAATGACTTTAATATTATGTGGTCGAACGCACATCTTAATCATTTTGTAATCAAGTTTTGAAGTATTTTGAAACATTTATCATCAATTATTATTTAATAAATATCACAAACTTTTTAGGGATTCACAACACATGACTTTATAGTAACTGAACAAAATCTTTTTTGATAACAATTTTCTTTTTGACAACTACTCGGTAAAGTTTTCTTTTTAGAAATTTAATCCCTTGCTTTGTCTTCATTAGGACTGTCATCACCCTGATATTTTTTACTTTGTGTAAATTTTTTTTTTTTTTTTAAATGTAAAAACATTTTTTTTTTTTTTAAATTTAAAAATGTAAAAACATCATAAAATGTGTATTTAAATCAACTTATGCAAATGCATTTTTAATGAATTAATGAATATATTTATAATGGATTGGATAAAAAGAAGCCCTCTGCGGTGTATTATTTATTCATATTTTGAACTAACTTTGTTTATATTTTCAATTTAAGTTTAAGTCAGTTTATGTTCTTTCGTTAGTTATTTTTTTAACGCTATTTAGCTTTATTAGATTTATTTTTATTTCAGTTTCAGTAGTAATTTCAGTTTTTCTTTGTTTTTATTTTATTTTATTTTATTTCAGCTTTATTTCAATGAATGAATTTAATAGTTTTAATAGTTTTTTGGTTTTAGTTAACAACAACACTGGCACCCAGATATCATAGTGAAGGTCACATCTGTTCTGCCTTTAAAAACCAGATGAAGGCATCTTGGTTAGCAAGGTATTATGCAACATTTTTCAGCTCTCAGACAGCCATAATCTCTCTCTCAAAGATATTTGTAATTTTTTACCTAACCATTTAAAGTTCATATCGATCCATGCCCAAAATGGTGTTGATTTTAGGAAGTGCTCTCGGTTGGTCTTCATCCGGCTCACTCTGGCCTTTGGCAGTTCTCTGGAGGCGAGCTGACCCAGTTTTTCCCCATTAACTCAGTACTATTGGCAGGACTCGATTGCTTTATAAATAGGAGAATAGTAATCACATTTAGATGCCTTGGCTTCTCACCAGGGTCTTTCAGCTAAAAACAAACCCACTCCATCAAAATCAGTTTCCAAGTGCTTCCATTATTCACTGATGTGCATCTGCCAACTGATCATTAAAGCTTTTTTTGATCTACATGATCTGAAGGGTGAAAGACACAGTCCATTTTGACCAATAGGCATCTTGGCAGCTTAATGAAAACTTGTAAAGATCACCGCGTTTCGTCCGCCAAGGTGCACGGACAAAGAGGATTAGACCCAAGATCTAGTTCGGTGGCTAAAGGGGGATTATCAGACCTCTTAATGAGAGTTTCTTCAAGCTGCGGGTCATACTACCTGTCTGTGGTTCTGGACTTGAGAGAGAGGCTGCTGTTAGAGAGGTTTTGGATGAGGAGGAATGTTGATGGTCTGTAAAACACCTGTTGAGAGACTCAAGTAAATTCCCATTATACCTCCCCTTCCGTGTCTGGGTTTTTTTTTTTTGTTAAACAATTCACCTCTGAAATACCCCTCATCTCACTTTCACTTTCTCTTTTTTAGTTGTTGTGTGGGTTTGGGGAACTTGTTTGTTAGCTGTGAGCTCCC